AATCGTAGCACATACTGAAATATACGCAATATAATTTTTCCAATATTTATATTATATTGTGTTATTTCATTTCTTTCATAAATCAGATCAATGTGTTAATAGTATCTAATAATTACTGTAAAAGATTTTTTAATGAATAACAGTAAACAATTTTGAACATATCGTATATATGCTAATTGTATTTCTTCATGATTAAATCATTGATTTTTTTACAGTTCGATACAGCCACTGCAGCCTTACGATATTTTCTATTGTGTAATATGTAAAATTTATAGCAAATCTCTTAGTATAATTATAATATACAGTTCAGTGATCTAACATATCTTTTAAAATTAAACAATCTATTTAAGTCTATTCATTATATGTTACTTAAAATAGAAATAATAGTGAGAACATTCGCGATTCTTATTTCTTCTGCTATTAACAACATATTATCATATTTATTATATTCAAAAATGCTAGAATATTAAAACAGAACTTTTATCTAATCAAGCTATGATATTTTACAATCATTTTTATATAATAATCTCTACAGATTTCAATTATATTTGGTATTCGTTATGAGGAATTCGAAGTATAAGTCGTCGAAATGATTCACTTTTATTATTGGCTTGATCCGAACGTGAGCGACACATACTGATATTAGGTTTTGTATTGGTCTTCTCTTATCAAATACATAGATAAATATAACGATACAGATTTTAAATAATTTGATACATATATACAAAATTGTTAGTTTAATTGTTGTGAATACAAATGGCAAATACTATGCGTGCAATTTTAGTCAAGGCATTCGGTACTATAATATTATTTGATCCTAATTTCATTGAAAATAATTATTAATTATGTATCTATTTTTATTTATAGGCGATGCTAGTGTCCTTAAATTAGCTAAAGATGTACCTATCCCTGAAATAAAACCTCAAGAAGTATAATATATAATCAAATTTTTTTATATAATTTTGAATTTAATTTAATTTTTATTTAGGTATTAATTCGTATACATGCTAGTGGTGTAAATCCAGTAGAGACATATATTCGATCAGGTGTATATACTCGTCTACCTAAATTACCATATACTCCTGGAGGCGATTGTAGTGGTGTTATTGAACGAATTGGTGATGAAGTTACTAAATTTAAGGTAATATATGTAGAGATTATTTTCAAAAATAAAGTTTTTCTTATTTAATAAGAATTGTTTGCATTGTTTTTCCTATTCTAAAACTTTGTACGTTTTTAGACTGGTGATCGTGTATTTACGGTGAAAACTGTTACAGGCACATATTCTGAATATTGTGCAGCTCATCCTGATCATGTTTTTCCTTTACCATCAAATGTTTCATTTGAAGAAGGTTCAGCTCTTGGTACACCGTATTTTACTGCATATCGGGCACTTGTTATTAAGTAAGAAAATATTTGTTGAATTTTTCATAATTAACATACATAGTATTATTTATTGAAGTTTTGTCATATTCCAATGAATAACTATTTCTTTTCTTTAATTCATTTAAAGGTGAATAATTCGTACAAGAGATAGAGAATGTTATTTTTAGATCCCTTTTTCAAATCATGCCAATATCATTGTTTATCTAGTTCATACTGAGTAAGCGTATCGTACTGTCTGAAAGTATTCAAGATAATTAAGATAAGTATTCATATATATAGGATAAATCGAGTTTACCAAGAATAATAATACGAAAATAAATGATTTAGTTTTCTTTTTATATATTATAGCGTCAGAAAATAAATCATATTGCTTAACAATATGAATAATCTCTGTGTATATAAATGATCTAGTTTATTAAATAAAATAATCAATTAAAAACGTTATTTGAGATTTTAATATAAGCTACTGTTCTCTTCACATTGCCTCACTCATTGAATCAATTAGATTTAATCAAAGATGAAAAGCAAGAATGATACTTGAAACTGATAATATATCCATTATCTTTCAATAAAATGAGAACATAGTTTCATATTCTTTTATTAATTATAGAGGCCATGCAAAACCAAATGAAACAGTTTTAATTCATGGAGCTAGCGGAGGAGTAAGTTTGCATAAAGAATTTACTATAAGAATTTATTTACTTTTTTTTCTTTGATAATAGGTTGGTATTGCAGCTGTACAATTAGCTAAATCACTTGGTTTACGTGTTATTGGCACAGCATCTACTGAACAAGGTTTACAAGCAGTACATGATCAAGGTGCTGATCTTGTTTTTAATCATAAACAAGAAGGTTATCTCAAAGATATTAGTGTAATATACTTTTATACTCATAGAAATATTTCATTTATTCAATTGATTTAATAGACTACTTCAGTAAATGGTGGTGGTGTTGATTTAATAATTGAAATGTTAGCAAATGTTAATTTAAACAATGACTTACAAATACTTACACCAAAAGTTGGCAGAATTGTTGTTGTTGGTAATCGTGGTACAATTGAGATTAATCCTCGTTTTTTAATGACTAATGAAACAAGTGTCTGTGGTATTACTTTATTTAGTTCGAGTGACGTAAGATGAACAAGTAATGTTTTTTTTTTCTCAATTTCTTTCTATTCAATTAGGAGGAATTTCAAATGACTAATGCTTATTTACAAAATGGTCTTAAACATGGATATTTAAAACCACTTCTTGGCAAAATTTATCCATTAGAAGCAGCAGCAGAAGCTCATACAGATATTATGTCATCTACTGGAACATGTGGTAGACTTACACTTCAAATATAAAATTTATTATTCTTCATTGAAAAACATTCCTTATATTTTCAAATTAATAGCTATTATAAACGATTTTTTTTATATATATTTTTATCGCTAAAACTGTGAGATAGTGATTGGTGATTTTATTTTTCTTTTCTTTTTTATAATCCAACAACATAATAAAATTCTAAAGCAATTGACCTACACTTTAATACCATATAAGTTAAAATCAATTATTCTATTTGATAAAACTTGTCTTTCTCCTTATTTACATGAATAATAAAACTGGAAATAGTTTATCGATTTAAATCACATGTCGTATTTTATCAATTGTAGTTTTCAAAGGTACTTGATATCAACAGGTGTCTTCGTCTCCTTCTTTTTCTACTCTTCATACAATATTGACTTGTTAAACTTATATCTTTCAAATGTTAAGTATAGTGTACTTTGTCTTTTGATATTCTTTCTTCGTCCATTATTACAACTTTTGTGTCTAGTGATATTTAGTTTATCACGTACACATTTATCGTAATATTAACATTGGTATTGAAATAAAAAGACAATAGCAATATAATCATAGCTTGTCTAATACAGTTTATTGATTGATAATGCTTAGTATAGATCGATTTTTAGGTATATTTCAATTGTTAATAATCTTTAGTATTTTTTTGAATTTTATTAATACAAAACAAAACAAAAATACAGTAAGATTTATGTCTAAAAACCAAAGAATACTATATTTTATATAGTGTTGGTCTTCATCAACAATCTATCATATCTCATCTCTTGATAATAATAATACCAATTGGGAAATAAATTGTACTGAAATCGAACTTGTAGAAGAGTGTCATTTATCGTTTGTGGAAAAAATTACAAATAAAACATGTTCTCAATCAACAATTTTATCTGATAAACAACCATCATTTACACAAAGTAAAATAATAATTTTGAATAAAATTTAACTATTATGATTAAATCTTTAGAATATGGTTATGGATTTTTAGCTGTTTTTATTATAAGTATTCTTTCATTAGCTGGTTTTCTTGCATTTCCATTAATGAAAAAACCTTATTATAAATATTTAAATGCATTTTTTACTGCACTTGCTGTTGGAACACTTTTTGCTGATACGACATTTGAATTATTACCTGTTGTACGTATATAAATATAAAAGAGATTTGCTAAGATATTTTTACATAAGAACAGAAAAAAATAATAGATTATTCAAAGTGGTGAGACATCAACACATGTTCATGAACATGGTCAAACTATATCAAACCAACATTCAGATAGAAAAATTCATATACCACTTTTTCTTTGGCAAATGGCAACTCTTGTTATTAGTAAATAATCATTTTTGTAATATTTCTCAATTAATCTCATTTGATTTAGCTGCTTATATATTCTATGTTATTGAACTTTTTATACATGTTTTTATGCATCATCGACATCATCGTGTAGAAGTATGTATACTTATATAAAACTAGTTGAATAGAATAATTTTAACTTGAGAAATTATATTTTCTTATGGATTATTAATAGGTAATATCTAATTCAAATCCACAAGCATTACCAATGTCTGAAATAAATGTATCACAACCACATCGTAATGACTCGCTTATTTCTACTAATACTGTGCCTAATTTAACAATAACAGCTGATGAACGACAAACAAAAAGTAGATATAAATTAATCTTATCATCATATACTAAGTTTATATTTTAAAATCTTGTATAGGTACGGGTTGGATGATAATTATTGGTGATGGTATTCATAATGTTGCTGATGGTCTTGCAATTGGTGCAGCTTTTGCTGAAAATACAATGTTTGGTTTAACAACATCTATTGCTATTGCATGTCATGAATTACCAACTGAACTTGGTTCGTCTTTTTTCTAATAATTTGTTTCTATTTTAAAAATATGGAATTTTTATTAATTAAAAGGTGAATATATGGTTTTAATAGAATCGGGTTTTACTATTCGTCAAGCACTTCTCTTCAATTTTATTTCAGCTTGTACAGCTATTATTGGTTTTTTCATTGGAGCAAGTATTGCTCAAAATGAAGCTGCTCGTACATGGATTTTTGCTGTTACTGCAGGAACATTTGCTTACATAGCTTTAGTTGATCTAGTAAGTGTGTTTTGATAAATAGTAATAATAATATTTTATTAACTTTTTCTTTCTAGTGGCCTACATTGATGCCTCTAACAAATAAATTCGATTGGATACGATTTATTTGTGTCACTTGTGGTTATTTAACAGGTGTTTTGATAATGTTTATTTTAACGATACTCGAAGAACAAATTATAACATCAGTCGAATAAAATCAAGAACTTGTGATAATAATTTATCTTTTCTTTTAGAAACTATACACATTTCCAATAAATAGAATCAGAATATAGAAACTCTTGAATGATACTTTCATAATAACACTTTATTCAAGTACAATAGTTTTCATAATGCTAGGACTATAGATAAGAGAAAAAAATATTTCAGTAGTTTAGAAATATTTAGAATTATTAAGTGAGGACATGTACTCAAAACAAGTTTCTTTGTTCTTATCTAAGTTATTTTGTTTGTCAGTTTATCGAACTAACAGAAATGAGTTAACATTTTTTCTGTTTTTGGATATTGTAATAAAAAAACAAATAATAGTAAATAAACGATTGCTACGTCCACTTCTACTATCGATTCTACGTTTCCTAATGAAAACAATTCATTTCTAAAAAAAACATCATCACTACCACGTTCGTTATCTAATGAACAAACAAAAAATTCTTCTTGTATAATCAAATAATCTTCACAACTTTGAATTTTAATTCAAAAGATCTTTATGATAAAACTTGTACTCTATAGCCTATAGTCGAAATATTCTAAAATGTACAAATCACACTTATTAACTTAACGAGTTTTCAAATAAATTTTTTTTCCATAACAATTTAAGAAATACTAGATCCAAAGTTAAAACGTGATATTTATCTTTTCTTTCTATTATTATTTTTTTATCTTTTTTTCTACATCACAAAATATTGTTGTTAAATATGAAGTGCTAACTCGTGTTTTATCTGACAAAGTTAAAAAAAGAAGCGAATATCAATTAGAGCATACCTTCCATACCGAAACAATGATTAACATAGACAGATATATAAAATTCATTTATTTACTATTGATTTTTTGTCTCTATTTGGTTTATATAAATGCAGCTGAAGAAGATCAGGACACAGTATGTTATACATATTTAAAAAAATAAATATTTAATTGAATTTATTATTTGAATTACAGAGAACTTCATCTATAGATACAGATGATACCAAAAGGAAATTAGACAACACTATAAATTCGGACAAATTACAATCGTCATTTGTTCGACATATTATTGATACTATAGGATTCAAATCTGGTGATTCACATCATAAGTCTGGTCCAACGAATGCTGAAAGTAAATTAATTATATACAATAAAGCAAATGATTTATTGATCATTTTTCTTTGAATTTTTAGAATATGGATATGGATTTTTGAGTGTATTTATAATCAGTACATTTTCATTAGGTGGTGCACTTATTTTTCCATTAACAAAAAAACCTTACTATAAATATTTAAATGCATTTTTTACTGCACTTGCTGTTGGAGCATTATATGCTGATAGTGCTTTTGAACTTTTTCCTAGCGTATGTCGATTTTCATAATACAAAATTTGTAATTTATAAAATAATTAATACTAGATCATTCAATTTGATGGCCATTCAAGCAAATCATCATCAAATGAAACGCAAACAAATGAAACAGAACCGGCTAATGATGATGATGAACCAACCGTGCCATACTTTCTTTGGCAAATGCTTCTTATTGTACTTAGTGAGTAATTATTGCTTTAATATCAATTTATATAACTATATTTAAATAGCTTCATATGTCTTCTATGTTCTTGAACTTATGATAGTTGTTGTTATTAATTATCGAAATCGACAATCGAAAGTATGTATGTATTTCATGTTTATAGCAATTGTCAGATTATTTCTAAGAAATTTAATTAGCAAAAGAAGTAAACAATTTGTGAATATAAGTTATTTTTCTCTATTCAAAAGATTAAAACTACGTTTATATACCAGTAAATGTGTACTATTATTATTAGGATGATTATAGTTTGGATCATGAAAATCTACCGGTTGAAGCAGTAAGTACATTACCAATTCTAACAAGGGACCGTGGGACTACAATTGTTTCAGCTACTTTTCCTAATTATTCTTTAACACCTGATGACAAACAGACACCAGGTAATAAAATGACTTTAGTAAATCATCACCATCATATATATATATCCATGATTTTATTCAGCTATTGGATGGATGATAATTATTGGTGATGGTATTCATAATGTTGCCGATGGCCTTGCAATCGGTGCAGCTTTTTCTGAAAATATATTGTTCGGTATAACAACAGCTATTGCTATTGCATGTCATGAATTACCAACTGAACTTGGTTCGATTTATTAATTATTTTTGTATTTTTCTAAATTTTACATTCATTTTTCTTGTAGGTGAAATGATGATTTTAATTGAATCGGGTTTTACTATTCGTCGAGCACTTCTTTTCAATTTGTTCTCAGCATGTACAGCTTTTATTGGCTTTTTTATCGGTGCTAGTCTTTCAGCAGATGAAGCTTCCCGTACATGGATTTTTTCTATTACTGCTGGTATATTTATTTATATCGCTTTGGTTGATTTAGTAAGTTGATTTTTCTAGTTTTGTTAGTTGTAATTATATAATCATTGGTTGATCTTCTATTTTCTACTAGTGGCCATCGTTAATGCCCGAATCAGATGTATTTGACTGGATACGTTTTGCCTGTGTCACTGTCGGTTATCTGTCAGGTGTTTTTGTTATGTTCGGTTTAGCCATATTAACAGAGCAAGTCATACAAGATCCTCAAAATGGCTGAAAGCCTACGATGGTCCATGTTTTTTTTTAAATGATAAAATATTAATTACAAATAACTTATAAATAAATTTTATATATATTAATACAAACTAATAAAGAGTTTTGTCGGAATTATGAAAATATGTTTAAATAATTCATTTAAATAGCTGAGTGATTATTGTACTTTTGAAATATATAATATATGAAGAGTCTGGATAACTATCTGTTTTTTCATCTTATACTTATAGCATACAAATAGATTTTGAACAATATATATATGTATATATCGTTCTTTTATCAAATAAATCTCGTTAATAAATTTATAAAAAAAAAACGTGAATTAAAAAATCAAATACTTTCACGCACACACGCATAAATAAAATCAGGTTTATAAAGCAAATACGCTCATTCAGTATTTATTTTTTATCCAAAATGAGGTTTATCACGCATACTTTCATGAACACGTAAATGTTCAGTTACAATATCACCAAGTGATGGTTCTTCAAGTGCATCAGCTGCATAACCATCATTTGTCGAACTACATAAAAGAAAAAATTATTTATAAGAAAGAAAAAATGTCTCTGTATATATATAGTTAAACTTACTTATCTTTTTCAGGAAAAAGATCACGTGCATTACTTGCTGCTAAATCAGCTTGATGAATAAGTGATGGAATAGCTTCACTTGTCGATGAACGTGGATCAGTAAAACATAAATAATAAGTTAATAATTGTAATTCATCAGCAGTAAATTGTATTTCATCATAAAGTACATGATAAAGAGCTGGACGATTTGTACCTTGAAGTGCTTTATGTGAATTAAGAAAGAAACTAAATTGACCTGGATGTACAATATCTGTGTCAATCACAACTCCTGGAGGAATATTAACTGTTTTATTTTGATTATCTAACATGAAGAATCGTGTATGATGGCGTTTTTTCACAACAATAAATGTCAAAAGTGGAAGTGTATCCTTTGGATAAACCTCTAGAACAATATATATATATGAAACACAGGTTATTTTATATTTATTATAGACAAAATAATTTACCTTTAAAAGCCCGTTTCATTTGCGGTATTTCGAAATTAAGAATACGTGCAAATTGTCCATCATCAACTCCTATTTATATAAAAAGATAAAAGTTATGTCTTACATGAATACAATATATGATTTACCATCTCGATAAAATACAATCTTATTTGGTAATCGATTATTTGCTTCTCGATAATATTCTAATAATTCTGTAACCATTTGTTGTAAATCAACAACTGCTTCAATAGCACATTTACCATTTCTCGGCCATTGTTTACATATTCGAACAGCACTTGTTGAACATAATGCATCACCTGATCCAACAACAGCAGCAATTGATGGTTTATCTTGTCGACATACAGGATGAAGAACATCAGCACCCATAAATTGCCATGCATCTTCATTTTTTGATTTTACTGATTTACTCGAAGCATCTGTTGTAGGCATTGGTAATGAAACTTGTGTATTAATACCTTGCATTTTAAAATTAATTTTTCTTAATAAATTTTCGCACATATTATCTAATATACGATCAGGACTACCACGTTGTGTACGAGCAAATCTATCCATTTGTTCTTGTAGTTTTGAATATAATAGACATTGAGTTGTTACACCTAGTAAAAAAAAATCTTTTAATAAATCTAATTAATAAATAAAAGATAAATACCAAACGTAACTGTTCCATTTAATTTAATACTTGGTCGTAATTCATTCCAATAACTATCCATTATACAAATAACCAATTCACACTTCTGTTCCTTTTTACCACGAAAATAAGTTTCAATAGCATTTAAATTTACTTCACGATCCTGTTCATTCTCTGATATCCACACAGCGTCTCTTGGTGCTGTTGCAATGGGACCTAAACGAAATTGTTTCGCCATCTAAAAGAAAAATAATTAATAAAATTTTACGTTTGTAAGTAATTTACTTTATGAAAAGAATCAACAAATTTTCCCATTAAAGTCTTCTTCTCAGCCGATAATGGTGGTGGTGGTGGACCAAAATATGTAAATGCAATTGTTTTAAGTCTATATGGTTCAACAAATTTTCCTCTTAAATTTATACGACCCATATTTATATCAGCATTATTATCATTAATAACTGGAGCAGGAAGAAGACGAGCTGATATAAGTTTCATTTCACCATCATCAACTGTTAATTGAACAGCTTGACAAAGTGGTAATGTTGGTGGTGAACGATAATTACATGCTCGAAGTGATGACATTATATCTCTATAACGTTGATCAGGTGATGGAATTGAAAGATTTTGACGATCACGTTGTTCATTAGCGGACTAAAATTTATATTTGAAGAAAAAAAATAGAATATTTAGTCTTATGAAATACAAACCTCGCGTTCACATTCTTGCCATTGAAGAATTCGACATAATTCAATAGGTATATGTTTTGGATCATGTCGTTCATGTAAAAAATAACATTGTAAACATCGTAATTTAGGATATAAAAGTTGAATGTTTTTCTCCTTATCATAATATTGTATAAGGTTATATGGAATGTCTGAACGAGTTTTTTGTCCATTAACATTAGTTTCTCTTGTGAATGTAAATGTTTGTCGTTCAGGAATATCAGAAAAACTTCGAATTTGATAAATCTTAAAGAAAAGAAAAAATTTGATCATAATAGATTGAATTTAAATTTCTTTTATTTTTCTTTACTTGTGTATAGTTTGATTGTTTTGTTGTTATTTTACATCCATTTAATACAAGCTTAGCCTTTTCATAATCATTACCTGTCATACCAAATTTACGAACATCTTTTTTTAAATTTAATGTAAGAAAATCAAGTATTTCCATATCTGGATAAAACTTAGTTAATGTTGTTTGTAGATTAAGTGTTAATCCTGCTTGTGTTAAATGTAATGCTTGAAAAAATCCTAAACGTAACTCAAATCCATCTGGTAAACGTTTATCTGGTTCTGGTCGATCTCGATAAAATAATGAACCTTCACAATGTGTAACAGGTTGTAGAGCTTGTTTTAATAAAGTCTCCAGAATACGAACAGCACTCAATGGGATAGTTGAATTAGGAGTACGAATATAATCAAATATAGTTGATGTTGACCATTGACCAGCTAAATTAATAATACATAAACGAAGACTACCTTGATTACTCGATGGAAGAGTGTATATTAATGGAAATTGTTGTTGCTTTATACTTATTGTTGAATAGAAACATTTACCTTCATCATACCTGTAATATTAGAAAAAAACAACAATTTAGTTTATTAAATATTGTATATCTTACCAAAATATAAATTTGAATGAATTATTCGTTGCTAATTGTTGTACAAAACGTCGACGTTGATCACGACTCATTACTTCTTCCCAAGTGCCTGGAGCTGAAAAACTTGGTTTTTCTACGATAACATCATATTGATAAAGCATCAAGCTAGGTGCTACTTTAACTGGGAAATGATTAGTGTAGACTTTTGTTGGTGTGCCTAAAGTGCCGGGTTTTAGTTTAGATGGTGGTCCATATTTTTGTTCAACTGGAGGTAATAATGGGATTGCAGATGTTATTGGAAAACGTTTATTTCGACGTCGAGATGGCGGAGGTGTTGGACAAGGTGAACAAAGGTCTGTATCCTCATCACATGCTCCATCTTTACTCTCAGTATCTGGGATTACAGTCGTTATTGTCAATCCAGTAGTTTTCAGTTCAGACTTAGGTAATGTTATTAATACATTCTATAATAATAAAAATATAACTGTAAAAAATATTGATATAAAAAATATTATACATTCTCTGCTTGTTCATTGATGTTTGATATAGGTATTTGTATCGTATTATTTGCTAACGGTACATTTGTCGCTTGTGAATAATTGGTCTGAGTTGGTATTATTGTTTGTATTTCATTTACTTCCTCATGTTCATCATCATCAGGTGGGCGAGTTGCTTGGGATAGTTGAGCTCGTGCAATTTTACGACGTTGTTTTTTACTCAACGTTTGTGGTTGATTACCATCTGTTGACATCTGTATGTATAAAATAAAACACGTTTTTAGTCACAAAAAAAAGAAGAGGATACAAATAATAGCAATCATGCATAACTATACGTTACTTTTTTTTTCTTAACAAAGCGACTATGACTAACAGAATATGTAAAAAGAAACGAGAGAATAATCACATAATACACATGATATGTAACATAAAAGAATCTATTATTCACAAATGTAAAAAAAAAGGTAAATCTCGCGGAATGTTTTATCTGCAATCTGCTTCTTCGGAAGTAAAATTCAAGTAAACTGTAAAAAGTATATATAAACTGCTTTATTTTCGACGAAAATAAAAGAATTACGTGTTTTATAAACTCACACTCACATACTCTGTTTGTTGAAAGTTGAATATGAAGAAAAAAATAAGAAAAAAACTGTAGACTTTTTTCTTTACTGTTGTTGCCGAATAATAGCAAGTTGTGATGAAAGTGATGACGGTATGCACGTAACGCAGATTGTTGACGAGGGTAGTCGATTACTCATCATTATCGACAATAAATATCCTAAGGCACGTGTGCGCAGATAAACGAAATAGAAAAATCAACATTATCTTATAGAATATAGTTGTGAATATATATATATATATATATATATCGAAGAATAAGACAAAAGAAAAAAAAACACCAACAAAATATAAGAATAACGATTAATACTTGTCGCATGAATGTCGATGCGTTAGTGTCAATGTGGAATACAACGATTACAATTACAATAAAAAAATTCTTTTTCTTTTTTCGTTCTTTTCTTGCTTTTTTTTATCTTATAAGGTACTTCATTTTCAGTTTTTTTTTCACGCCGTCACTCGTTTGTACACAGTGGACAAACAAAGATTTCTGACAACCATTATTTGTTCCCAGGAATTAAATGTAAAAGAAAAGTAATAATAAAAATTACGCTCCTGGGTGGGCTTGAACCACCAACCTTCCGGTTAACAGCCGAACGCGCTAACCAATTGCGCCACAAGAGCTGTGGTAACCTATTCTTCTTAACATGATTTCAATTTTTATCATTGATAGTATTTATTCGACAATTAAATCTTGCTATTTAGAATATCATCTTATTATCAATTCATCATTAATCCCTTTGTATTGTGAAATTTTAACTAAGTCAAAATCGATATACTACGTATGCATTGGTTATGCGTTGTGAATTATAAATATTCAGGAATTATAAGGTACATATTATATTAAACGATTTTATATTGATCTCTAACCAAACAATCAAATTCATTTTTGCCCATTGAATTAGTTCTAATATTATCATCTAATATAGTAATCTGAAATTCAATAAACTCGATGGATCTCATTAGCTGAATTTTGCTGCATTTTTTTATAAATACTAAAAGATGATATAAAATTCCATTGTATATACAATAAAAAATAATTTAGTCTCTTATCAATTTCTAAATACAAAAATAAGTCTATTTGTTTATTTCAACACAGGGAACTTAAAATTCAAAAAAATCCTTTTAAAGGTTATTTTAGAAAAAATTAAACATGTCTCATTACGTCCATTATATTTGCATCATTTTCACTTAATGATTTTAGTTATTTTAGAAAAAGCTAAACACATCACATTACTTTCATTATATTTACGTCATCTTTGCTATTTTTTATTCCATGGGAATATTAAACCGTTTTACTACGAAAACATTGTTAAACAGATTTTTTTCTGTTATAAATGATACATTAGTCTAGTCTTTGACTGACGTAAGTTGTTGTTCGTGTTTCATTAAAAATTTACTATATTTCATATTATATTACAAATAATCATATTTATAGAAAAACATATATGAACCAATAGATATAAATAAGAAATACATATAAATAAAACTATTATAAAGAGATAATTCATGTTTATTTTTATATATGAAAAAAAAATGCGAACAAAAAATCGTCATCTCAGAAATCTTATAGCAGATCATACTGCACGATCCCATAAAGATCTAACATGCACTCTATAGTCACCGCAAATTTATTGTGATATTTTAAGGCCATATTAGTTTAACTAAAATATTTCTGTGATATTTCATGACATAAAAGAATCTTAAACAAATCTTTTGATACGACTTAGAATAAGATGTCTGAGACGACAATTTTCGATACGATTTTCATGTGGTCACATCAGATCAAATATGATCAAATGTACGATCCTTATGAGATCTAACTATCCAATTTTTCGCCCTAAGTTGTATTGTCAATAAATATTCTTTTGTTAAATATACATGATAGACATAACGATAATATTCATAACAATACAAGAATTTTCTACATATATATTCTTTTATTTAGGACTTTGTTCTTAGACGTCAACTTTTCGATGTCATTACAATGATTATTCATCTTTAATTGAGTTAAGACTTGTTCATGTTCACAACAACAACAAAAAAAATATGATTACGAATATTTTCTAGTCAATACTAACCAATTGATCTTCGTCTTTAATAAGATTACAAGAACATCTAATCGAGCGAATCTTATAACTTTTGTTCAAATCGTATGTGTTTAATGATAATAACTCGTTCATTCTCAAGTCCCCCACCTTTCAAAGAAACTTAATTTTTGTCAAAAATTTCCAAATTGATATCGTATTTTGTGACAAAGTTTTTTTATAACTGTTACCATCTATTTCTTAAAAGATAGACTTTTTTCTAATTTCTACTTTTCCAATCGTGCATCTCAAATTTCTCTGTCTGGCTCGTTTAATATATTTGAATTTGTTTTTTTATTTACAACAGTATGTCAAACTGCAGAGTAGTACAGACTCCTGTTTCTAATTAGTCTTTTTTTATCTATTATATACACACACTAATATCAATTGACATACATTTTTTAGGTTTTTTCTAAGACCTTCATCGTGTCATGCCTTATTTCCACTTGACAATAAAGAGTTGAAAAAAAAGAGCTTTGTATTGTATTACATCCTGAAATACTCTTTCAAACAAAGAAAAGTTTAGTCATATAGTGCGAGTCTAGACATAGGAATCTGGTTTCTCAAATAAACTATTTTTGACCTTTGTTTACTAAATATGTTGGTCAAAGGTTATATGATTCAAGATATGAAATTGATTTTTGAACAATACGGGGAGAGGAATCTTAAGATATTTAACAATTTTCAATATTAATTGAATATATGAATAATGATAAAAAAAAGTTTACATGAATTCAACTCAATGAAACAATCTGATACATCATAACAACTTTGATTTGATAAATCTCTTTTGATTGTTTTTATCATAATCATTACCGCTTCTTCGTTGTGTTCCTTTTATGATAGATGAATGCATAAGATGTCAGAAAAAAGACTTCAAACGCTATGCGAACAGCTGCACAATTTTTTGTTTCCTTTTTATATACACAAATACTAGTACAATAAAATATAATTCGTCATGTTAAATGTAAGTCTGCCATCATTTTCTTCTAGATCAACGAAAATTGTTTCATAATTATACATACAATATTTCCTATTTTATGTATTTGACATCTACTAGTTACAATCAGAGGTTATAACTACTAATTTTTCTATCTTTTGACGAAGAGAAAGAAAAAAAAAGATTTTCTCTCTTAGCGAATCTTACTATTATTTTTTTCCCTATCTCAGAGAATAAAAGAGTACAATATATGATGTTTCTGTCTTATTATATAAACACGTATTATTCTTCTTTGATAACATGTCATCAGTACAATAGCATGCCAGATTTTTTGCAAGTGGTGCAGATAAGGAGGTATTTTTTTTCTTCCTATACCGTTCGTTTTAACTATTATATTTAAGTTCTTGAAGCATTGATAATATTCAAAGAAATAGTCGTTCCTCTTTATTTTGATGCATGGCAAGTATGTGATATTATCTAGAGATGCAAATAGTACGTTTTGATGACAAATTAATGCGATCTGCAATAGTTTTTGCTTTTTATTAGAATATATTTTTCATAAATCATTTATCAGATATTTTTCAAGATGAAAGACAATATATCTTCAAACAGACTTTAAAGAATTTTTCTAAATTATTTTTTCCAACCATCATCCAGGTTTAATATAATCAAAATTTTTTATATCCCTGTAGTAAACATACGTGAAGTATTCAAACATTAAATGAGAATTTTATGTTAGTTTATAAATGAAAGTAATTATCATTGTACTTCTCTTACATAGAATCAAGAGGAGTTGCAAGATATGATAGGAGACAAAGAAAAAATACTCTGCTCAGTGGGTGAAACAAAATTTTGACAGATATATGAATAACCATTACTCATCATTATTTTCTTTTTCATCTTATTAATCTGTTGTAGACGTTAAAGACATGATTTTATTCACTTATTAATTAAAAGAAACTCGAGTTTCCAGTTTAACAGAAACATGCTGAAAGATCATTACACATTATTTCATAATTATAATATTAGCAAAGCCAACTCATGCAGAAAACAACATTAGTCTAGTATGTTATTTATATAAAACACGTTAGTAGTACTATTTATTATAAGATACAGTCCAATTCAAAATAACTTGCACATCTTGTTTGGTAAATATATCCCCATATATCAGTTACTCTCAAGTAGTTTCCATTACTGATCGATAGCCTATGTCGAGTGCTATTAAACACTATACTTCAATATTTTATTCGTTCGCCTTTAGATTCAATAAGAGACAAACATCGTTTTTTCATCGATATCAACATTTTTAAATTCTTCACATAAAAAAAGCTCTAGTTTATCAATATTTTTCGATTTTCATTTTTCAACTTTGCGTTTTACGATCGACCACAAGTTTTCGATAGGATTAGCGTTTCGAGTATCAGATGAGCACTCCAATAGCTTTAATATTTTATTGTTGATCAATTATTTGAAAATATTGTGAGTATGATTACGATCATTATCTTGTTGTAAACACCAATTTTGACGAAATTCTTGTCTAGCAGCAGAAAGAAGACAATTTTTTAGTATATGAGCTTAACATGAACCGTTAGTTGCCGTTAATTTTTCTTTGAATTCATTGAGGATTATTTAATTGTTACATCGAATATATTGAGCAATATAGATTTTTTCTATTTTCGTGTGGCACATAGCCGACCATTTTCTCTTTACTGTTTAGATACATTTGTTTGTTTCAATTTATTTATATTGTAATAGATAGTCTTTGATGATATCTTTATTTCATGGTGAATAGCACGAGCGCAAGCCATGCCTCTGTCACAATAACGTAGTGTCAATATGTGATAGTTTTTTAAATAAATAGATTATGTTATGAGTAAATGTTAATATATCAAAAAGATGAGAAATCACACTTTTATATAGCCAACGTGTAGTATATCTAACGAACATATATCCCTGAAAAAGTCAAAGTTCTAGTTACTTTCTAACGGTAAGAAAATCGTTCTGCAAAAAATTAAATTTTGTGCAAGTTTTTTTTAATCGGACTGTATATTAAGTAGTTCATGTTCATTACACTTTAGAAAATGTACTTCACCCTTGTTTTTACTAAAGAACTCTATAGAACTTAAGTTATTATAAAAAATATAATTTGTGACATATGTAAATAGTGTTCAATTTTTCTTTATATTGTCTGTTTTTTTCCCAAAAAAATATCGATAGACTAATTTTAAATTTGCACTTGTTTTAATGAGTAATATGATTTGATCTTTATTCTTTCGTATAAAAAGTATATAAGATTGACACAAATGTTTTTGACATATTCCATAATTTCTTTTTTTTTATTCTATTCTCTTGTCAAATATATACATTCAGTATTAGTAGGAATACAACTGTCGAATCAATTTATCTAAGAGGCATTCTTAATATACATACACTTGTCCTATGAGAAATGTCTAACTTCTATTGTCATTGACAATATTTTTCCATGTCAGTATATTCAGACAATCTTTTGTTTTTCTCGTCTCATGAGAATCTTTGTATTCCAGTTATTTGTACTGAAAAAGCTAACTTATGCCATCAATGCCACTAATTTGGCTTGTTATTACTAATAATATGTTTAAAGAGGACATTTGTTGTCAAGAACCAATCGATGTCTCCATTGTAGATTATTAGAAGGAAGCAGAAAAAAAACATAATAATAACATGAATTTTGATCTTTTTCTTTAATCTAGTAAGTTCATTATGTTTTTCAAACTTATGATTATCTGACGGTAACAGTGATAAAAGATAAGTAAAGATATAACATTGTCGACATATTCTTTCAATCATCTATTTTTATTTTCGAAGGATAGATAGCTATATTAGACATTTTTTTTGTTGTCAACCTACGCTATGACAGATAATAAAACCGAAGACCTTGTTTCTACAGTATAAACTAAATATAAAATATATTATTTATTTTTCTTTATATCTATTGAAGAATATCATTATATTTTAATTAATATATATATATAAAATGCAAACATCTATATATACAAATTTATCTTCATCCTCACCTTCAAATATTTTTCGTACTGAAATTAAACAATATATCGACGATGTTAATCGTGTTCTTGCATTTGTTCAAGCATTTATTTGTATAGTAGGTGTACTTGGAAATCTATTGGCATTAATTGTTATTAATCGAAAATCTTTAAAAAATACATCATCAGCAGTATTTATAACATATATGGCAATATTTGATAGTGCTGCTCTTCTATTACATTTTGCTCATTTAGCAAGACGACGACGAATTCTTTTCCTTCACTGTGCATTAGCATACATTACAGATTTAACAACATTTTGTGCCAATTGGGTTCTTGTTATTATAACATTAGGTAATAATTTAATTTTGAAAATGTAACAAATATAAAATAAAATTTAATTTTTTTAGAACGTTGTGTTGCTGTTTATTCACCATTTCTTGCAAAACGTTTTTGTACTGTACATTCAGCTCGTTATTCAATGTACATTCTTTTAACATTTTCAATAATATTTTTTTCCATAATATTTCCATTTACTTATCAAATAACTGGAACACCAAAAAATGATAAATGTTTTTTACGTGACAACGGTGGATTAATTATTCGTATTTATCAACCAGTTTTATTTTATGCTATACCAGATATATTACTTCTATCAAATTTATTTACAGTTTATTCATTATGTCGACGACGACATCGACTTTCATCAGCATATATATCTGATTCATTAAAATCTGAAATACGTATTAGTGATGGAAATTCAAATCGTAAACAACGACAATTAACAATAATGCTTGTTACAGTTAGTTTATCATTTTATTTATTTACAACTCCAGCACTCATTGCTTATATAAGTCAACAGAATCCACCAACTCATCGTAATCCACGTCGAATAAAACTAAACTTTCTTATGTCACAAATTTCTGTTGTTTTATTACAATTAAATAATGCAGTAAGTTCATTTAATATTAAAAAAATAAAATAATTATTTTATCTTATTTTTTTTAAAGACAAATTTTATATTTTATTGTTTTGCTGGACAACGTTTTCGTAGAGCAACAATGCAAACATTTAATGATTATTCAGTATATGTTAAAATATTTTTTCATCGATATATTTTATGTAATAAACAATATACTACAATACCTGTTTATCAATATCAATTGAATAGTGTGGTAAATACAACATTAACTACTCGTGGACCAAATTCTCCATACCATCATCGCCATCAACAATGTAAAACTTCGACAATGTAATTGACACTTTTGACATCAATATAAAAAAAGAATTGATTGAAAAAAAAAGAAATCCTATTTTGAACACATCAAAATACAATATGAAGACATAGCTGTCAGATAGATCCAGGTGAAATTATATTGTTGTTTGACAAGATGACAAGTATATATTATATATTTATTCCATTCATAAATGTATTTGTATTCAATATATGAAATGTATGTTAATTCGTATTTTCTAAATAAAAATTATGTTGTTTAATAAATATATATACTAGACATTTATTCAAAAAAAATATTTTTTTAATAGTCGAAATTCCAGTTGAACTATAAGGAAATAATCTAATTTCTATGTATGGTTAACATATTCGATGATATCGTATCGAACAGTACTCTGACCTATATAAGGAACATTGTAAGCTTAACAGATAATAATTAGTATTTCACAGTATGTCGTTCTACTCATGACTATGAAATATACCAAATAACTCTTATGAAAAGATTAATTTAGATAAACAAAAGAGTCATAGAAGGTCTCAATAAAGTTAAACACTGTTGAAACTGAATAATGAAAGGTATTTTGTTTTTGTAATCTACTATTTGTATCCTAGAAGTATTTTTTTTCAACTTTTTCAAAGCTCGATGATCTTTATTGCATCAATTACCAGCTGATTCATCGCAACTACATAGAAAAATTACAGAAACAGGTTGTGTTTAACAAAAAACCGAGACGAGAAACGAAAAGAGTTTATGTATTGCATTTGAACCAGACCAGAAAAATAATGGTATTCAACTAGAGACAAAAAACAAAAGAATGATAAAAATATAAAGAAGAATATTTACTTTATTCATCAATATCATCAGATATTTCAGTAAGTTGTTCTTCGTAATGATTTGGAACTTCATTCAGAAATGCTTCATCATTTTCATCTTGATCATATGTTATGACTAAACATTTTGTTCGAAATCCACCATCACGAGCAATCTAAAATTAAATAATTTTTTTATAACCCAGGGCGATGATTCCGAACACCTATTTCGGTGCCGTTTCAGGCAAGAAGCGGCTGCGAACGAATATCGTTTTTCGCCGTTTAACACCGTAATCCGTATATCCAGATTCGTATATGTAATCTTGCCGGAACGGAAACGGCGCCTTTTCAGGTCGTATCCGGTGAATAACGATGGGCCATATCCATACCGTTTTTAGCCGTTTCATGCCTGAGGGTGAGAGTGTGGGTGTGGGTCTGAATGTAACAAAACGTTTTTTATTACACTCAAACACCCACACTCTAAAATTATTCACTTAAGTATGGAACGAACAAATTGATCATCGTCTAGTGAAACGACATACGTGATATAGTCATAAATTATCGTCGCTTGTTTTGACGAAAAGAAAATAAGATCTGGGAGAATAATAGAGAGAAAATAGCTACTAATACGCGGAAGCTATCACGTATTATATCTCTATACTTTAATCGTCGGAAAGACGTTAGTTTTTTTAATAATTTGATCGGAATGTTTTAATTAAATTTTATCGATTTTCTGTTGTAGATGAATAACCAGCGAACAACTGCACAAGCGACATTTGAGTTTGCTGTGGTATGTTTTGAATAATGAGTTTGGTTATTTTAAAAGTTTTCCCTCTATCTCTTAATAGCCGAATTTAAAATTTTTTTTCTTTGTTTTTATAGGTCAATCGAAGACGGTCATCATCGGTACCAGGTAAGTTTGGTGTTTGCTGTAGTAGTCATAATTTGATATTATTTAGTTATAGTTCGTGGACCTTTACTTGCTCAATCGTTAAGCCGTAACCCACCAACGTATTCAACAGTAAGAGTTTGTTTATAATTAAAAATATCGGTATATGTGCAGAATAAGCGTGCCATCACTTTATACATGTAGAAAGACAAATAAGAAAAGAAAATCTTATGGAAATAAACATATCACTCTTAATCGATTGTATTGTACAATAGTGATATGTTAATTTGCTAAGCATTTGTTTTTCTATTAAGTCTATGTATACATATATATATTCATGGTGTGCTTAGTCTGCACATATAGCGAATAATCTTTTTTTAGGTTGTAAACAAAGATGAAGTCGAACAACAATCACAACAACAGCATCAACAGTCAACTGAACTTGTACATAAAATGCTAGTTGAACAGCAAGCACTTCAGGACGATATATTAGAAATCTTATCAAAATCAACAGAAGCAAGGGTGTGGATGGGGGGTGGGTGTGGGTCTGAATGTAACAAAACGTTTTTTGTTTCACTCAAACACCTACACCCATAATCATGCCCAAGACCACAACCACCCACACCCACACCCTACGATTAATTATTTGTGTTGCTAGATGTCGTGCTCTTCCTTTCTTTTTTTCTTTCTCTCCTTCACACTATGTCTGTTGTTGGTGCTTTTTATTTTTTATTAATTGCTAGATTGTTTCCATAGCAGCGAGTATATATTATCTATATAAGAAACAAACACATATGAACATAGTCATACTAATTTTTTTCCATCACCTGAATCTAAAAAAAATCAGTTATGTGTAAAGGTCAACAAATTACAGGCATTACGTCGACATATGTGAGTATTATAAATAAAATTATTAAAGCAGTAATTAGTGAATATCTCAATAACCGTATGATAAAAGCATCTCAAAATTTCAGGGATCACTATGCTTTATAGCCTACATCTATGGTGAAATTTTCAGCTAAATCGATTTCATAAAATTTCCTTGTTAAGAAGTGAACCTATAGATTTCTCATGAGTCTTAGAAACAGAAATTTTTGTGTCAATATAATCTCTCGATTCTAAAAATAGATCTATACCATTTGAAATTAATTGAAAACGTTCTATTTAGTTATTCGAGCCGATTTTTCTTCATACAGTCGTACTCTGTCACGTTGCTGACGCTCAGTGAACCTTAATTATTTAAAAATCTAATCATAATTAAAAAAATGCTGGATAGTTATTTTGTAGTCTCAACAGTCGTCTACAAAATATACTAATTAGTTTCGAAAGATAACGTTTAGACTCGCTGAATTTTACAATTGAAATACATGAAGTGAAAGTTAATGTCCTTTTTTACGTCACGTCGCTAACGCTACTATTTTGCCAGTAACTCCTGTGAACTAGAGTTTTTAGAGCTGATTTTTTTCAGGGTATCTTGAGTAGCCTAACATACATATAATATATAAAAATCAACTTTAAAAAAGTTCATTAGACTGAGATATATGTGTTGCATTTTTACAAAGTCATGTCACTAACAAATGATTTTGTTCGTATATACGTCTGGCCAGTCATTTTGATAATTCACAGTACTCAATTAAATTGCGTCCCTCATGACCAGTGATGCCAGATGTCTTAGTCAGAAACCGGTATTCCAATATCAATATCCGAAAAATTCCAGAAGCTTTTTTATTAAATCCGGAAAGGTTTTTAACAGTTGATTTTTAGCAACTAAAATAAATTTCTATAAACCTTGTTCTCAATTATATCATTTATTATTTTAAAAAAACACCTTTCAATATATCAGAAGAAAATCAACATTGAAATTCAAAATATAATAAACTAAATAAATAAAAAGTATGAGCCACTGAGCCGCTATCAAATAAAATTTTTTTTTTGAATAATAACAAATAAATAAAATTTAATTCAAAAAAAATCATCTAAAATTCTGGGAAATTCAAAAAAATTGGGAGAATCCGGAATTTTTCCACAAAATCGGGAATATCTGGCAACACCGCTCATGACATCACGTGTACTAGTGCACACCAGTTAACTTCGAATAATTTTTTTTAGGTTATTAACGAACTTGAACAACAACAACATCAACAAACAATTAACCTACTCCACCAGCTATTAGCGCAACAAAAAAAGCTGCGGGAGCGCGCAAATGATCTTATAGTAAAATTAACTCAAACTAATAAAGTAATGTATGCTCAGTTTGTAAAATTAAACGAACAATGAAAAAAAATCATTAACTTTCTGGTCTTATTGGTTCAAATGGAACACATAATTTCTTTTGTTTTCTCGTCTCGCTTTTTTGTCATTATTACTTTCTGTTCGGTGTCATTTTTTATCTACTTGAATATGATGTTAATAAGATAGAGATAAATAAAAATAAACTATATGATTACATCCTATTTCACTATTATAATGAAATAGTTGTTTTTTATTATAACTGATAATAAGATTCAATCTTAAGTTTATTAATATAAATCGATGCATTGTAATGTTTTTTTGTTCAATCAAACATTTCCTGCAAATAATTTTAAATTCTTTTCATTGAATTATAAATAAATGAATCGCATCTTTAAATAGATGCGATTCATTGAAGCCGATGATGGTTGACGTAACATGCGTCATGTCATATAGTAAAAATAATTGCACTTCAAATTGAATATTGATGATTAAATCAACAGAATGGCTAGGTTCCATATATATTCCTATAAAATATATGAGATATAACACATGTTAAGCAACATAAATCATAGTTATATTGATATAAATGACGAACATCATAAATACTATAATTCAAACAGATCTTATTATTAATTTATCTCATTATACAAAACTGTTTCTTTCCTTCAAAAAAATGTTATGCTACATCTTTTTTTTTACATATGCCTGTTTATGATATATCTTTTATACAGTCATTATAGTGAACATCAGAAATACATACTACTATCAAGAAAGAAAAATTCATTTGTAATTCGCTTGTCATGTTACATCTGATGTGATGTAATAATTCAATTTAATGATAATTTTTTTCCATCAATCGTCAGATTATGACATCTAATGAATATATTAAACTTTGTTTTAATAATTCTTTTTCTATAATTGTTCATACATTTAGTGATTGTGTAAATAGATATATAATGTTTTAAACACAATTGATTTTCTCTAAAATTAAAATACTTAATAATTATGTTAGATGACATTTTATATTATTAGTGTTATAGAGATATTTGAAAAAGATATTCAATAGGTAATATTATGTATATTTGATTTCTTCTCTAACAATTTAATAAGGTATATCAATATACAATGACATTAATTATATATATTCTATTCTTAGACTATTACAAAAATATTTTTGTCTAATTCAATTTATAGATATCTTAATGAAAAAATGTCGAGATATTATTTAATTTAAATTCTCATCTGTCGAATGGTAAGAAATAAATGACATTTTTTCTACAAATAATATTGCACCTTGATTATACACATATGTGTATGTTTATTTAACATCATTCTCGTTTTTTTTCTGCTTATATGCCCTCTAGACGTCAAGATAAGATATAAAAAGGTTTTAAATCGATACATCATGATGGATTTTTTCAATATGATTTTTTTTGTTAATAACGTCGTGTGTCTAATAAAGACTGATCGGTAAGCAACTTGATCTCGGGACTATATATATTGATGCGTAGAATTGAAATAACATACCGTGCTCACGTCAGCACTGTTATTGATGCTTCTTTTCCATTGACAAACGACAGACACTATTAGGTAGAATGTTATATAGGCATACCGGCCTTCACACAACTACTAGTATCAAGGCTTAATAACACACACACACACACTTATATATATATATATATGTATGTATATTTTTTTTTCTGTTTGATTTTTTTCTTTGATTTATCTTGAACCTATTTTTTGTTTTGTATTGTTGAAAAAGAAAAGAAAGATGAAGAACTTGTGAATAAATACCAATATGGTTTATGTCGTCAATCATTCAGTCAATCAATAGACTAGTAAAAATAACTAATCCTATTCAATTTGCATTGAATTTATCCTTCGTATACAGCTCATCTTAAGTGTCCATCCGTCTAAGTCATTTGTTGGTCAACTGATTAGAATAGAAAGAAAAAAGAGAAAAAGAAAAAAAAGAATTGAGCACTCATTCGATTGTCTAGCTAGAGTGCATAAACAAAATAAAATTGCGTACATGCGCCCTATTGACTCATTTGCATACGGACCATAGGAAAGCAGTAATCGTATAATTAGTTTATATAGTCTATATGTGTAAATATATATATATATATATATGTTCCTTTATTTCTATTTTGAATATCTATTGTGTAAGTAAAATGAGGTGAGAGTACTCTCTTATATCTGTTTAGATAGTAATGGTTTGAGAAAGAAAGATCAATCGTCATCCTTTCAAATAGCATCTGTCTGTTTGTCTTTCAGCAATTGCTAGCAATAGACAAAAGGTGGAAATGAATGTTATAGTTTGTATGTTTGTCCTCCCTCTTCTTGCCATATTCTATACAGATTGCATGGTGCCCAGCCCAGTTTGTTCTCTTCTTTTTTTTCCTACTCTTCTTAAGGCTATGTGGTGTAAGAAGACAGAGAATGGCGATCATCACGTCATGTTTGATGTCACTATAGAGATTTATATCGGAGTACCCCCTCGATTCCTTTGGTCGACAAGCTTGTATTGTCCGTTCTCGTTCATCATTATTCGTCTCTTTCTTTTTTTAATGTCTGACATGCGAAAGAGAGAGAAGAAGAAAGAACCGATTCTATCGTTTCGTGTACATTCTCGATTGGCCATCGCTAACACAAGGCCATCACATCATGTTCCCTTTAGCCAGCTACTCATTTATTCATTTTTTTTTATCAAATGAACGAATGAATTACTCGTAACCAGCTAACAATAATAATATAGAAATAAACATAAGGTTTGTTATAGATTTTTTGATGAATCATTATTCTTTCATTTGTATTTAGTGAAGAGTTGAAGGTTTTGTCATTATTCACTCTGTACTTTAACTAATAATAAGTGAGTAGTCGAAACAGAATGATAGACATAACTAGAGAAAGCCACTCGAAAGAGACCATAAGACAACCGCTATATATTTATATATGTATATCGGTCATGATCTAACTATGAATTATGCTGACTAACAATTGCCTTTTTTCTCTCTTGTAGTAAATATACACACATATATATATATTCAGAAGGGTCCGTCATCTGTTCTCATTGTTAGGTAGCCAAGCTGATGTATAGAGAACGCTTCATAATAAGAAAGAGGAGCCGTTAAATATCTTTCTGTTATATACGTGGTGACCAACCATCGCTTATGATAAATATGTTTGAAGATGACGGTTTGATGTGTACGGATGTAAGTATGCGAACATTTTCTCATTCATACTTACATCATCATACTGCTTCGCAATGAATGGTAGTGGTCTGTTGTCATTATCGTCGCTTTTCGGGGACATACTCCTTCGTTATGTTCGTCCCTTCATTTAGATATATGTGTAATAAACGAGCGTTTGAAAAGAATATACTCGTATACATCGTGACAAAATGTGATTGATCTCTATGCGTATACAAACGTTTAATACAAGGTGTGTGTGCTCTATATATGTGTGTGTATATATACATATACACATATATATGGAGAGAGATATGCATTTATGTATATACAATATAGAAGCAAGATTGTCTTTTTCGTATGTTTGTCGATTGTGTAGCACATGTTGCTTCCGTTATAAATATTTGTTGATAATCATGTTCTATTCTTTTCGATATAGCAGCACAATAGAAGACGCATTGCTACCTTAACCATTATACTTCATCATCAAGTATATATTTCTCACGTGAAAATTTATATAATAATCGTTTGCTTTTCTTTTCGTATGTTAGAAGTCAAGTCGAAAGAGTAACTCAATCGTTTTTATTTCTTTATTTCTTTTTCTTTTCTTTCTCTGCTCTTTTTTTTTGCTTCAGGGCCAGTAGTATATGAACAAAAGAAAAAAAAGTAAAACTACTCGAATTAGAACAACATATATTCTTGATCGTTAATCCTCTCATAAATTCTATCAAAGTTCATTGTCGTATATATCAATTTATTCGGACGCTCAAGGTTCTACCTATCAAAATGTCAATCGTCATATATTTCTGTAGTGACTGATCTAATACATGCGCATGTAGACGGCGAGACCAAATTCTTTCTGCTTTTTCTCTTCCTTCTTGTTACTATACTGTTATTGTTATTATCCCTGCTGGTAAGTCTATTTCGAAGTGTGATCTATTGTCTTATTCACATAAAGGCTCAAAAAGGTTAACTAAAATGTGATTTCATGTCGTGGCAGTGATTGTTCATTGTTATTCTTCTCAGTTTCTTTCTTTCTTCTCTTAATCGATTATGCGATTGATGCTAGTTGCTAGAATTGTTGACCTTTTCAATGTTCAAAACGGTTAGTAACATGTTTCTACATATGTTTAGTTAGATATATTCCTAGAATTCATTAACACGTCTTTTCAACTATCTGTTAGTAGGACAATATCGATCAATACTGACTCTTTTGGTTTTTTTTATCAACCTTGATTGAAGGCTGTCGCCTGTCGTGCTATATTCTCCATATCATCTCAGTTTTTCTTTCTTTCTTTGTATATGTTTCATTTTGTCTTCGTAAGAAAATTTAGTTATATAGACAATTGTTGCATCATATCTTAATCGTTCACAGTAACATTCAGATCAATTCATCAAACGATCTTATTTGATCATTACATGCATTGGCACCCACTGTGTCATTTCTATCTTGCTGGCAATGATGACATCATCATTATCATCGTATTCTTCTTCTTCTTCTCCTCTCTTTTTTTTCTTGCCCATCATCAATATTAATACCATATAAATTTACACACTTGTTTGACCGTAACTTTTTTTTTGTATTATTACATTGTAGGTGATGGTATGTCGACTGTATGTTGTTTAACTATGCCATCAAATCATTATTCATTAGCATCAACATCATTTCTTTCGAGCACTATTAATAACAGAGAAGAGCAACAGAAACAAGTGGAGAACGACGAAGCGGAAAATTATAGTATGATTTCGAATGAAAATGTATCGTCAATGACATATAAAAATAAATTACCAATGTGTACTCGAATCTTACAAGAGCAACAACAACAACAACAACAACAGCACCAGCCATCGTTGGTACTAGTTGCTGAAGAAAACGAAATATTCGATACGGATAATAATAGACTTCTTCTCCCTTGTTCGACACGTTCACTTAAAAGACGTACTAGTTTTTTTGATAAAGGCCGTGATTGGGTAAGTATTATCTTTCATTTTCTATATTAATATTTATTAATATTTAGGCACGACGTTTCATGACACTTCATCGAGATCGTCGTAATACGACATCAAACGAAAAGATTCGTGAAACATGTTCTCAATTAAATAAAACAAAATCTCATCATGAATTTTTACATAATCATTCGAAAAGTTTTGATGAAGATGGTTATTTATCACCTATGGAAATCAAAGCTAAAGTAAGAAAAATTCTGTACATATTATAATACTTTCTTAATCATCTTTTATAGCTTGATAATATTTCTCGAGAAAATCATTTATTTCATCATCAATCACTTTCGAAATTATCAACAAATGCTCGACAACAATTAATTGTTTATTCTCATAGTAGTTCTGATATATCCCATCCTGTTTATCGTTGTCATGGTCCTATTATGCGATCATCTACACCACAATGTACTTGCCATCATCATCAACAACAACAACACCCACAGCAACAACAGCACTTATGCACTAAATCTTTTATTTCAGAATTTGATAAATCTCTTTCAATTGTTGATTACATTGATTTTGATGTATCTGAAGAATCATCATCATCAGCATCATTCACATCAAAACAAAATGATGCTGATGATGATCCACTTGATGATCTAAGATATCTATTTGACGATAATAATAATAATAATAATAATAAACAACAAAATGGAAGTTTTATTCGACGTACACCACGTCGTTCAACGAATACATCATCAATATCAGCTGATTCTGGTTATTGTGATATACCCATGTCATCATCAAAATTTATACCTGTACATTTAATATCATGTACATTAATACCGGTGAATGTTACACGAACAGACTCGATGGATATACGTTGTTTAACATGTACATGTCCATCAGTACCAGCAACATATTTTTCTAATAAAACAGAACGTCGACGACGAAAATCTTCTGCACATTCATCAGGTTCACAATTTCAAGGAACTTATTCTCGACAACATCTAGATATAATTGAGAATGAGATAAACAATCATTGTTCATGTAATAATAAATATTATTCTACAATGACAATATGTCCTACATTATCTTTATCCTCGCCAATGGAAACAAAATCTATAACAAAAATAGATGTTAATTATAAAAATGATTATTACAATAAACAACAACATAAAAAATATTTAAGAAAAAAACGAACAAATCTTTCAAAGTCTGTTTATTTATATAAAAATAAAGAACTATCTTTTTTCTTCTATAGACTCTCAACAACTGCTGATGATTTAACATCTGTAATACGTTGGTATAGACCAAATCTATCAAGGTAAATAAAATCATTTCTATATTTATTTTAATAAATGTATATATTGAAGAGATGCAATGTATCATGTTCTTCAACAAGCTGATTATGGTGCATTTATTTTACGCAAGAGTACAACTCATCCAGATTGCTATGCTCTATCTGTTAAAGTACCAAAATTTGCACATGAATCATCTGTAGTTCATTATCTGATTGAAAAAATTACTAATCAGCAGAATATTGCTAGTTATCGTATTAAAGGAACAATAAAACAATTTCCAACACTTCTTTCTTTATTAACTCATCATTCAGTTATGCCAGAAATTTTACCAATAACACTTAATCTTAATGAAATAAGTTCTGTTTGATAAGTCATAGTTTATATATTTCTGTGTAGGAACAGTGAACGAAATATATGTATATGTTTCTGTTTTTGTTTTATTGTTTTTTTTTATATTGACAAATTTGTCTGCTGTGTGTGTTTATTTGTGCTTTAAAAGAAAGAAAAGAACTACTAGTTTCATTTGAAATTAAATTTTTTCAATAAGTAGAATAATTATATATTCAACCATCAATGAAAGATAAATAATGTTTTTAGAAAAGTTTCGATTTTTGTTATGAAGTATGATCAAATTATGGTAATTATCGAATATTCGATAAATTTCTTTGAAATGAATCGTTATAGACAACTTCTACAAAACTAGCATGTCGCTCATGATCACGATACTGATTTTCACAAGTATATTAGAATCATCAAATGAGGAGATATATTATTATATAATATTTACATTTTTGTTACTTTACTGTACGTTGCTTAAGTAATTATATATATATAGCAATAAGTTTAGTTAATCTTTTATTGAAAACACATGAAAGACTCGTATATATATTAACAAAGAAAAAAAGACGAAAATAACGAGAGATTATCGTATAATACAATGCTATCGTATATCAAAATAAAATATTATGTAATAGTTGCTAAACGAAATTCTGGTTCTTTTTGTAATAGACCATCTTCATTTATGATTGTTACATTAACGAATCCATCATTATATGATTCATATTCTGAATCTCGTCGTAAACCAGTACGTTCAATAAAACGTGGATTTGTATTTCTCATTCGTGTTAATGATGACCATTTTTCTAACACACGATGACGACGTTGAATACCAATAACTATAAGAAGAACTATACCAATTGCTACACATGCTATTGGTATTGCATATGATAAAATATATTTCATATCATTATCATTAGAAGATTGTGTTGTATGAGTCAAATATGAATTGACAATTGTTGTTGTTGTCGATATGTTTTGAATATTTTGCAGCAGTTTATTGTCACTATTCATCTTAATATGCAATAAGATAATATAGAAAAAAATGTTTATAAAATGAAAGACGTAAAAAAACTGCTATTATATCATGTTGGCTGAGAGATATCATTTCTCTCTCTTTATCTAATGTCAGTTTTTCTTTGTTCTTCATATTGTTTTAAAATGATGAAAGATGTAATTGTCACCTTAAGCAAAGTTGATTACATATGACAATTTTGTTATTGTCATGATGTGATAAGTATTTATTTTTTGTCATTATAGTTTTTCAATTTTTTTTTTTTCTCGTTCTATGAAAAAAAAAGTTTACTGCGTGATATATTAACTGGACTTTACTTTTTAATGCTAAAAGATCTTTTTTATTATTCATTGTCATGATCTAAATATATGATGTCGTATAGTTCTTGCACACCTTGCTCGAAAGATTATTTGAATCAAGGTATATTTTGATGTTTGTTATAAGTTAACTATGACGCACTTTATCACCTTGTACATAAGTGCAGAATTATCAGAAAAGATATAAGTTCATGACGATTTTATTAAATGACTATTGAAAAGTTTGGAAAATCTAGGTATAAGTTTAGAGTTTATCTGACGAGAAAGGTCTCTTCAATGCTTGATTATCTATAGTAAAAACAAATATTATCGTATGCAGTTAATTATGCTAATTTGAATTAATTATCAGAATCCTAGCAATCATTATATCTTTCAAGATGTGTTGTTATAACCATCGATCTGTTTCTGATAAGGACAATTTCTTATGAACAGCTTATTATATATTACTAGATGAAATGTTCATAAAAGATAGATTTTATAGATACTTCAACGTTAAGTTTTTAGTAATAAAATGCCTTGTGCGACGGACAGAAGAAAAAGATTTAATATACAATACATAGGTTACATCAGGAAATGTGAATTCTAAATTGACACCTTGCAACTTTAATTTATTTTATAGGTAAAAATACATTAGTATAATGACAGATTTAAAAATGAAGTATTTAATAAAAAATGAGTTACTATGGATATTTTATCTACTTTTACGTAATCGCTTGATAACAATTACCCTTATCAGAACAGAATTAAAAGTTATCATATGGAGAAAACCAAGGTCGATTAGCAGATGTAAATTTATTCTTTAGAACTATTATAATGAAATACATAAATTTCTACATATTTTTATTGTTTAGACTGACAATAACTCAATGCCTAAATATTACAAAAACATCAACATTAATTTTCCACAGTAAACTATCGTTTATATCTACTTGTTATAAGATATAAATTACATTAAAAAAATCTACTAAAGATTAAATTTCTCTGTTTCTTCTCACAGCTTAATTCGTAATCGAATCTTAATCTGTCTCTGATACATTTTAAGTTTCTTTTTTATTTAAAACACGTACAGTCATTTTTCGATACAAAAATTCAAAAAAAAAGAAGTTGATTATATGATAAACTTTGTATTCATATCGGAAGAAAGAAACCGTAAGAAACTTGATCTAAATATAATTTATGTTTATATAAATCCATCAATACTTCAAGCTGATGTGAAATTAAACAAAAGTACATAGTTTTATATATGCAAATTTATGTATATTTATTTGCATGTATTTCATTCGAGATAAATAATATACATGGAAGAAATCTTTCTTTTGGAATTAAACTAACTTTCTTTTAATCGTTTAAATAATGTTATATAATAAATCTTCTTCAAGGATATCATTTTTCTTTGAGTTAAAACATGTGCAAATAATGGTAATCAAATATATTTATTCACGTTCAATAATAAATTATCATTCGCTTTTTTTCTTTTTTTACATTAAATTATATCATTTTATGATAAATAAAACGATAATATAAATTGTTAATTCAAATTCAATGGCTTTCTCTCTCATTGACAACAGTTTTAATCCTTTTTTTTTTTGCCTCTCTTTTTTTTCTTTTTCTTTTTTTTTGTCGTTCTCTAATATGTGAGTGTACTTCAACACTTCTTTCCTCCCTATCGTCCTTATTTTTTTTTCTTTATTCCTACACGTGTCAAGAAAAAACTTAGGATGGAATATGTAGAATCTTGCCGTTGTCGACATCGTCATTGCATCCGAAATTGAGTTATACAACAAGAAAAAAAAAATAATATGATCAATTCCATTGACCTTTCAGTTCACATCAATGGTCGATAGTATGTATGTTCGGTTTTTTTCGGACAGTTTGAACGGAATGAATTGAAAATGATCGCAAGTTTCATTTAATTATCTTTTTTTTTCTCTTTGTTTGATCTCTGATCTTTTTGCGTAACATGTTGTACTATTTCGAATGAAAAGGTAATTCATATTTTGTCTCAAAGTGTACGTGAAGAGTTTCATTACTCACTTTTATTCTATCGAAGTACGCAGGTATAAATAGTTTCCTTCAATTTTTTTTTCTTCTCTCCCTATCGCTGCGTTTTTTTTTATTATTAACACCGGCGTACATTAAAAAAAAAGAAGCAACTCAAATGACTATATGTAGAAATTGTGTGGCGAGTGGGTGTTATTAAATGACAAGACTGGTAGAAAAAAATGTAATTTTTCTTTTTGTTTTTTCTTCATCATCATGGATGACATATTTTACAAATAGTTTCTTCTTTTTTTTCTTCTCATCCGTGTACAGTCAATGTTCATCATATGGCTGATTGGGCATCCTGAAGGACAAAACTGTTTATGAATATGTATTAGAGATAAAAAAAAAGCCATTCATTACTGTACGGAAGGCTTGAGCGGTATAAACGTAGAACAACGGGTAAGGTGACATTCATTTTCTTGGTGACCCTCGGACAATACAATCGAAAGAAAAAGAGAACATGAACTCTATACGTGTATGTCACCCACAAAAAAAAAGTAGGAGTGTTTTTGTTCATTGAACAATATGAGAGAAAGAAAGAAAAGGTACAGATGTGTACACGATGTTTATTCATCGAGATGAGAATGAACCATAGAGAAGAGAAAGAGGAAACAGCAGCAAAAAAGAAATAGTAGTAGGCTAAGAGTTCATCATCATCATTAGTCTTCTCCGCTTTTAGGATATGTAAGTGTGTGTGTGTGTGTGTGTATATGTATATATGCATGCGTATGTGATTGCTCAATCTTATTCACAATGTGTCTATTGTAGATGGGTACTATTGATTCTTGGTCATCTATTGAGACCGTCATCAGGCAACGTTTAGATCGCAACGAAATTGATCGACGTTATTGTGCAGTATGTGGTCGTCAAGGTCCAACATTGTCACGATGTTTTGGATGCCAAATGGTTTATTATTGTGGTGAAGAACATCAAGCTGAAGATTGGTCTGAAGAACATGCAGAAAAATGTGCCCAATTAGAATGGGTTGCACTAGGAGAATTTATTCAAGCTTTACCAGCACAACCACCATTACCAAATCTTGGTGATAAATGGTCTTCATCTTTGAAAGAAATTCATAATTGGAAAAATTGGTTTTCTATACGTACAAATATTGTTCAATTAGCTAACAATACAGCAAATATTTTTAAGAAACTAGTACATGCTACTGATAAACGACAACCATCGCATCAAAGTAAATCATTTTACATTTTCTTTTTTTTAATCAACACGAAGTGTTAATCGTTTTTATGCATTTGTTGACACTTGCGTACGTCTGTACTACAGATTAACATATTATATTGACACATATATGTAGAAAAGAAGGAAACTTCAGATGGAAAGCTCATCACTGTTATATGTGTATACATATCAATCTTTCACTTCTATGTTTGTTTTTTTTTTGTTGTATAGATGCAGTCGACGGACTTCTTGCGGCCGTAACTGATCTTTTAACTCATGTTCTTACCATCGGCAAGGCTGTCGTTTATTTTGGCCTTCGACCAAATATTCGTCCTCTTACAATACATATTCTTAATGGTTTTAACAAAATTGATCTTATTGGTAACGACCAATCATCATCAAATCTGCCTATTCGCTTTCATGAACTGCTCAATATGTTTCCTGATAATAAAGTGAGTAAAGTCAAGATATAAAAATAAAATAAGAGCACTTGTCTATATATTGACTCAGTCGTATAACGATTATATAACCATATAAAAAGGAGAAAGAAAAGGTGAAAAATGACTGTGTAGACTGCAGTATGTCTATGTCAATTATCTATGATAGGCGTATTTATTTAAATAAGGGACGACTCAAAAAGATCATTTTAATTGCGAAAGAAGTATGTCGTAATCGTTGTATGAAGGAGTATTGACAAAAACATTATCTATCATTTTTTCTTTTCACATAACTCAATAGATGATTGCCAAATGCTTACTACCACCAATGTGTGCGTGCAATACGATAAAAATCATTGCTTACTAGCCCCGTCTGTTGTTTTAGTTCATCATGATGTACATGCTCATACGATTATACATTATATGTAGGAGTAGGCAGTCAGGCAAAATAAAAGATTATCGATCATCTTGATCAATAAAATATGCATACGTAAAGAATCAAGCAATATATATATATATATATGTCTATGTATATAGGGTGTCGAACTAGTCATTGTGATTGGTGACGACGATCAAGACGACACTGACCAGTCATCTGTACCACATGCAAAGCTCAAGTATGTATATATTTCTATTCATTTCATTATTTTTTTTTCTCATCGACATTTGCCTATTAATATAGACCTGATAGATTGATTATAACAACTACCGGTAAAGGTCGTTTTCTTGACACATCAGAAGAAAGACGTCTACGACGCTCAGAAGCTGATCTTCTTGTTTATTTTAATGCTTGGTATCTTTTTACGGTAAATATATGTTTTTCTTATTTGAATAACGTTAATTATGTTTTTTTTGTATTTATATATATATAGTTATCAAACAAAGAACTATTAAAATCAATGCTTATGAAACAAAGACCAACGTTATTAACATTTGAAGATGAAGAAGAATTCAATGAAGCAAAAACATGTTTATCAAGTAAAGGTGTTAATATTCATCAAGCAGGAATAAATCAATTTAGGTATAGTTGCAAAAAAAAAAAAAGAAATGTATTTTTTTATCACACTTTATCTTTTGTTGTAGTTCACTAATCGTTCGTCAACGTTCAAATAGACCAAATTCAGTCTATTCAACAAACAGTTATCAAATCCTATTGAATACAATGCCTGTTAATGGTACTGGTGAGAGAAATGATGAAAATTGCTCTTTATTGTCCCGTCAACGTCCTCATCAATCTTCAATTGGCGTTCAGCATGGTCATACACAAGTACAACATCAGCAACAACTCAATCCCGGTTTGAAACAGGTCAATGGTAAAATACATATTGAATCTCTTTTATCGTCGACGTCGTCGTCGTCGTCATCACATAATACACAGGCAAACAACAACGGGACACCACTAGACACAAATGTTCACATAGGTATAAATTGATGCAGAGTTCGAGAGACAAATACATGAACGTGCATTATAATAATGTTCATTCTTTTTCTTTTTCTTTTCTCTCTTAGTTTCAACCACGAACACGACCGAAGCTACTATTACTTCTACTGTTCAACCATTGATACGAGCAAGTAATAATAATAATATACGCCAACCAACTATAGTACAACGACGGCAGCATTCTTCACCTGCATTAGCATCATCATCTGCTGTTATTACTGCGAACGCATATAGAGAAGCACGTCCAACTACTACTATAATGATGACTGCTGTTGAACCGAATAGGTATAAAAGAATCTAAATAATATGATTTAAACATCAATTATTGTATTTAAAATGACCCTAATTTTTTATAGAAATGAACATAAACCACAACCAAAACCGCGCTTATCTCTAGTCAAAACTACAAATAAAGATATTGAATCAATACCATCTCAAGTAAATGGTAATATTGTTCAACGTATTAAACCAGTTTTCGAACAATCACTTGTAATACCATCACAAGAATCCAAACCTATCAAGCAACAGCAACAACAACAACAACAACAACGTCAGCCTGTTTCAATTCCTTATACATATCAAACAGGAAACACTACAAAAGCTACATGTCTTGATGATATTATTCCATCTAAAGTAAATATTTATAATAAAATATATCAAAAAGAAAACAGATGATTTTTTTTTACTAGAAGATGTATATTCCATCGCCACCACCGCCGCTGGCAGAAATACATATTAATGAACGAACTAATGAGATTATTTCTTCACCATCTTCAGTTGAATTGCGTCATGAACAACGTGCATTACCAATTCCTACAAATAATATTTCTCAAATTCCTAAGCCAATTATTGAACATCATACCGATAAACGATCAATAAAAACTATTTCGAACAGTATTTCTTCACCGTCAATGGTTCCAATTGAAATTCATCATGATCAACGAACTGTGATGAGTGCACCTATGATTGCTCCTCCTCGACCAACGTCCTCATCAATATCATCTATTGAAAATCGTTCTGAAGAAAAATTGACTATCACAGCTGCTACCACTAATATTTCTACAACACGTGTACAACTAACTGAAACACACATTGAACAATCGACTGTAACACCGGCTACTACTGCAACTAAATCTTCATCGCCACCACCAATACCACCACCACCATCATCATCCACTAATAGTTCTACAACACGTGTACAACTAAATAAAAAACACATTGAACAATCGACTGTAACACCGGCTACTATTTCAACTAAATCTTCATCGCCACCGCCACCACCAGTACCACCACCACCACCATCATCATCCGCTAATAATGAAGTGATCTATACAGAAGTCATTAAAAATCATGAACGACCGTTACCACTACATCATATCGATCTTTCGAAAACAACTTTGAGTCCATCTCGTTCATTTATTATTCCAACAAAAGCACCAAGTCTTCTATCAAAAACTCCATCTTATAGTTTTCAACGTTCATCTCAACTATCAACAGCTACTAATTATTCATCTCAAACAAATAAATCAAAACCTGTGTCGTCTATGATGGCATCGGATCGAATAAGTCTTTATTCTCAAAGAAGTACTAAACAACCAGATGTTGGTGTAACAATAAAAAATTTATCAGAATGTATTGATCGTGTTGGTATTGTATTTGATGAAACACACCGTCCACATGATGCACCATCAGTTGGTTTAACAACAGTTGATCTTATTCGTGAACAATTAACAACATCATCGACAACAAAACCAACAGGATCATTATTAGATAAATTATATAAATCGAACAGTAGTACACGTTTATCAACACCATCTTCACGACCATCATTAACTATTGCCAGTCCACGATCAAAATCTCAACAAGCACCAAGAATTAATGATGAAAAATCTTCAATACCCAAGTAAAAAATATAAATAACTTGAATCAATTGATTTTTACTTGTTTCTTTTTCCTTTTTGTTTCAGACCAACCACACCAACAACACCACCATCTATACGACGACCAGTTGGTGTTTTTCTTCCACTTACAACTAAAAACACTCAGGAACCTGAACAAACAACTGCAATTATACCTGAACAATCACCAGCACTTGTTTATCAAAATCTTGAATCACATCATACTTCAACAATTGATTCAATATCTCCTCCATCTCAAACGCTTGATTATACACTTAAACAACCAACTGGTCCTCTATGTAATGGTATACCAAAACCATTTCGAAAACCAACAGCAATTATTGAACCATCACCTGTTGTAGCATTACCTATTCCTAAGATTCCTGAACCAAATTATATAAATTTAACTCATCAAGATGATCAACATATTTATACAAATGAAAATGGTACTGCATTTACTGGTGGTAGTAGTAGTTCAAATTCTTATACAAGTAAAACATCAAGTGTTTATTCTTCAACTGATAAACAAAATCAACCAACAAATATTGAACCACATTATGCCGTAACAAATATTCCAATATCATTACAACAAGAACAACAATCTGTTGATTATGATTCATTTGATGATGATGTTGTTGTTGAAGATTTGGCTCATATTGAAAAACCAATAAATTCAAATGATAATACAGATGATGATTCATTTGATGATGATGATAATCAAAATCCATTACAAACAATTCCATCAAAAAATGCTTCAACAAATTTTTTTCGTTCAACATTAAATCGTTTAACACGATCGAATAAATCTTTAGAACGTTTAAATACTGAACCAACAACAAACGATCTTATACAAGAATCAAATCCATCGAATATAATTGATACAAAAACAAAGAAAACTCTTCGTAGTATAAAAGCACGTCATGAAGCTAAGAAAACTGGTAATCTTTTCGTCACATATACAGGTGATGATGATACAACATCAATTGATTCAAATTGTTCAACACAAACAGCAACAAGTTTAAATAAAACAAATAAAACTTCACATCATCGTTTTCGTTTATTTCGTCGAAAAGTTGAAAAAGATTTTGCTAGTGATACCGAAGCTGAAAAACAACAAACGGAACAACGAAGAAAAAAATGGAATAAAAAAATTATTAATGATACAGCTAATGAATTAAAAACGAAACGTTTATTAATGATGAGTGATGATGATGATGAAGAACATAATTTAAATTTAAAAATAAATGATGAAACACATATATATGATCATATTGTACATGATGAAATTATAAATAATACATCACGTATGGGTAAATTATCAAATGAAACACATTTTAAAGCACCAACAGTAACACTTGATGAAATACGTTCAGAAATTCAAGCGGAAATAGCTGCAAGACAAGATATACAAATAAATAATCAATCGATCACATCATCAAATTTAACATTACAGAAAAAACGTTCGAAATCCGTTACTTTTCTTGATGAATTACTTAGTGATAATTCAAAAGAAAAACAAACAAATATCATTGTTAAAAATGATTTACAAATCAAACAATCAACAACAATTAAACGTATTGAAAAAGGTGATGCACGATCTATTTGTGGTGCTTTAACGGGCACGGGACCTATTCGTGGTATTATTAAAGCGGCGAATAATGATATTACTGGTACAACAGCACCTGTGTCACCATCGGCAGCAGCTGCAATTTATTTAAGTGGACCAACAAATGATACACGATGTACATCACCGAAAGCTCATGAACGTACACATCGAGTATGTATATAAATTATTTTTCAATTGTCTATTGACTTTTCTATTTCTTTCAGCCACTTTCCACTTACACAGTTGGTTCAGCTCGTTTTTATGATGGTGGATCATTACCTACAAATTCTACTCCATCATCATCATCATCATCAGCGGCACCACCGGCACATTCTTTGATTCAAAATAATAATAATAATAATAATAATAATAATGTATCAAATCAGCGTCCAATATTAAATAATACTTCTCAACATTCAACATCAGAAAATGTTCATCATAAACGACCAACCGCTAAAGTTAGTCCATTTCAAACAAAATCACCACATGATCCATTGTCATCATCACCTACTTCTACTAAACAACAACAACAACAACAACAACAACAACAAATAATTTCTTCATCAACAACAAAGAAACCAATTCGACCATCATTAAATCGAAATATGCAAACATCACATGATATAACTAATATTGCGACACCATCTGTTAGTGAAGGTGTTGGTGGTGTATCAAAACGTTTACAGTCGAATTTTTAAGAACAAAAGGAATCTCAGAATGTTTTTTTTTATATTCTTTTTACATTCCATGATTTGTTTCTTTCTGTTTCTCTTTCTCGTTTTGGTTTGTGCAATTTTCTACCTGCTTAATTTGTTTTTACCATATTATTTTTTAGTAAAATTTACTATGTGTCTATGCACGCATCTTGTTTTCGAGTTTCGAAATTGTATGCTCCTTCTTTTTTTTATTGTCTTTTGTTTTTTTTTTCTTTTTTTTGAATGTATAAGTATATTGATGAAGATAAAAATATAGAATATATGTATAGACATATCTTAAAAGTCAATTGATATTTTCACTGTTATTAATGTATATGTATGACATTGAAAACTATTATTAGTAAAAATATTCACAGTGACAAGGTTTCTTGCAATATTATAGTAATTAGAATTTACGTGTTTAGATTCACAGCATAACATTACTTCGCTTTTTTATTTTTATAGTGATGATGAACAGTAATATATATATATATATAAGTTTACTGAAATAAAAGCACTGGATTATATATATAAATGACTAAATTTAAATATCTTTTTCGGTTTGTTTTTTAAAAAATGCTTGTATAACTGCCCATTTTCCATTTACCATCCATCTTGGATCAATTTTAGTTATTTCTTGTCCTACTTTAAGATCTATATCGACTTGTACATCTGCTTTACATGTTCGTAAAACAACGAATGATGTTGGTTGAAAACCACGTAATGCTGTTTCAAATCGTTCATTTAATGGCCAACGTAAATCACCAACTAATTTTCGATAATTTAAATCACCTTTAAATATAATTAATTTTGATTGTGACATTGTACAATAAAGTTCAGATGAAATTTGTTGCATATATGAATAATCATATGGTAATGTAAAAAATCGATGTGTTTGAATAATCCATTGACCATTTTGAATATGTTGTTGCCATCGTTTCGATGCTATTTGCCAGACTGAATTTGATGATGAATTAGATAATTGTTCTAATAACCAATCAAAATCAGTTTTAGTTGCATCGGATACAAACCATGGAAAACATTTTAAATGTAATGTTATACGTGAACATAAACGTTTTGATATAAGAAAATCAGCAAAACATAAATCCGTTAAAAGTTCAAATCCTGCATTATCAAGAACAAAATCAATACAAACATCAAAATTTAATAAATATGCTTGTTGATCATAAAGATAATTAAAAAGTGATGTTTCATGATTGATTAATATATGAGTTTTAAGTTCAGTTATTTGATGAAATGGATCATGTTCTTGTGAACGATTAGCACCTCCTGATAATGATAAATCGCATTGATTACCCCAGAGAGAAATCTAAATGAATAAAAAATTAGATTCTATATTTTCTTGTTTCATAGAATATCTTACTTCCATATAATTATAAAATTGCTGTTCGATTGTTGATTTATTATTCACCGGATCTGTTGTTTGTTCAATATCTATATTTAATTGAGCAAGAACAACATCGATAGCTTGTACAGATGAATAAAAAGTATGTTGTTTCATTTCAATAAATGGATCGACATGTTGAAGATGAGCACTAAAATATTAGAAATTAGAAACAAAATAAAAGAAATTTATTCTTACGTAAGATTAAATGCTTCAGCTATCTTTCGATACATATAACATTCAACAAGAAGCCAATTACTTTGAAACCAACTAATTACTTTACCTAAAATATATTTTATTTCTATATAACAAAAATTTCTTTTTGCATTTTTTACCTTGATCCATTTCTTTTTGAAGATATTCATTCCATATATGTATATCATCGGTATGATTATCATTCAATAATAAAATCGGTTTATCCTAAAGAAATTAAATAGATTCGAATATATCAAATTTTCCTTCTTACACGAGCAATCTCATAACGTAATTTATCCATTGCACTAATACATGATTTACATTCATTTTCAGCGTCCTATAACAAAACGATTATTTGAAAAATAAATTTAATTCAATATAATCAAACTTACTTCACCATATTGTTTTGCAAAATTTGTTCGATGTCGAGCAAGAAAATCGACAATACGTGTAACAATTAATGGAAGACGATCCTTAATTGTTTCATATGCAAATGATCTAATATACAAAATTTATTTTAATAAAAACAATAGAAAAGTATATAAACATACTTTTCATCTTTCGCTGATAATGGTGGTGGTAATGCCATAAATATATTTTTATTAATTAAATAATAACTATATTTTCATTATAAAAACTACGCGCGTACTATCTATAAGTAAAATGTTTATTTTTTTAATCAGATGTTTATATATTACAGACAACAAAAGAAGAGATATATAAAGAGAAACAAAAAACAAGAAAACAAAATTAAATGTATTTATATTGATTTAATTTTTTAGTTGGATCATAATCATCACTCATTTGTTGCCAATCTTGTTCTGTTTGACCAACTACAAAACCAACTAAACACATACAAATATAATAAGAAGATTAATAATTAGAAATATATATACATACCAGCTTTTTTATGTAGATGAAGAACATTTTCTTCAATATCAGCCCAACGAACTTTTTTCTTTTTTGATTGAAGATTTGGTGATAAATCATTTATTTGCTCATCAATACTAATTGCTGTATTATTCAACCGTTTTTCAATCGGTGGTGATGACGATGGATTACGACGTTGATATAAACCATCAAGACGATCTAAATTTTATTTAAATAATAATAATAGTTTATAGATAAAAATATTTCAAAAAAATAAATAAGACTTCAATAAAAAAAAATATAGCATACCGGGATTTGTTTCCATCATTGCTTCCCATTTACTTTTCTTTGTAATCTAGAATAATCATTTGTGTGCTTCGTAGCGTCATCGTCGATCAGATTTGACTTACACACATACATACACACACACACACGGATAGAATAATGTACTTACTATATATATATATATTCCCTCATACTCAGTAGAAAACTCTCTATTTCCTTGTTTCTTAAAATCTATTTATTCAAATTACCTGACTCTCCTCCTCCTCTTCGATCTCATTTTGTTCAGTTGTTATCGAAGGCGCATCGTCCATTTCAACCTTTGACAAACAAACAATAAAAAAACATAATTTCCCTAAGAAAAATAATTATATACTTCATCAATAGCATCTGATTGAAGTAATGATCGAATATCAAGAATTTCATATCGAAGTGGTAATTGTTCCCAGTGTTTATGAATCTTTTAAATTACAAAATAATCTTAATGAACATATGTTTATTAAATCAAAAAAATTACTTGTTGAATATCGGATAAAGTTCGTTTATGAATATTTCGTTGTACACATGATTCTGAATCATTATTTAATTCAACAAAATAAACTTGAAATTGATTAGCTTCGGCATAATCTGCCATGTCTCGAAAATGTGCTAATTGTTCATTATTTTGATCAATAATTAAAAATGGATAAAAACGATCATCTATCGATTTTTTAACAAGTTTTATTAAACTTTTTCGATATGTTTCTTCCATTTTTACATCATATTCATACTCCATTATCTTAAAAATAACTATTTATATAAAGAGAAAACTTTGTTTTTTTAAAACATACAGATGATTTTGTAATTTTGCCTGTTTTAGGATCTTTAGTTTCTTGTTGATTTTCAGTTAGAAAATAATTATCAATTGAAAAAATTTTTGGTTTATTGGTACCTTTTGATTGAAATTCTTCTTCATTCTATAAAGATAGATTTTAGAAAAAAAACTAATTATGAATTTGATTTACTTTAATTAAATCAGCAACATATGATTTACCAGAACCTATTCAAAGATGTTTTTTTTAGATAATAGGAAAAAAAATAGGAAATACAAACCAGGTAAACCACGAAGAAAAACAATAATTTGTGATGGTCGTTGTGATCGACCAGGTTCTTTAAGAAGTGTATCTATCTGTAGAAAATAGAGAGAAACATTTTTTAGAATTAGTTTAGAGATTTTTTGTAAAAATCATACTGAAATAAGTTGATGTTTTTGAAAGAGTTGACTAGTTAATACTTGTTGCTCATTTGAATTTTGATGAGTTGTTTGAGAATTTATAGGATATGTATTACGATCACTGTTCAACCATTGAGAGTTAGAAAGCTGAGGATTAAATGGTTCTGATGGAGGTGCTGGTGGAAATCGTAATCTAGGATTTGTTGATTGAAAATGATGTTGTGGCTGTTGTTGTTGTTGTTGATTATTACGAAATGTTTGTGATGAAAGACTCATTAAAGATGGAAGTTCTTTTGTATTTTCATTGTCATAATTTGACTAGAAAAATAAAAATATGATAAAATATTCTATATTAGGTAAACTTACTGGTACATCGAAATCCGATTCTTCAAGATAATGACTTTTTCTTTTTAACAAAGCTGTACCACCACTAAATGATGGTTGAGGAATTCCAGTACCACTGCCAAATGATGGTTGTGAAATATTCGTATTATTAGTAAATGATGTTTGTGAAATACCAGTTCCACCACTAAATGAAGGCTGAGGAATACCAGTACCATTACTGAATGATAGTTGAGGTGGAGGTAAGGGTGGTTGCATATGATGAAAAGTTGTTGGCGGTGATGGAATAAATGTTTGCATAGATGTATTAGGTGGTCCAGGAGGTGACTGAATTATCCAAGATTGTTGTAGACGTGGATGAGATTGGACAAACATCATTGGTTGTTGTTGTTGTTGTTGCATTGGTAAATTACCAGGATATGGTTGATAAAAATTATGAGTGGGTGCATTATACATTATAGATGGATGTTGTCCTATATGTTGCTGTTGTTGTAGTTGTTGTTGATGTTGCTGTTGTTGTTGAGGGAAAAACACAACATGTCGATTAACAGGTTGTCCATTGTTGAAATGATCAACTATAAAATACGCAGCATAAATAATTTCCATTTCAAAAAAGAAGAGTAATGTGTTACAAAGAAAACTACTTACATTGATCACCACGATATGGTATCATTCTAGTAAATAATGATTAAACATCTAAAAAAAACATCAGATTATATAATTTATATTTACTAATTAAGACTTTTTTTTCTTAATCTAACTCATTTAAGCTTCTATTAAATATATGTTAAGTTATCGCGTGATCTATAAGTATATGTCATTCATTGTAAATTATAAAGAAAATTTAATATTTACTCATTCAAAGTTTGTAGTAGTATCTAAAGAAACAAAAAATATCCATTAATAAGTAGTTGCAGATGATGATAAAAATTTATAAGATTTCATATTTTCATAGAATATAGGATACATCAAGTGAAGCTCCTAATGTTTAGAAACCATAAGAAAATCAAAATGTATCAAGTAGTCATAACCTTGAGAAAATATTTTTAGGAATTCGTTCATGTTTGAATAATTTCTTTCTTAGACTATAAAGAGAATATGAAACTATTTCTTCAATACCTTTGAAAGCAAAACTCGATTTGTAAAAGAATTTATTAACGCGCCAATTAGTGTAACAAGAAAGAAATAGATGCCAATAAAAATGTGTTCATCTTCAAGTACATCAACAACGGATCTACAACAATGTCAAGTAATATGTTCTGATTCTTATTCTCAAACATCACTGAACGATGATGATGATGATGATGACTATGCAAATTATGAAGAAATTTATTGTCAAAAATCTCTGATAACAACACATGAAAATAATATTAAAAAGTCTGATCAAACAACACTTTGTCGAATCAATCGTTATTCAATTGCTTGTTGGACAAAACCAGCCTATTTAATTACTAATTAACTGATCAAAACAAAAGAGATATTTCAATGAAATAGATTCCTATTCAAATAAAAAAATTCTCATTTTACTCAAATTTCATTCCATTTAATTTGTTTTAAACAAATACATGGATACGAAATATTTACTCGCATGCTCGATATCAATATCATCTTTCTAAGTCAAAATTTATTCATACTAAAAAAGAAAGCAATATAAAACTTTTCAATCTACTAGTAAAAATTGAATGACACAACAGATGAAATCTATCAATAACAAAATATCGATATTTTTTGGGCTTCTTAATCTTTAGATACTTGTTAATACTTACTTCGATACAAATATCTTTATAACACGGCTAATATAATATTAAACTGATGTACATAAATTGTGTTCTTAAATACGCTTACAAAGTAAAATTTCTCTCTAAAAAAAACTTACTGCTATCTTAATTGTAATCATTCATGATCCTATGACATATTCATATTGATCGGCACATCAAACTTTAACATTCAGCCATTATCGGATTGATTATAAAACGTAATCTGTTTTTTAATATTATCTACAAACATAATACAAAAAAGGCATTGTTCTATTATTCTCAATGAATACTAATTATGTAATATTCTGAATAAAATAAGACAACTACATACACACACGCACGCACACACACTCATAAATATGGAATGTTTAATTTTATCAAACAAAAAACAATTCATACTGTTCATTCTCAACGAACATCAATTTGTGAAATAACACTAGCATTATTATCAGCACCATTCGTTGTTTTTCGTAAACGTCTTAAACGTTCTTGAAATAATGTATTCATATGATAACGAAGTGCTGTACCACGACGTCGAAGATCATTTTCACACATATCATGATTTGAACCAAGACGTTGAGCATCTTCTAATGACATTTTTCTTAATTCTAATTGTGTATCTGAATCAGTACGTAAATCAAGACTTTTAGCTGATTTATCTAAAGGAGCAGTACGAGCGGTATTAAAACCAGCTAAACAATGCTAAAAACCAAAAAGAATTAATCGTTAAATAAAGAAACTTCTTTTCTTCTGTTTACATTAGCAAGAGCAACACTATCTGTTGATAAATCTGATAGATGAGCACGTTTTGGTGGACGGAATTTATATGCATTAGCATTAACACGATATTTTGGAACACTTACACTAAAAAAATCAGAAGAATAAAACTTTTTTTATAAATTTTTTTTCTAATTATTACCGTGCATATTGTGGTTCATAAGAATTAGGTTCTTTACGTAGTGATCCACAAATTGGACAACAACTTTGTCCATTAGCATCTGCATTTGTTGGAACAGTAAAAAGACGATCATTAACTGTAAAACTATGAATACCTATATACAATATATATGTCAATATTTTTCATTATTAATTTTTTTTTGTATATTCACAAGTATGGGAATGTTGATAACCATCTGGTGGTATAAGTTCAAGTTCTTTCGAAAAATCTGCTAAATCAGCTTCACTAAATTATTTCCAAAATAGATTATCTAATATAAAAGAATATTTATTTTCATTTACTTTGATAATGTATATGATGTTGATTGATCTAAATTAGTTTTACGAAATGATACTAATTCATCTAAATATGATTCCGATAAAGAACGATCATTATTTAATAATGCTGCTTTTTCATTATCAAGTAACCCAGCAACAAAATCATAACCAAGTAAAACTTTTTGACGATTATTAACTTGTGTTTGTTGTTTTTTTGGTGATATACTTGTTGATTTTCTCTGCTGTTTTAATGACATATTTTGTCGTTCATGAATCCGTTTCTTTAGAAAAAAAATAAGTATATAGAAATTTTAATTTAGCAAAAAAAACAAACTTTAATTTGTTCAACATTATCCGTTGACCAAGCTTGTTCTTGTTGAGTAGTTGATGTTCGTAATGTATTATAATAAACATCTCGATCATTACCTTCATCAAGTAATGAATGCCAATGTTTAAGCTATATGAAATAAAGATAATTAAATAATTAATTTAGAAATTAAGAAATATTAACTTCATTCCAAGGTTCATTTTTCTTTCTTATAACTTTTTGAGATTCATTATTTTCTTGTTCTTCTTCTTCATCGTTATCATCACCATCATCATCTGTATTATATGAATAATTGAGACCTTTTCGTCGTTGATCTTGAACATTTTTTAAATATTGATCAATATCGACACGAGAGATATTATCAGGAATATTAACAACAAATGGTTCAAGTGAACATTTGTCATCATTAGAATCATCTTGCTTTTTTAAAATTGAACGTGATTGTAGAGAATCAATTGATATCTACAGAAGTATATACATATATATAAGAAATATATTCTATTTCAAAAAAATATATTTTTACTTTCATATTTGATTGATTATCATCAAGAAATGACACGCTTTTACTTTTTTTTATTATTCCTGTTGTATCATTCGTTATTGTTTTAACTTGATTGGAAATAACTACTTGATGAACATTGAGACGATCAATTAGAGAACGAGTTTGTTCTGCAAGACTTCGACTATTTGCCATTCTATTGAACGGATTTTATTTTCAAAAGAAAAATACAGAACAGAACAAACAATAAATAAACACTAGTGAACTATACTAACCAATCAACTATTCATATTATAGATGTCTAGTTATATATATTTTATGATTGGTTAAGAATCTATAAAAATCAATCTATTACTATTATACTGCTCCCTCGTCGACGACAGTCACTTCGTTAGCAAGAAAGAGAAAAAAAATCAATTTACTTACAATTGATGTTCTGTTTTATTAATCATCTAAAATTGTAAATGTATTATTATTATTTGTTAACATGCCAACAGATGTAATTAATAAGCCTGATGAACTTTTTGAAATCTTTGTAAATGCTCAAACATTCAAAACAATACTTCATTCATTTGATGATTTATGTCGAGTACTTCGTATTGATAGAAAATTAATTGGTTATGGCAAACGTTCATTGTATAAGATCTTAACAAGTAAATTAACATCATGGAAATCGAAAAGTCTTTGGGCAAAAATTGATAAGCGTGGTTTACAAAAAGAATATGAGAATGGATACGCTTGTGCTGACACGAAGGTAAAACATCTTTATCGATTATTAATTTGTTTTATATATATATATATTTGAAAACACAAATCATCTAATCTATTTTCATATCTAGATCGACTACTAAAAAGAAAATAATGTAAGCGTGCGTGAACGCTTTCATTTATATTCATATATATTTTTTTTTCCAAAGTTTTTCTTTTTTTGCATGACTTTTCTTTTTGATCGTCTCAGCAGCCACAGAAAAAACAACATCAACAATATATAAATTCGTAAATCCTTGCTTAGAGTTTTTCTTTTCGACCCTGGATGCATGTATAAAGCTTTTTTTTTTATGCTCCCAGCATGGTGAATTTCTTTTCCTTTTTTTTCTTCTCTTATACTACAGTTACCGTTCATCATTTTGTCTCAACCATCAATCACTACCAGCTTTCTAATCTCTTTCTCCGACCATCGTTGTATATAACATACATACACATCGACACTTGTGTGTAGTGTGAGATTACATTGCGTGTGTATGAATGTGTATATACTCTTAGTGAAGGCAATGAGCGACAGAGAGAAAGGATAATTGGAAAGAAGGAAAGGCACTCTATATATGTATATATATATATATATATATATTAGTATGAGAGTAAGTGTATAGTAAAAAAAAAAAAAAAAGAAAGAAATCACTCAACGTACGTATGAACAAACATAGAAGGCATAATGATTGCACATAGAAATTGTTTAAACGGAAAGGAATATAAATAGTTACGAGACGTAATCAAAAGCAGAATGTTTTTGTTGTAACCTTAAACTTAATTGGGTTCTATAAAAAGTAAATTAAACATTTTGATGAGAAATATCTGTCAAAAACGATAAATGATATATAAATTACAGATGACAATATAAGAGGTTTCTTTATCATCAACAAAAGAATAATTATTCAAGTTTTTTTAAGGTATGCATTGTGGGCGCTGGTCCCGTTGGTCTTCGATTAGCCATTGAATGTGCATTACTTGGCGCACGATGTGTCGTTGTTGAAAAACGAGACAGGTTTCGTTTACTAATTATTCTTGCATTTTGTTAAAATACGAATATTTTATTCAGATTTTCTCGTCATAATGTTCTACATCTATGGCCTTATGTTATTACAGATTTAAAAAATTTAGGTGCCAAGGTTTTCTATGGTAAATTTGCTACGGGGCAAATTGAGCATATAAGTATGTTATTAGAATATTTCTAGAGAAAATATTATATATAAAAATTTTTCTTTTTCCTTCTGCTATTATTTAGGCATTCGACAATTACAATGTATTCTATTAAAAATTGCTCTTCTACTTGGTGTTGAAATCTATCAAAATGTTACATTTATTGATACTATTGAACCAACATTAACTCAACCAAGTAGAGGAAATTTGTTTTATATTTAGATTTCTAAATTTATTTAAATAGATTGGCGAGCTCATTTTGAACCTGTATCTCATCCGGTGGTGTCAACGTATGATTTTAATGTTTTAATTGGTGCTGATGGTCGTCGAAATTCATTACATGGTTTTCAACATAAAGAATTTCGTGGAAAATTAGCTATTGGCATAACATGTAATTATGTAAATCATCACACTCGTGAAGAACAAAATTTTGAAGGTTAGATTTATTTATTTATTTATTTGTGATTAATTAAATTTTCTGTTTTTTTCTGCTTTATTACATATATAATACAGAAATTAGTGGTGTAGCAAAAATCTATAACCCACAATTTTTCAATGAACTTCAACAACAAACATCAATTGATCTTGAAAATATTGTTTATTACAAAAATGAAACACATTATTTTGTTATGACAGCTAAAAAACAATCATTACTTGATAAAGGTGTTATTCTTCAAGATTATCCGGATGCTGCAAGATTATTAGCACGAGATAATGTTAAATTTTCACAATTATGTAATTTTGCTTGTGAAGCTGCACAATTTGCAACGAAATCTACTTCACAATTTAAATTTGAATTTGCTGTAAGAATATTTTCAAAAGATATCAAATTCTTTGCATTCATATAGGGTTTAGATCACATTTTTGTATAAATCTATAAAATTGCATTCAGATGAGATGATGTATGAATAATTATTTAAATAAAGATAATCATATTCTAAATCCGTTCTTATGATTCCGATAGAATCTATTTTGTAATGGAGCGTTTTAAAATTATTTCGATATGTTCTAATTTTAGAAATATAATTGAATTGAGTAAATATTTATCTAATTAACATTCTGTCTGTATTTTTTTTTTCTATCAAAGAGAAAATATTAACTCTATTATTTTGTTTGTTTTAATCATGAAATAGAAAATTAGAAGTTTGTTTATAATAGGAAAATCATTATGGTACAGCCGATGTACAAATGTTTGATTTTACATCATTATTTCATGCTGTTAATGCTTCACGTATTGTTGAACGTAATGGTAAACAAATATTGATGGGTCTTGTTGGTGATAGTTTACTTGAGGTAAATAATCAAACAAATTTTCTTTATTTACTCATTAATTATATTAATTTAGAGTTTTTGGCCAACTGGCTCTGGTGCTGGTTTAGGATTTTTTGGGTTATTTGATACAGCTTGGGCAATACTTAAATTTGCTAAACATGAACATCCACTTAAAGTTCTTGTTGAACGTGAAAGTGTATATATGTTATTATCACAAAGTACACCAGAAAATACAAAAAATAATTATCAATTATATTCAATAAATCCTGCAACACGATATCAAAGTTTAAATTCCAAAATGTGTACAATTGAAGAAATACGTCATTTATATGATTCGGATAGTATACCAACAATTGATATGAATAATAATCATATAATATCAACAAAAACGAATCGAACACCTGTACGACGTACACAAAGTTTTAAACAAATTCCTTCAACATTACCATCAAATGGTATTTGAAATTATTTGAATATATATATATATTTTATTTATTTTATTTTTAAAGGAAATAATACTGAAAAAGAAACTTTGCTTGTTGATTGGTGTGAAGAAATTGTTGATACATATGCAATAGAAATAAAGAAGGATTCAAAAGCATTCCAAAACAGTCTTGCTTTTTGTGCTATTATACATCATTATCGACCGGATTTAATGTATGTATTAAATTAAATTAAATGTATATATATCATTTCTATTTATTTAGTGATTTCAAATCTCTACAACCCGATCGACCAATTAGTAATTTTCAAATTGTAATGTTTACTCTTTATTTAAATTAATAAATAAATCATATATTTCTTTTTTTAAGTTATTTGATATAATGCATGATCAATTATCATTACCAATCGATCGAAAATTACAAAATAGCCTTATTCTATCGATGAAAAGTTCAATTGAAGAACGTATACGACAATCATCTATTGTTATTCTTCAATTATTATATACACATTTTCATCATGATCATCAAGAACAACAATTACAACGACGTCGATCAAGTACAGCATTACTTGATGTTTCATCTCCAATATTACAAGCGATACAAAAACCAATAGATGAGACAAACAACAATAATAATAATATGACTACAAACATTAATATCAATAATAATAATGGCGGTTCGACAATTAAAGTCAGTGCACTTGTTGCTCATTATTCAAGCAGTGAAATATCATCATCATCATCGTCATCATCAGTAAATGTATGTATTAACCTTTAAAAATAATAACGAGTCCTTAATCGAATAGAAAAAGCAAGTAATTAGTTATATGTCAATCAAAAGGAAAATTTTCAAAGTCGTGTGTAGTCAATATAATAGATATTAATTAAGTTTATAGTTAAATGTCATCTCAACATCTAGCACAGCACTGATATTAAAATACTCTATTAACAATATATAAATGTCTTTCTAGAGTACAAATTAGTAGAACTAGTATTTTCTTACAAAAATAAATGTAAGACATATCTATACTTGTTTCTTTGAAAGATCAACCTTAACATGCAACGTTGATACTCCAGTTTCCATTATTAGTCTGTAACATTTTAACCCTTTGACTCCCGGCAATTTTTAATATACTTCCGATATTCAGCTTAAGAAGGAACTTCTTAAAGTATTATTTTCAGTTTTAACTCATTTATATGCCATCTGATAAAGTTTAACGTGATAACACTGAATTATATATAAATAGATAAAATTTTAAATAGAAAGTCCCTATAACAAGAGAGAAAAAAGTATTTTTAGTACACTTGATCGAATGAAATATAACAGATCTCTTCACGTATTTATCTAAAAATATTTTTCTTTTTTAAGAGTCATAATTTAATTGGTTTACAATCTGAACGTGCTCCAACATTTTGTTTCTATTGTAAAGAAAAAGTATCCATACAAGATTGGTTTGTTGTGGAAAAAAATGTTTTACATGTTAAATGTTTTAAATGTGATACATGTCATTTACAATTACGAAAAACGAATTATCAAGTATTTATTGAACCAATTACAGGCAAAATGACATTTCATTGTCGATATCACAAATTAAATAAGCCAGAAAAAGTAAAAGAAAATGAAAAGAAAAAGAAAAGAGTTTGTTAAATTTTTTTTATTTACATTTTTGTTTTATACAAAGGATGATGATAATAATAATAATATTAATATTAATAATAATAATGACAATAAACAACCAAAATTTGGTAAGTCTCGTGTTATATATATATTATTTATTAGAATATCTTGATCGATATAATTTTCTCCAGTAACCAGTAAATAATTGTTTTAAATCTCGACGAAAACGTTTTCCAAGTACGAAATACAGAATAAAATTAATTGAGTGATTTATAATCATTAATAAACGTGCAATAGTATAATAGATTTTATCAGATCGATTATTGTCAGTTGTTTTTGAACTTAAATGATTATTATAAAATGTTGATGATAATGTTTTTGATTTTCTCGACATAATTAAATTGAGAACAACAGCTGGTAATGTTAAAGCTAAAAATGAACATGAAACAAATAATAATAAGATTGTTAAACGTGTATTATTTGAATTTGATGTATGCATTGATTTATGACGTATTGAAGATATTTCAAAACGATGATGAGAACGAAGTTTTAATTCAAATGATAATGTTGATAATTCAGTTGATATACTAGATTGTTTTGTATTAAAACGCATGCGTCGTTCATCAATTTGACCTGAAAAGAGAAAAAAAACACAATTCATATATAATATGAAAATTCGATTTAAAAAAAAACGATATTTACTTAATTGTGGACGTAACATTATTGCTAATGGTTGTGTTTCAAGAGTTGATTGAAAACGTCTTGAATGACGTTGATGTGCTTCAATTAATTCGATAGCTTCATGACTTTCGGAATAATGTCGATGTTTAATATCTTGTTGATCATATCGAGATGTATTATTATTATTAAATGAAAACATACGTTGTCGAAAACGTTGTGCATCAATTAAACGACGAATAATTAATGAATTCAACGTAACAATAATAAAAAATGGTATTAAAGTATAAACTGCTAAATCAACATAAACCCATGCTTGTTCATATCGTCGATTTGTTAGAGCACATCGAACTATAACAGGTTTTTCATATGTATAACCTGTATCATTATTACATGTATGTACATTAAAACCATATTCTTTAAAATGTTTAACAAGAATTAATACAGGACTATCAAGTAAGAAGAAGAAAATAATTAAAACAATTAATACAATACGTGTATGTGTAACAGTATTAACTTTATGTGCAATTAATGGATATTGTACAGCAATAAAACGTTCAACAGTTACACCTACAACGAGACCAGCGGATAAATGTGTAGTAAAATGTCCAAACCAATAAACAAAACGACAAGAAAAATCTGATAAATGTTTTATATCAAGTTTATAATCAACTTGTGCTAACCAATCAGGTATTGCACTACCTAATAAAAATAAACAATCAACAAATGCTAATATTGTTAAATAAAGACTTGTTGGATAACCACTTCGACGAACATTAAGAAACATAATAAAACATGATAAACTATTACCAAGTATACCCATTAATATAAATAATGGATAAATATATAAATGTATATGTTTTGCAATTAAAGAAAAAAGATTTTCTTTTCGTACATCCGATGTTGTTGCAGCTGGAGTAACACCACATGTAATATTATGATCACCAAGATCATTGATAGGAAATGTACAATGAATAAATTGACATGTTGAATGTACGCTAACAGAGTGTCGTTCGACATCTGTTAGGGATAATATATATCGTAGGAGTTCTCTTGTTGTATTCTGTGTATTCTCATCCATAGTATTCACAGCTTGTTGTCGTATTTTTCCGTCGTCACAATCAAACTATCTACTGATGCATTCTGAATAAAGAAAAAAAAATGAGAGAGAAGGAGACGTGATAGAGAAAAAAAACTCTAGAAAGAAAAGACGAACGAGTGATGTCTTCTCCTCTTTTCCCTTCCTTTTTTCTTATTATCCTAAATCTTTTTTTACCTTCATGTCACTACATACACACGTACCTTTCTGTTGACTTAATAATATAGAGAAAAAAAATCTTTTTACTATTGAACGATTAACATTGTTAAATGTTTAATGTGTCATCAGGGATAAGGAAAATTAGTCTCGAACAAGGACATATAAAATTGGATGTAGACAAACAAAAAAGAAACGAAATAAAAGAAAACCTTATTAATTTTTATTATGTTTAAATAGGCCTTGGTCAGTGTGAACGTGGGTCATCAATTGATAAAATAGATAATATAAAAGAACAACAAATATCTCCAGCTCATCATCTAGATACTACACCAGCTATTGAACGTGCGTCATTTACGCTCGAAAAGGAAATTCTTGATGATGAAAAAGATGAAATTGTTTATAGTTCGACATCGAATATAACGTAAGTGCCTTATCTAAGAGATTTCTTTTGTTTACGAACTAAAGTATATCTATTTGTGTTCAAAGGAATGATGATGGTGAACAAACATCAGCAAAAACCAATGATAATTTAACAAATTCTTCTGTCGAAGAAACAACTGATGATGATGATGATGAAGAAGACAATGATGAATCGGACAACGAAGAAGAAAGAAATAATGGCGATGATGATTCAGCGTAAGTTCTCTATTTGTTTTTTTTTGCTAAGATACGATTAGATTTCAATAGAACAAAAAGCAACGCTACATAGGATTCTTTCTTTTTTTATCTTCATTTACAATAATGTTTGGATATTTGAACAAAAAAACAAACTAAAAAGAAAATCCATTTAATGATTAATAAACTCGTATATATTCGTTTGATAGTTTTCTATGAAAACAACAAGGAAATACCGACTTGAGTCATTTTGTATGAATGAAAGAAAAAGAAGAAAGTACCCAGATACTCATTGAGTTTTCCTTTCTTCATCTGTTGATTCAGACAAAACATTTATTGACAATCGTAGTAGAAAATATTGATCATCACATGACAATAAAGAGAAAAAACAAAATTATATTGACGCATTTTCTTTTTCAATTATATAATCAATAAATATGTATATGTTTTTTAATTATAGTATTAGATTAGATACATCAAAAAGTGATTCAGTAACAGAAATATCTAAAGCAACAAATGAGAAAAAATCATTTGCTGAACGAAAACAATTTTTAAGCATCGGTAAAATATACTAAGAATATTAAATATCATTATAATTTATTTGGTTTTTATTAGATTCTGGTCATATTCAATCAGAATCTCCATCACCTGTTGATCTTTCACCACCATCATCATCAACATCATCGTTAAATCATCAAATGTTAACATCGGCTAAGTCAGAACCGATGACATATGTAAGTCAATATCTTTTCAGAAAACAAGTCGTGCCTTTCATAATTGAAATATATTTATAAAGACTCATGAGACCTATTTTTCATCTATTAAGATGTTATTATTGTCACGTCAAGTATAGTAATTAAATAGGTGACGAATTGAGTTACAAGAATTTATTTTATTTTTAAATCAAAATTTTAAAAAAACATTTTTTTTCAGTCATATTTTCGTGCACCTTGTCGAATTTGTGGTGGTTCAACATATGATGAAACATTAACAATTCAAATAGGAAAACAATATTTCCATAAAACATGTTTACATTGTTATTCATGTGAAAAACAGTTAAAAGAAAATGAATATAATTATTATGATTTATTATCTGATGGTATCTATAATTTTTATTGTACATTACATTTTTGTAAAAGTCGTCTTAAACAAGTAACAACAACATTAGCAACTGCTACTGAACAAGGTTTGAAATTTTATTCTAGGAAATAATTGACAACTCATTTTCTATTTGAGTGCTTTTATTTCCATATGTTAGTCAGACTTTAGATATTAAAAAAGAAAAAGAAACTTTAGAGAATATTATTAAGGAAATTCATTCTCTTAGAATAACTGAAAAAAGACTTGATGTATTGATCAAATTAGTAATACTTCATAAAATCAGTATAGAATATAGTAGATTCTTACTAAGTTTTCCATGTAATACAAGTATATTAAGATCATTATTATACAATTTAAGAAACACTTTTTCTTTTGACACTATCGATGTTACAAAGATTATATTTCCTTATTATTCATCAATTAATTTTCTCATATTAAAATATTGTACTCAGTAATCGTTCTTGACATTATTATCCAAGCCTACTAATTCATTAATGAACAGAGTGCTTTAACAATAAATAGTTTAGCATTTTCTTCTACAAATAATTATTTATTAAGATAATTGGTACTAAAAAAATACTACTTTTTTATTCCGAGTTAAAGTAAAATAGAACAGATTCTATTGAATTCAAATAAAAAAATAAAAGTAATGACATCAGCAGAATTTAATTTCGGTGTAAAAAGAGAATAACTTCTTCTTTTTCTATAATGAGTAGGTTTAATATTTTATTTACGTCAATGAATTAAATTCAAATTACTTATTTCCCTAAAGCTTTTATTTTCATCTAAAATGTTCTTGCGCAAAAGCATAAAATTAATTTTTAATAATAATATATGAATGTACTATGTTTTTTTTTCGTCTATTTTAAATAATAGAATCCCGATCAACAAATATCTATCCAAATTTGACACAATCACGTTCGAATACAAATATACAATGGAATAATAATCTTCGTTTATATCCATCATTAAGAGATGCTCTTAGTCATAAACCACATCCACTTAATGTTGTAAATATTCCTAATGATGAAAAAAAACGACTAAGTATTGGTTTTGAACAACTTAATCAATCTATATCAAATAATCTAAATAAAAAAATTTCTCCAACACTTATACGAAGTAAAACTTTTGATGATACTTTAACGATACGTTTAACTGATAATGATGAAAATTTTAATATTGATTCAAAACAATCAACAAATGAATTAAGTAAACAACGTTTTAAACGACGTGGACGAAATCGTCCATCATCACCATTACCATCACCACCATCCAATGATTCTCAAATGATATTATCAACAAATTTCAAACAAGATGAAACAAAAACTTGTGAAACAAATTCAATATCAATAATAAATCGAAAAAAGAAAAAAATTCTTAAACCACAATCAAATTCAAGTTTATCAACAGCATCATCATCGTCAACAACAGCATCAACTCAATCATTAGATGATGATAAACTACGTTTCACAGATGAACGTCGTCAACGACGTGAAGAACGTCAAAAAGAACTGATTCGTTTTCGTCGTTCACAAGAAATTCAACGTGAACTTGATGAACTCGAACAAAAACGTCTTGAAATTGATAAACGTCATATAATAGCACGTCAAAATCTAAGTAAAAATTTTCAGATTTATCTATATTTTTTAACTAATCATTCTATTTATAGATTCATCGATAAATAATGAAATGAAAAAATCTTATTGGGAAAGAGAATGTTTATGTATGGTTCGAGAAAAAACAACATTACAACGTACAGAAGAAGAATTATTAATGGCTAAACGTGGTTTAACATTAGAAAATGAACGTGCACGAGCAGAAAATGAATATCGACAATTAATTAATTTACCAGGTAAATTAAACAAGATTATGAGAATAAATGTAGGATAATTTTCTAAGTCGAACAAAATAAGCTTAGTCGACGAGACAGTACTTAAGGCAAACAATAAATGAAAGACAAAGGTTAAAAAGTCATTCAAAGATGAATGAATTTTTAATATATAAATATCCTATACAATTTGATTATTTTAATATATTCTATCTTTTGTTTTGAAAAAGATTCAATAAAATTTTAATTTATATACAAATTCTATCCGAAGGTTCTTTTCTTTTCGCATACTTAATAATAAATATTAAAATTATTTTTCTCCGTAGTAATATTTTTAATTAAGAATCTACGTCATAAAATAGAATAGAATTTTAAAATATTTCAATTTAGATGAACATAAAACAATGAAAGACAAAGAACATGAAGAACAATTAATAAGAACAATTTCAAAATTAGTTGAAGCAAAAAATCGTTTAACAACTGATCTTGATCAAATGCGAATAAGGTAAAGAAAAATTCACATATGTATACATATATACTTACAAATATAATAAGCATAATTTCAATTCATATTTGATAAATTGTTTTTTATTATTAAAGAACGGATAATATGAATTTTTAAAAAGGTGAGAATTATTTGTTTGATGTGTGATGTAAATAAATCAATAATTTCTTTTGCCCAAGCCTTTTACATCAATAAATGCTTCTTTTGTGTCTAGTTTGCATGCTAGTCATTTTCCTATTTCCGTATGTGTTGTCTTTTATTTTGCCCACATGCTAATTTTCGTCGTGTGTGAACAAATTATTTTTATTTTTCTGTTGTCTGATTTTGAATATTAAATATACATACATATTATAATATTTTCTTGTTTCATTTAGAGAACTACAGGAAGACGAATGTCTACGTCATGCGTATCGACTTCATGGAATCGACCATCAGATTACAAATTGCCATGCACTTGATATTCTTAAAGACATTATTTAAATCACCGTCCATTTATCATTCGTAAATGCCTTATTTTATTGTGTATTAATATATATAAATATATATATTCCTTTTATTCTTTTTGTTCGAAATCTATTGAGCTTGAACATATACATGAAGAAATGTGTGAATCAGTATTTTTCAATACGTTTCTTGTTTCTTTCCATATATGCTATTGTAAACTTCTTTTGTTTTTTCTTCTCTTCTCTTCTTTTCTTTCTAAAACGAAATATCTTGCTAAACATCTTCTGAAAATTTCTTTTTCTGTTATCTATTAATTTACAGTACAATGGTTTCTTTCTCGTTGGTTATTGAATGAAATTATTCTGTGAAAATGAAAAACAAAAATCTTTCTTTTTTCTTTTTTTTTAATGCTTGTTGTAGGGCTTTTTGTATAAGATTCTTTTCTTCTCGAATAAAAATTATCTTCTTATTTCATATATGAACAAAAATATATATATATACGCTATTTTATAGTTCATGATATTTAATTGAATAAACAAGACTCGATTTTAATATTATCATGTTTCCTCAAGCTGTTAACAATTTTCATAATTATACATAAACGGAAATCATTATTATCAAGAATATTTTTATAGTTATTTACGCAGGTTTCAATTACTAGACAGAAAAATATATTAGAGTCTATATCATGCGGACATTTGTTAATACGCCGAATAATTGAAATGATATTTTACTTAAATGTTTATGATTATGCACTATTCTTTTCAAAGATCAGCTGTTGTTGCTTTTTTCTAATTAAAAAAAATCATATTAATAAAGTTATCTTACGCTTATTTTCTTGATAGTTAACTGAGTAGAACTATATTGTATAATGACTAATTCTAATGCATATTTGTATGAATTTATTATCTTAATTCATCTGATTTACATATGATCGAGTAACAATGTCAGATAAAATAATTCGTAAACATCATCCTATAGATTATACTAACAATGGATTGTTGAAAAGATTCTATAAAATTTTAAGAAATTTCTTGTTTTTATGTTATTAATTTTTGCTTTACGTGAATAATACTTTGTTCAATATACAGATTGAATCTTCTATTATTCTAAATAACTTATTTGTAGTGTAAAGAGTTGAGATATTCAGCAGATTTTATGAAGATATAATTTATTTGACACAAGAATAAGAATAGTAATGAGAAGAAATAGAACAGTCAACAGTTTTTACATTTCATACAATATTTACGATCCTTTTTTTTTGCGTGGGCATCGATTTATGATACAGTCACCTGTGCATCTGCAAGTATCAATTGATTTGAAATTAGTATAAATTTGACATGCCTACATAAAAGCAATAAGTGGCAATAAGTCAGTATTAAAGGGTATGAGTATGAATGTGAATGTGTAGGCGAAATAGAATAACCATAACCTTAGATTAATTGCTTGAAAATCAACTATGTAATGTCGAAAGGTAAATATTTTCATTACGCCAATTTCTATTTCTTTATGGTAGTAAAACAAACAGCTATTTATAGTGTGGCCGAAAGAAAAAATACATATGAGATATAATAACAACCGATCTAAACTTATTTAACTTAACATGGTTTCGAGACTCCACTAGATAAAGAAAATTGAATCAGCTACATACACTCTTATTTTAATACATTTCATTTTGTCCTAGTTCATGTGAAAGTATTTCATTTTGAACTAGTCCGTTAAGAATTGACATTGGAGAACAATACTTACAATATACAAGAAATTTAAATTTTTAGTTTATATTTATTACATTAGGAAATAATCAATACAAAAAAACGAATTTTACAAATGCAGATGTAAATATACGAATAAGTTTTATTTTTTGGTACACTGATTACAATCAACTTCGATGAGATAATAATTTAATCTAAGAATAGCCCAAACGATAAATACATCATTATATCATATGATAAAACAGAAAAATATCTATTTCTTCTCAATCATATATAAAGAAAAACATTGTTTAACGATGAATAAATGATTATGAAAAGTATCAACTTGTGACATGTTTCTAATGTCGAACCTTGTTTCTTCCAGTAATCATACATTTAGCCATGATAGTCATTCAAGCGTAGCGATTTACATACCTGCACGGTATATTTTCACTCGAACTTGTATTTTACTCTCTTTATTATGTATCGTTTACATCTGTAAGATAGTTTTTTCTAATCATTCGTATCTAGACCATTTTCGTTTTCTTACTTGAATTATTTTTCTTTTTCATTTACTTTTATTATCATGTTGTACATCTTATGTTCATATGAAGCTACGGTTATATAATTAAATCGTCTAGACAAATTATAAAATCATATGTATCATTTTTTTTCATATGACTATTTTTCTTTCAAAGTCTTACTTAATGATAAACATTTATAGAATATATACATTAGATCGATTTTGTTTTTGATATTAATTTCGTTTGTATCAAATAATATATGTTTACATTAATCATTCTTAGATAATTGTTTGCATCAATACAAAAAGATTCTTTTTCTTGCTTCGATTTTGATTTGTATATAAACGCACATTTCAATTCAGGTGAGTCTTTATTTTCAATATTCGATTGATATAATAATTTTATCATTTATATATATAGTAACACATCGTGAAAAATGATTTCCAACAATGTCAAAATCAGTGAAGTTCATGATCAACATATGAATTGTATTAAAAACAATCGATTTTATACCAATGTTTATTATCTATTTCAAAATGGTATTAATTATATTATTAATTTTGATATTTTATTAATAACTTTTGCATTTATATTATCTTTTGGAAATTTATTAAGTAAAGATCCATATATGAGCAGAAATTATCAACTTCCATTACATTGTATTGTTTATTTTCTCTTAGGCTTTCTTTTATCGTATAAATGTTTTAAGAAGGTCGGAAAACATTGTCATTTTTATCGTCATTGTTTTATTGTTTGTTCTATATTTCTTGTTATATTTAGTTTTTTCTTTGTACAATTGACTTATAATGATGATCGTTTAAATCTATTTATTCGTATTCTTCTTTCAGCTGGTAGTAGTATCTTTTTTGTAAATCTTTATTCATTACATATTTATTATGAAAACAAAACCTAAACTAATTAATTTAAATCAAAATTTTTATTTTTATATTTCGTAGATATTTGTAAATGTTATGAATAAAACTAATATACATATATAATAGACATTATTTTAACTTTTTATTCTATAGGATCTCTATTAAATTTGATAGGGTAATGAATAAATATTCACTAAATCCATTTTATTTGTTCAATCTTCAATGAATAAAGGTTTATACATTTGGATGATATATTTTTAGAATTTGGTAATTTCTTTATGAATCGATAATTTTCAGTTATATGTTTGTGGATAATAACAATTCATATGAATGTTCGTCTTGATGAAAATTATATTTTATAGAATTGATTATATCAATATTATCAAAAAAAACAGATGAAAATGAATATATTTTTCTATGCAGTTATATTTCTTCACATTTATATGGAGGTATTAGGAGACAACTGTTGAACCATCAAATGATTAGGAAATTAGGATGTTTATTTGTGCGATCATTATTAAAAGACACCATAATATATGATAATTACAATAACTAAGCATGTAAGTAATATTCGATATTTCTTACGTAAAAGAGACATATGCTTCAATAAGTTTAAATAGCGCGGAATTCGGATGAGTTGAATAGATAAACCACATCGTTTTTTGTTTCCAAAGAGATGTCGCTTATCATCTTCTGTTTGTATTTTAATTCTAGTATCTTGATTCATTTTATCATATTTCACATGCATAAATTTATAATCGTATCCATTAATTTTCAATTCTTGAGCTTTATTAAATAAATATCCATTGATTGTTTCACTTTTGTAAATTGATTTATCCTCTTTCATCATCCAATTGGGATATTTATCACACCATTCTTCTCTTAATTCCTTAACCATTTCCATTTCCGTATCAATTTCTTCACCAGTTTTGACTGAATCAATCGCTCGAGGAAAAAGTTCTGCAAGATATTTACAATCCTTCGATTTTGTACCATCTGGATCCTTATCAGCTATGACTGAGTGTATGTTACAGATAATGCCAGATGTTTGATCATCCATTGTGTTAAGAATATGATTGATAATTAATTCATGCGTAACTTCTGGTACTGTGTCCTTCGAAGTAGCTGTGTAAGCTAAGGGTGGCATGATATTCTTAACTACAAGTTCTGTTCCCCAATAGACCCAATAGAGATCTCCATCAAGATCAGATCCCGAGATTTCGTTGCAGTGTGGTCGAGATCCTTGCACAGGAAAAACAATACAATCTCGGATAAATGGTCGAAGTGCAGGAATATCAACAGCTTTGAGACGACGAATATCACCTGGATAAAGACATGGATTTTTTGTTACTAGAACTTCGCCTAAACAAAAATATCCCTGGTGAACTTATAATATTCAATCTTTAGTCACTTTCTACCTGTTACAATTTTATAAGATTTTCGATCCATCGTTTGATATTGAATAAAACATTCACCTTCTTTTAATGATCTTGTTTCATCCGCAATGCCAAATAAACATCGAGCTTCATCAACAGGTAATGGAATCTTGTTACGACGCAGTAAGTCTTTTCTACATGTATACAAAATTCACATGTATTAATTATCACTAAAATTTATTGTTCTTACGCATTTATGTAGCCTTGTCGTCTATTTGCATCCTTTATACGATCTATATCCTGTGAATCGAATATATTGTAATAGTTTTCTTCAGGCGGGTGCCATTGACCTTGTAACTTGCAAAGATTTTGTAGTGATTCAATAACAGCTTTATTCTCTTCGTTAAGATCATATAATAGACGAATAATTTGATTGTTTAAACTTAGACACACTATATTAAGATATAGATAGAAATACTGGGAAATATACTATTAAACTTACTTAATCGAGAATGATCTACGATATCGAGTGTCCAATCATCATTGTTAAATTTCATCATACTTTTTCGAACTTTTATATAATAATCATTCATTCCAGATTCAGGATCAATAGATAACATTCCTTTACAACCAGCAATACGCACTTGATAGGCGGATGGTATGTCTTCCTAGAGAGAAATATATTAGTAAATAAATTATCTGCCATTGCTAAATATACAGACATCTTTATTGATACGAATTCCAATCGATATGGCTACTTTTTTCGCAAGACCTAATGATATTTTGCCTACACCATCCGTGAAAGTATATCCGTTATGTTCAATATCTTCAATAAGATAGGCTCTATATTCCATCTGATCAGTAGAAAGTTTTATCCGTCTTCGAAAGAATACACGTAATTGAGACCATGACCAATAAGGTTTGATAAAAGTTAATTTAATCTTTATAAATAAATAATTCTACATATATAAATACTAGTATTTTAATTATATTTACATCAGTTGATTTGGATATACTTAGATAAAGACCAACTCGAGCAATATATGTTGCAACATTTTTAATTTTGTCCAAATCACCTAATCCTCTTCGGGCTTTGTCAATCTTAGATGCAGCATTTTCTGAATTGGCATTAGTACATCCTAAAAACCAATATTGTTGTTTCTTCATTTGACTTCCCGATGAACCAAAATAAAAACACATTAATTTTTTGTTTAGAACTAATTCCAAACACAAACCATTTTGTAGAATTTGCTTATATCGATCTTGAAGCTCATCGTTGTCACGAATATTACTTATTTGACTTAAACTATCTTCATCTCTCATATAGACAAGCATCCATTGGTATTGTTTTTTATTATTGTATTGTCGCATAGCTCGATGAGGAGTTGTTGAATGCTTTGGTTGATATAAAACACGTAATGGTGTTACAATGACATGTGGAATATAATGTTTATTTTTATCAAAATTATAATGAATTAAAGTCGGATCATTGAAAATGCTTCGAATAGAATAGCAATGATCGTTTTGAAGAAAGTTCCATAAAGTAGAACATAAATCATAAAATTTTTCAGGTGATTTTTTGTAATATGAAACAAACATCGTATGTAATTCATTGTCCACAAGATATTTATCTCTAAATACATAGCCAAGAGACCAAAGCATTGTCATACCATAAGAACCTAATTCAGATGAAAAACTACGAGTATCTAATGATGCTTGTAAATTTTTGTAATTTGAAGATGGAATACATCGAAAATCAGCATAGTTTATTACAAATTTCTCTGTTTTATTGAAGTTAGGAAATGGTTCAAGAAACTCCCACGCATCTGTGCGACGATCAAATTGTAACCATAAATTTGAACATTGACAAATAGTATCAATATTCATTGGATGCTTTGATGAATCACAAATTCTAAGTATACTAATGTTAATATATAGTTTTTTTCAAAATATGAAATTATGTCCATATTTTATCAAGATATTTTGTATTTATTATACCTGGTGTATTCTCCAGTTGCAAGTTTTTGTTTAATTTCAGGTGATGCTTTGAGCATAAACACAATTTGAATTGATTCATTCTTCTCTTCTTGGCCATATTTAACAAGAATATCGACATGAAGCATACGAAAATCAAATATCATTCGATATTTAGAATATTTTTCTTGTAAAACAATACTTTTTGGTCTTCCACGTGTATCTTTACCTATGTTAACCCAAACAGGAGATCGATTATCATGAATATGACTCATAAATGTATCATAAGATATCATTGAACCGAAATTATAAAGTGCTGTCCAAGATTTTTGTGTTTGAGTATGAGAAAATTTAAATTTATTAATTTCTGTTGACTCATCCGATGGTTTTGTTTTATATGTAAACCAAATTGATCGGTGATTACTTGTTACCAAATCTGCCAAATGACGCATAATAAAATGGGCTTCATCTAGATCACATCCCAATTCGCATTTGCTATCATTTGCTTCTTGTGTTCCAATTATATCGAAGGTATTTGTTTTAAAAGAATTATTTAAATTTCTAGCAAGAATCGTTGATCCGCGTGAATCAACGTTCAAGTTTTTAAAACAGCATAAAACTTTTTCAGTTGACATGAAACAAGTTTTGATAAATTTAATGTGTTCTTACTTCACTGCTTATATATTTATTTTTTCCCAGTGTTTCTGTTAAGATTTATATAGAAAAGCAATTTATTTTTCTATTCCTTACATTTTATGACAAATGGCAAATAAAGAAAATACAGAAAACTTTGTATACATCATCTCATAGTATGCCACGTCGATGGAACGGTGTGTAAATAAAATGACGACACGTATGGTCACATGGAAGAGAAATGTGAGTAATCGTTATAATTTGCGATTCGATAGTTATACAAATAAAAAAATGTTTATATAACGGTCTGTGGATTCAAACATATGTCGTAATAATTATGTTTTAAATTTCCATGCTAGTAACACATTTGCCTTTGATGATTTATTATTAAACGTAAATATAAATTGCCTGAAATTAAAAAAAAAACAATAATAATCAATTTTAAGAGAAAATATTTTTCTCTAAACATCCGATAATACATACTTGCGATCCAATTGAGATATTTCTTCTAAAACTTCGTCAATATCTGTATCAGTAAATTGAGCATTGAGTTTCTATCCAACAATGATTAATATAATCAAGAAAAAATATAATAAAATTCACTCTAATTTACTTCTCGAATTGCTTGTTTCAATACATTTCGATCCGTAATACGATCATTTGAAGTTGTATTATTACCAGCAGCCAACATAAAAAATTTTCCCAAGTCAAATTGAGGTCGTCGATCAAAAAGTATCTGTAATCGTTCCATCGGTGAGGGTAAAAGACGATGTTCATCTCTTAATAAACGTGGTGGTGCTCTTAATCCAATTAAGACATGTAATTCAGGATATCGATTTGTTACTTGTACGTAAACCTCATGAAAATCACGATTTACTAAGATTTCCTATGTATACGAAATATTAATAGAAAGGTTTTATGATAAAGAAAACATTTCAGACTGTTAAATCAATGAGTTCAAGTTTATTTGGAATTATGTTTTTTCCTGTAAATGGTTTAAGAATTGCGTAACATCCAGTAGATTCAAGTGGATTTCCTGTCAACTGATCAATGTAAAATACATATTTATATTTATTGAGATGATAATAATATATTATTTACACGTATTTTTTGTAGACTTTCGTTTTTAACAAGACCACGACCGATATATGTTGCAGGTTCAGTTGCTAAACGATTATAACTGAAAAAGAAAAAATGCTTCTTTTAAATATATTTATTGAATAGTATTACCTTAAATCAAGTTCAATAAGTGTGGTATTCTCCTTAAATGCTTGGAACAAAGCGCGACCACATTCACCACCTGCTAGACCATTATGAGCCAAATTTAAAGTTTTAAGAAAAATGTTTTTCTATATTATGAAATAATATGATTTTAATAAACTTTTTAATTCTTTATTTCAATCTTACCTGAATTCCATTTACTAAAGCAACAGCACCTTTACCGCTTATTGAATTCCAACTAAGATCAAGAGATTCCATTGTTGTATTTTCAGCAAGAGCTGGACCTTAAAATAGTTCATACTTTATTTCTATATTTATAAATTAATTATTTGTATTTACCTAAAAATACACCACTTGCTGATTCAAATTTATTTCTTGATAAATTTAATGTATATAATCGTCCAGTACTCTACAAACATAAAAAAAACGAATTTTTCTTTTCTGAATCTTTATCTTACTGAAATAAGTTCAGCAAATAGACGAGCACATTCATCATCTAATAAATTTCCTACATAAACAAAGATTTTTATTTCGATTAAAAAAGAAACTAATTATTCTATAATACCTTCAAGTTTTAAATGATTAATTGTTATATTATCTTTAAACATATCACATATTTCTCTTGCACCATCAATAGCAATAAAATTATACGAAAGATCAACATCAACAATTGCCGTATTATCACGAAGAATATATGATAGATAAATAGTACCTTCATCACCAAGACCATTACTTACTAAACTAAGTTTCGTTATATGTTGATTCATCTTTAAATCGAATAATTAAAAAACCATATTTTGTTATTAAAATTAAAATAATTCGATTTTTATTTACTGTTAAACTTGGTATAAATGCTCGCATACCTTTTGGTCCTAAACCATAAAAATCCATTGATAATTCTTCTTCTTTATAATGTCGTATATATTGTCCAACAGGTACAATTTTTTCACGTTTACAAACATGTTCATATATACCAATACATGAATGATCACGATATTGATTCATATCATCTTCTAAATCAGTATCATAATCATCATCATTAACAAGTGAAAAATTTGTTGAAGTTGAATTTGATTGAAAATCAGTAATAGATTTTTTTGATACATCGAAATGACTTGTTTTTGGACGATGTTCATTTTCAGTTACATTATGAACTGTATGTCGTTCTAATCGCTTTTAAAAATCAATTAAATAATTGTTTAAAATTTACTCATCGATATATATATAAGGTACATACTCGATTTAAATCAACTGTAACTGGTCGAATATGATGAAGTGGATTTTTGAATGTCTCATTATTACGTCTATGCATTGTAATTTTTTGTGATAAAATGAAAAGTAAAAAAAAAGTACGTATAACATAAAAATTGATATTTATATGGTTTTATGATTAATTTAAATTTTGTATTGAAAATAAACAGAAGAATTCTCATTGAATTCAATCAATTTTTTCGTAAAAATTTTTTTTTAGTACAATAATAAAATATTATCTTGTCTAATATCGTGTATATATAGTCAAAAGTTAGTATTTTATTTTACATTTTAATATTTCATTGATATAATTGAGTTTTAATGTGTTTTGACAGGTTTTTAGGTATGATTTATTGTTATATATTCTTTTTACTATTATTTATTGTCCTTGATATGCTAGGACATACTTCAAAGTTATTGTTTATCGTTTATTTGCCTCGCATAATAAGCTTATTTTGAATCACTCATCCGTGGTTAAATGCGTGAAAACTTGTCTTAATAAAAATTACAATACACATACTATATACCGACGTGATTTATTGAGAAATGATTAATAACTGTATTCTTTAAGCTAATGTTTGTTTTTAATAATACTTATTCAATAAAAAAAAAATAAACAGATAGATACACGTTAAAATAATGTACAATCATAAAAAAATCTTTATAATTCATTTTTTATATCTAGTCGATTCTTTATCTATGAACTTGGTTAAAACAACATACTGTGATCATATATAAATAGTGTGTGTATGTGTTTAAAAAAAGCAGAAGAAGACGAAGAAGAAGAAGGAAAAAAAGCAAACGATTTTACGGTCTACAGGTGTTTCTTTTTTTTTGGTCGATCATATATTTAATATAGCAGTGATTAATGATAGCGCGAAAAAAAGCAAGATACATCAAGGTGAGAGGAAAAATGATCTGTCATCTCAAATTAGATCTTCATTCAACATTTCAATATATATGTAAACAAATAATCAAAAAATTTTTAGTTTATATTTTCGGGTATTATCAACTATTTAAGCAAAAAAAAGAACATTTTTATTAATAAAATATTATTTCTATTCGTTTTTATTTTAGTATTAATATGGTTGATTTAGTTTTCTTTTTAAAATAGTATCTATACTATCAGTAGTATATGTCTATATTGATAGCTTGTTGATTGACGTTAATCGTAAATATATATATATATATTTTTTTTGTGACACAAATAGAAGACATACAATACAATATTAAGTAGATGTATAATGTTACGCTTGAAAAAATTACCTTCCACTATGGTTTTGTTCTTTTTATTCGAGAAAACAAGGTTATGTCAAGGCAAAATATTCATTTAGTTGAGTAAGCAACAAATCAGATATAAAAACAGTTATTGCAATCATTTTGTGTATCTTAAACATTAATTTGATGTATATTTGATGACGTTTACCTTATTCATTGAGAAACAATGGAAAAACAAATAAGAAATAATCGTGAACGTGATCCATCACCACCATCATTACTTATTGCTGCTCATTGTTCAACAATACGACGTAAACCAGATCGTCTTGATACAAAAGAATTATCAGCTATATTAGATGATCTTGTACGTGAATTAAACTCAAGTCCATTACGTTTAACAACATATTTAAATTCTTTAAATGAATCAGTTAAAACATTAAATTCAACATTTCCACCAGCATTATTAAAAATTAGTTCACATTATTTTTTTACACTTGTTCGAAATAGAATACGAAATCTTTTAGAACAATTATGTACATCGAGTCGTTTAAATGAACAAGAAATTTATGTCCTACGTAATTGTGCTATATTACTTCATGATTTAACTGAAAGAGTAGATGATGTTGCAAAAATTTTACATTGGGTAACTGATTCAACATTTCTTGATTCTTTAGGAAATTGTTTAAATTATATAAATAAAACATTTAAATCAAATCCACATAGAAATATACTCAAACAAATAATACGTTTAATAAGTTTATTTTGTAATATTCAAGAACGTTTACCAATACCTTTACATCAAGCTTTATTTGAACGATTACTTCAACCAACAATAAATTGTTTAACATCACCACATTATGTTAAATTATTTCAAAATTTAAAAGCAACTACAAATCGTCTTACAGAAGAACAAAAATTATATCTTATACGATGTCCTCATTTTCTTACAAGTTATAATGGTAGATTGAATTTTCTGTTTTTCTTTCATTGTTTTGTTTTGTTTTGTTTTCTTAGGACCATATATAGAAAAAGCAATTGAACAAATTTTAGAAAAAATGTTACCACGTTATGTCTCAATTCTAAATAAACATATGAAAACAATTAAAGAATGGAATCGTCCAATGATGCGTGCTGTACATAATCTTATAATAACTATTATTTATGCTGAAGATTATTTTTCAGCACATATAAATAATGAAGCATTTCGATCACTTATCGATCATCTTTTACAACTTCTTAATGAATCTGTATTAATTAATAAAATAAATGCCGAATCAAAAAATATGGAATCATTATTAATCGATGCAACACTAATTGTTTTTAGTATATTAATTTATGAACCTGATGCATTAGAATATTTAAAACAATGTAAATCAGCAGACATATTTCGATCATTAGCAACCGTACCATCTGAAACTATTGTTATGAATGCTTACATGTTGCTTACATATACGATGTCTGATAGTGATATTAAAACAGCACAAGATGATTTACCTAAATTACTTTCGACAACTATTAGTTTATTACAAAAAGCAATTAAAACTCGTCATGAATCAAATAATAATCAAAATCTTAATCAAGATAATATCGATCGTAATATATTACAACTTGTTGAAACATTAAAAGGTAGTATAAAGAATAGAATAGTTTGATTTTAATTTGTTATTTTTTTCAATTTATAGGTTTATCACAAACTGAACAAGTTAGAGAAGAAATATTAAAACAAGAATTAGTACCTATTATATGTGACTGTTATGATAAATTATATGGATTATCGAAAGAAGTATTACTTGAATTTATTTGGACATTATCATTTAATGAACAAATAAATCAACAATTAAGTGAATCTCCACAATTTATTCAATCATTACGAAGTATACCAAAACCTAATGATGATCATGCTCAACAGAGTACAATGCGTCGTTCACATAGTTATAATAGTCTTCGAAATAGTAGTTTTACAGTATCAAATACAGCAACAAATCATGGAATACGAAGAATGGCAGATGGAGTTCTTTGGAAAGTTGTTACAGGTATATTGAAAAATTCAAAAAAATATTTCAAATCTTTTTTAATTGTATTTTATTCATAAAATAGAACCTCAATTTCAAAAAATATATGAAGACAAAATGGAAAAACAAAATCATACAGATAATCCATCAGTGCATCAAAAATATAAATATGATATAATGATGTCATATACTCAGAATGATAGAGACATTGTTTATCGTATTCAACAATATCTATCAGATCATGGACTTCATATCTGGTTCGATCGAAGCCGTTATCAAAAGAAAGGTAAAATGATTTGATAGTATTCTGATGTCCTTGAAAGTAAGAACATAAAATTGATATCTATAGCTCATTTTGATCAATTATAAGAAGAAAAGTGATACATTAATTATTTCTATTTTAGGAATGGAAAATATAGCTGAGATAATAGAAAATTCTGCATTTGTTATTATCTGTATGTCGGATTCGTATAAAAGATGTAATCATTGTCGATCAGAAGCAGAATATGCATTAAATACTCAACGATCTCTTGTTTCCTTAATTTTACGTCCTGGATTCAAACCGGATGATTGGTTAATCACACTTATAAATAATAGTACATATGTTGACTTCGGAACATCTGATTTCAAATCGGCAGCTAAACTACTCTTCAAAGAAATTAAAAATCGACAACATAAAAATAAAACATCAGATACTAAATCAAAAGTATCGACGTCGAATGACATTTCCCGCAATAAGTCTAATCATATATCAGCTTTTGAAAAACCATCTGCGCCCAATAGAATGTCCAGATCACAAAGAATTCATAATTCCGATGCATCTTCTTACCTACCACCTACTGTTAGTAAACAACAACGCCACCGTCAACAACAACAACAACAACAACATCAACTATTACGACGTCCTGTTTCAAGATCACCTACACCTGGTTCTATGTCTACTGGTGGATCACTTGATATTGGTGAGCCACTACATGGAAAGGCACCCATATATTCTGTTCCAAGATCGTCAACGCTTGGATCTTTTGGTACTTTTACGTCTGGTATGTTTGATAAAGATCAACAACAAGCATCATTACGCTCTCTCTCAAGATCACCAACATCTGGTTCAAATCCGTCTGATGCATCATCTGGCGTTAATAAACAGCAACGTTTAGAAGCACCATATTTTTCTGTTTCTAGATCATCAACGCTTGGATCTATTCCTTCTCTTACATCTGGTGCTTTTGATAAAGATCAACAAGCAGCTTCAATAGGTTCTATGTCAGTATCACCAATGCCTGCTCCTACCCCTGTTACTGCCACTACTACTGTTGTTCACAGCCAGCAACATTCAGAGGCACCAGCAAATTCTATCTCAAGATCATCAACGCCTGGATCTGCCACATCTGGTGCCCGTAATAAAGACCAAAACAAGACACCAACACGTTCTACCTCAAAATCTCCAGCACCACCTCCCACTTGCACTCCAACGATGCCTCTATTAAGCAATGAAGAATATCAGCAACAACACATAACAGTACGTTCTATGTCAACATCACCAACGGCTAGTTTTAATCCTTCGTATCGATCTCTTGCTGGTGAGATAGTGCAACAACAAACACCCGTATATCCATCACCAATACCAGTGACACCTGATGTGAACACAATTATTAATAATACTATCAGCGATAACCAGCAGCAACAAGGACAGCAACAGCAACAACAAACAAATCTACCGTCTACTTCGCAAACTGCCAATCCTGTGTCTGGTTCTTTTGCTACACCTTTTAGTTATGATCAGCAAACAACACAAGAATCGGGATATTCTACTCAACAGCAGCCACTAGTAACATCGAACTCTAAGACGAACACAAATATGAATAAACCACAACAACAACAACAACAACAACAACAGAGAGGAAGATCGACACTTTCAAGATCATCAACTGCAAGTACTATTTCTTCCGATGTATCCATTAATATCGATAAACACCAACAACAACCAATACAAACCAATTCACATTCTTCAGCGACTAATGTTATATCTTCTGCAACACCTACTACTGTCGTTCAGCAGCAGCAGCAGCAGCAACAACAACAACAACAGCAATCACAACAATCCGTATTGTATCCTACTACATATCCGTTAACCATTGGTACTGCTTTTTCTTCAACATCTGTTATTGGTGACAAACAAGAGCAACCAACACCAACACCAGTTATTTCATCTGCACGTTCGTCGACATCTGAATCATTTTCTGCTGATCTATCTACAGATATGAGTAAACAGCAACAACAGCAAATTATAACTAATCCTGTTTTACTACCACCCGCCAATAATAACATTATGCCAACAGTTATATCTACCAACTTCGATAAACAACCACTAATGCAACAAAATCAACATATATCAGTCCATTCTGCTTTTCAATCAACTATAAATGATAGTGTTCCAATAACTGCATGGAATCTAAACGATATGCATCGACCACAAACACAAATGCGTTCTGGTACACAACCACCACCAACACCTAATATTGTTCCTGCTTTTACATCTGTTTTCATTAATAAACAACCACATCAATCACCCATACATCCTTCTCAACAACCGTTAACAATTAGTAATATGCCTTCTAGTGCATTTAGTCCTAATGATATACAACGACAACAACCACAAGGACTTCCTCTTTCAAGATCATCAACATATAATTTTATTCCTTCTCCTGGATCTATTGCCACGGATGACCATTCACACGGATATTTTTTTCCACCATCATTCACAAACAATATGACGCCTACGGATACATCTATGAGTTTCGATGATCAACAATCCCAACAAATGTTAACGCATTCTAATTTACAAGCATTTAATAATAATCTTGGTCATTCCAATACATCTGTTTTCGTCGATAAACGCCCTTATCAAACAGCAGCACATCCTGATTCACAAACAGCAGCCAAAGCTTCTATTGCTTTTACTGAGCTCAATGCCAATGATAAACAGAGGCAACAATCACAAATGCTTCCTCTTTCACGATCAGCAACATATGATGCTTCACCCACCCCCATGCATAGACAACCACAACAAACTCAACAAGTTCTTATGTCTCAATCATTTACTAACAGTACGATTCCTCCAGCACCACTAGTTAATAATAATGATCCCTCTCGAGAACCATCAATACGTCTTATTATACGACCAGTAATGACTGGTCCTACATCAGCTGGTACATCTAATGCTCCTGATCAACCACTACAACAAAAACCACCAAAGCCACCCTCTGGACAATTTGTAAAATTTAGCGCTGATAAGAATATGCAACAATTAGGATCGGCACATCTCAATTTAGGATTATCAACACTTGATACTATTCCTACTAAGATACCAAGTAATAACCATAAAGATCAAGAACAATCTTTATTATTATATTCGAAATCAAAATCAACTACATCTCATGCTTTACCAGGTGCATCATCTGAAAATTCCGCACTTCCTGCGCCTACGCCAACGAATGGTCAGTACCAATCACCCTTACCTGATGAATATGTGAATCGTAATACTGAAGATTCAAGATACCGTAGTCTTTCGATTGTTGCTTGGGGAAGCAGTGATGTACTCGATTTTCTGTGCGATTTAAATCTTTATCAGATGATGCCATTATGTGAATCGATGTCAGGTAAAGCTTTAACTCGACTTTTTCGAATGTGTCAAGCAAAACCTAGTCGTCTTTACGATCAATTAAATGATGAACTACGTGTCCGTTTTAGTGGTTTAACTTTACCAATGGCTGTTTATACAGAATTTCTAATTGAAATGGATGGTATAGTTGGTCCAGCACCTGATTCAATTCTCTCAATATCTCCTACGAGACCAAATATAGTAGAACGTGTCATATTGACACCACGTACTCTTCAACAACACTCACAAAGATCACAGTCAAGTTCTCCAGCTACAACAGAATCGCCAAACACATATAATGAATTGAGCTGTTTAACACCCGTCGAAAATAATAATCCATCAAAAGCTCCAACTCCTCAACAAACACGTATTATTGAACGAGCAGTTTTCCGACCAGCATCAGCTGTTGGACGACCGTATGATTTTATTGTAGAATCTGTTGAAGAATCAACTGATTTAATGCAACAAGTAGAACTTTATGGATCGGAATTACTTGGATTTGGTGATAACACTCAACAACAACAACATGAAAATACAAAGAATTTTAACTAAAAACTAATATATTAAATTCTTTTATTTTTGCTAATTGCACATTTTTTTAGAAAGATTAACTTTTCTATAGTTTGTTGAAAAAGTGTTTTAGCATTTTTTCTCGTATATACTTCAATAAATGAATAAAACAATTTTCTTCTATATAAAAAGAAACAATTATTAATGATTTTTAATTTTATTATAAAAAAAAGATTTTTTTTTTACAAAAGAATAAATAAATAATATAAATTATTTGAGAACCTTAGTTACAGTTTCGAATCCACATTGTCTTAAATATTCTTTCAATCGAGTCGTTGTAGCCATTGTAGATTCTTGATCACGCCATAGTTCAAGTAGTTCATAGATCTAAATATTTTTTTTTCGAATATTGTTAACTTTTTTTTTTATATAAAAATAAATGACAAAATACTAACGGTTGCTGCGTCATTATATTTATTTTGTACTTTATATGCTTCAATATCATATTCAAGAAAGCCAAGTGCAAGTGCTAATTTCCTCCAATTTTTTTTTGCTAGTTGAACTGCTATCTGTTTTGTTTGATCATCATTTACAAGATTAATACCAACATCGTCAGCTGTATCGTGATCGTGTGTACTAATTGGTGGTAATGGAAGCCCTGGTAATTTATCTATTTCTTCAAGTACATCTGGCGGAATTATATGAAATTCTAAAATATCTTCAAGTTCTTCACGTGATATAAATTTTAAAACACCATCTACAAATTCTTGTTGATTTAGTCGACCTGTTTCAACTGTTCCTAAATCTCGCATAATTTCTTCTGATAACTCTTTAACTTGAGTCTATATTTAATTAAATGAAGAAAAAAAAGAATATTTCATTTAGTAAATAAACAAATTACATACACTATTCTTATTTGGATACATGTGTTTTAATAGTTTAGCTAGGAAGACAGCATTGATAGGATCACCATTATTGAGATATAAAAATATAGCTTCTAATTTTCTGTGCAGTTTTACTTCATCAAACCATTTCATAACAGATATAAAATAACCAAATGAAATAGCACTATCATCCGTTTTTAAACGTGGAAAATGATTTAAAAGCTAAATATAAAACAAAAGATTTTTCTTAGATAATGTTAGGATGACTGAAATTAAAAAGTGACATAGACATCGGACTTATCATCAATGAAGTCTTATTCTGAAACTGAATTAATTTGAATTAAATTATTTCGCTCTTGTCAATGACAGAGGACAAGAATAATAAAAAATAATTCATTTTGATTTTAATAGATATAGCAATAACTATATAAAGTTGACAGAAAGGGAACCGGTTCCGTTTCCATCGCTGAAATTAAAAATTAATATCCTGTATGATCATTATTACATTTCAGATTCGATTGAAAGAATACAAGCTGATAGAGTGAGTTAATAATAAGAAGAATCCTTTTTCGTTCAAATCAATTATAATCATTTTATAGAACTGAATAAAAAGTTCTCATGATTTTTCAGACTCACATTTTTAACAAAAACATCATTTCCGAGTTCTTCCGGTAATGCATCGGTGTCTGGCTGCAGAGTTGCTTTATTATTCGATCCAGTTAAATTTCTAAATCGATTCCATAACCGTTCAACTTCAACTGCTGATAAATCACTAGCATCTGCATGACTCGTCAACCATTCAGCACGATTTGGTGTTATATTACCTAACTCATCAATTTTCTCAACTGGAATATTATTTAAAGCGGCTCCCATTAATTATTTCGTTTATTAATTGTTTATACGCATAAATCGATTTCAGCCATTATCATTACATTAATAAGTCACTGTTCAGTAATAGACTCTATTAAAATTTAATTTTTTAGATAGATTTTTAAAAAATATATTTTTAATTATAATATTCAATGGATAATATTTTAATTTTTAATGCAATAATAAAATAGAGGGAGACACCATTCATACAGTGTACACGTCATTGCATTTAATCTCCATCTAATGCTCGCCTTTCTGCTGTTGTCCACGTTAACATAAGGAATAACGAATGAAAATATAGAGAACGAAAGGCAACAGTTGCGACCATTTACTTTTAGTCTTTATCAAAAGATTTGTACTAAGTAGATATTCATAGTGGAATATTTATATTAAATAAATCAAATATATATATATATTTTTAATTTATTTTCTTTACTTTTTTTAGAGCAATGGATGCCCTCACGTCTATGCTCCCATTTAAACAATTTTTACCACAAAAAATTTCGTATGATAAACAAGAAACATTCTTAAAATTATTTATCTTAACATTCGCGGGTATATTAGCATTTGCAACACGTTTATTCTCTGTTTTACGTTATGAATCAGTTATTCACGAATTTGATCCATACTTTAATTATCGTACAACAAAATTTTTAACTGAAGAAGGATTTTATTCATTTCATAATTGGTTTGATGATCGAGCATGGTATCCATTAGGACGTATTATTGGTGGTACAATCTATCCGGGTTTAATGGTTACAGCAGCTGCAGTGTATCATTCATTACGATTGTTTCACATTACAATTGATATTCGTAACGTATGCGTTTTTTTGGCACCATTATTTTCAAGTTTTACAGTTATTGTAACTTATTTACTTACAAAAGAACTTAAGGTAAACAAAAACAAATTCTTTTGAAAATATTTTTCTTCAAAAACAAAAATAAATATCTGTTTCTAGAATGCAAGTGCTGGTCTTGTTGCTGCATGTCTTATATCAATTGTACCCGGTTATATTTCACGTTCAGTTGCTGGTTCTTATGATAATGAAGGCATTGCAATATTTTGTATGTTATTAACATATTATTTATGGATTAAAGCAATTAAAACCGGTTCAATTATGTGGTCAGCATCATGTGCATTAGCATATTTTTATATGGTTTCATCATGGGGTGGTTACGTATTTTTAATTAATTTAATACCATTACATGTTTTAGCATTGCTATTTACGGGACGTTTTTCTCATAGAATTTATGTTGCATATTCAACTGTAAATATTTCCTTTTTTTTTCATTTAAAATGGCAATTATTTTATTATTTATTAAGGTTTATATTTTGGGCACAATTTTATCCATGCAAATACCATTCGTTGGCTTCCAACCTGTTCAATCAAGTGAACATATGCTTGTAAGATTTATAATATGATAATATTTCTTTTTATAATTTGTTTGTTTAGGCTTTTGGTACTTTTGGTTTATGTCAATTATTCTCATTTGTTGAATTTGTTAAATCAAAATTAACACAAACACAATTTGATACATTATTTCAATTTGCACTTGTTACAGTTGGTTTTGCTCTTAGTGTTGCTGGATTAATCTTATGGGCTAGTGGAAGTAAGTATAATAAGCAATATCAGTTTACTATTTTCGAGAAATTTTATCTTTCTAATTGAACATTTCACTTTTTTTTTCTTTTTAGAAATTGCACCATGGACTGGTCGATTTTATGCATTATTGGATCCATCATATGCTAAAAATCATATACCAATTATTGCTAGTGTTAGTGAACATCAACCTACAGCTTGGTCAAGTTTCTTCTTCGATTTTGAATTACTTGTTTTTATGTTTCCAGGTATGGACTATACATATAAACTATCATTCTTTTCATTTAAACTTATATTTTTCATTTTAGTTGGTATTTATTATTGTTTCAAAGAATTAACTGATGCAAATATCTTCATTATTATGTATGGCATGACATCAATATATTTTGCCGTAAGATTATTGAAAAAAACAAAAATTCATATTCTTATACATAATTCTATTTGTAGGGTGTTATGGTTCGTTTAATGTTAGTACTTGCACCAGTTATGTGTGTTCTATCCGGTATTGGTATATCAAGTGTTTTAACAACTTATATGCGTAATTTGGATATTAATCAAGTGAAAAAAAAGGAAAGCACAAGTTCAAGCCAAAGTTCAGCTCGAGCACGTCGTACTGATGATTCATCATCATATCCACGAAAAAATGAAATTGCATTTGGTGTTATTTGTATGATGACATTTTTCTTGATGACATATGTTTTTCATTGTACATGGGTTACAAGTGAAGCCTATTCATCGCCATCCATTGTTTTATCAGCTCGTAGTGGTGATGGATCAAAATATATCTTCGATGATTTTCGTGAAGCTTATTGGTGGTTACGATATAATACAGATGAAGTTAGTAATTCGAAAATTTTTATTTTATAAGAAAAAATAAACATGGATTTTTTTTCAGAATGCCAAAGTTATGTCATGGTGGGATTATGGATATCAAATAACAGCTATGGCCAATCGAACAATTTTAGTTGATAACAATACATGGAACAATACACATATTAGTAGAGTTGGACAGGTAAAATTTTGAATGTTAATAAATTGTACGTGAAATTTAATTTGTTTGTTTTTTCAGGCGATGTCATCAACAGAAGATAAAGCTTATGAAATAATGCGTGAACTTGATGTTGATTATGTATTAGTTATATTTGGTGGTTTAATTGGTTATTCATCAGATGATATCAATAAATTTTTATGGATGGTTCGTATTGGTGGTTCAACAGAAAAAGGTGCCCATATTAAAGAAAGTGATTATTTTACACCACAAGGAGAATTTCGTGTTGATAAAAGTGGTTCACCAACATTACTTAATTGTTTAATGTATAAATTATCATATTATCGATTTGGTGAAACATATACTGAACAAGGTATGTAGTTATTTTTTTTGTTTTGTTTTTCGAATTTAATTTGAAATATTTAGATAAACCACCTGGTTATGATCGTACACGATCCGTTGAAATTGGTAATAAAAATTTTGAATTAGAAAGATTAGAAGAATCATATACAACTGAACATTGGCTCGTCCGTATTTATAAAGTGAAAAAAGAAGAAAATCGTGGTCAATCATAAATATTTGTTGGTTAAAAAGCCGATTTCATTGAATAAACTTATTTATATTCTTTTCATTGTTTTGCTTGGACTCTTTTATTATTGTTGCGGTTTTTTTTTGTTTTCTTCTTCAATAAAACCATTCGTAGTTTATTCTTTTGATTTAAAGTTTTCGTTTTTTCTGTCTTCTTCATATTTGTTATATCTATACTATTAAAAAGAAATCAGAATGAGATAATAAAATTAAACATTATTTTGTTCTTCTTCAAATCATTGCCAAATAAATCAACTCAACACTGATAGCGTTCTCTAATCCTTTAAGCACGGAGATCATATATTTCATAGAGCAAACGTATAGGATGGAAATTTTTTCAAAGACCTTTGGAGTTATTTTCAACGCATATTTCTATTCTACTGCAGACATAATTTAGTTACTCGATTAATAGCTATCATAATCAGCCACTCTTATTTTGAAGGTTATAATAGAATATTATTTATTCGTCTACTTTTTTATAATAAAGATGGCATTTCAAAACTAATCAGATATAATATTGGACTGACTATATTTACAGCTAGGAACTTTATACGTTTATTTATCATGTTGATATATCAAAAATTAGTAATAAGTTAAAAAGACTGAATTTTTCGATTTTATATATCATGTCTTGCATTAAAATAATCGTATTACTATTATATCATTGTAAACAAAGTGTAATCAAAATAGTGTTACTCAAGAGACATTTTATCGTATTAAGATTGTATTAAATATTAGATGAAAGATTGCATAGTTATTACAAGAAAAGAAACATTTTTTCTGCATAAAATATAAGTAACACTTTTGAATTTCCAAAATTAGCTAGTAAATACCATTTAGTGAGAAACGTATTACATATTCATAACCGGACGATATAATAACATATCATTTTGAAAAGTTCGAGAAATCTGAGTAAAGAATACGAAAATAATTAACTTGTCATGTTTTTACTTTGAACTGTTAGTAAATTGTTAAACATATCGATTAACTCCTGAACTAATAATTGACAAAAATGATTCATAATGATCATTTATTTATATATGCCATAAACAAAACGTGATAATATCGATGATTAAATATTGTTAGTTTCAGTTATATACTTTTATTAAAATAGTGCGTTTTTTGAAACACATTTTGTGCACATTTAACATTCAAAATTCGAAATAAACAATTTTTTTTAATTTGCTGAAGTATTCTGCATTTTTATGTCATTTTTGCTAAAAAATATTATTTTAAAAAACTCAACATTCAAGTATTATTTTTTTCTCAAACAAATCATAACCTTATAAATACAACTGCACATACATAATAAATTTTTACACTTATACGTTTTTATTGCAGAGAAAAATAAAAGTATACTGATAACTTTTCTATACTTTTCTTTTTTGTCCTTGATAGTCATATACAACCGTTTATTTACATTGATGTAAAATTATCAAGACTCAGACATATCATAACTATGATACGGTGCATGATTTTCATAAGGTTTTTCTTTCTTCGATGTTGTTTATGATGAGACGTGTATCGTTTTATGTCTGATTGGTAGATTTATCTGTATTTACCTAGTGAAATTTCTTTTCTATAAATAATTCAGTTTAAAATGTAATTCAACTATTGATAATTGAGAAAAATTAAGTTATCTTTTATTTTAGTTTAACCAGACTATATATTTGTAAATATAATAAAAAAAATAATTAATAAAAATTATAGACTTTTCGATCCAGCGATCAGTCAAAGTAAAAAAATTAAACAATAAGCCAGCTTAATAAATATGAAAAAACAAAAAATATTCTTTTAAAGATGGTAATTTGTAGCAAAGCAGTACGTGTGTTTTGTATGTGTTTTAATCATTGATCCAGATTTATAATAGTATCGAATACCACGTGCAAATGTATCATAATCCATTGAACCTTTAGTTCTTCGTCTTTTAACTTGTTTCCAAAGATTAGCAGCATGAGCTGGTTTATGAATTTTAAATAAACCTTCATCTTTATTTAACCAAGATGCATATGAATTATAACGTGAATTATCGACAAGTAAATGAAGAAATTCATATAATTTTGGTTGACGAATTTGACGTGAAGAAGCATCACGAACAAGCCATTCTTTCGGATTAAATTGTTCTTTATCATCATTATCCGAAGGGATTGGAGTGTTACTTCTTACAGATGATTGGGAATCATCGGATTCCATGGAAGTAAATATATTTTCTGATACAATCATTTCGGCTGTTGGTATGTCTTCATTAATCAAATGTAAAAGTGACACATATTCATCATTAGTAAGATTTTCAACTGTTGTTAAATCGGTATAAATTCGATGAATGGTACTTTCCTCTAGTTCATTTTTATTAATTGCTAAATAATTCGAAGTATATAAATCATCAAGAAAGTCACATAGTGTTTCCATTGAATCAACTGACACAGGTGGAGACGTTGTAGAGTATTGACTTGGAAGCATTTTTGTTTCAATGAATAAAAAACAATAAATAAATAAATAAATATTAACGATTATATAATTACATTTAGTTTATATAGATATAGAAACGATGTCATTCTAAATAATAAATATACATGTGTCATGGAAAAGTTGTGATTTTAGTAGTATCAAAACGATTTAGGAGCAATAGGTGACGTGTAATGCCTCGAAAATATAAGATAGTTAAAGTATAAAATATGATAACACAAGGTAAAATGTGTGATATTTATTATCATGAAAGTGAGTCAGTAGTTTACTACAAAAACTAAATATAATAATCATGTAAACAACATAAGCATACAAAAATAAAAGTACAATCGTAGTCATGATAAGCAATTATATTTTGAATGTTAGTTGGAAAAAAATCCAACAGTCATGATTTTATTAATTGATGCATTACGTCAAGCAATATCGATACTTGAATAATTAGGAGAAAAAAATCGTTATGTATATGATCTATAAGAAATTATCATAAGAAATTAAATCAAAAGAATGAAAGGATATATTTCATTTCAAGTTGCTATACATATACAAGGTAAAGAAATGTTTACTCAAAAATCAATATGGCTCCATAAATTGCATAAAAACTAGCTAGGAACTCCTTATAAATGAGATCTAGACATAAATGGTCTTTTTTATATTACTTTGTCTGGATTATGACTAAACAAGGTCATTTACTCTTATGTAATTATGTACATGATAACAGCGAAGAATTTGTCAGCTCGATCTTTTAAAAACATTAGTACAAGCAGATTTCTCGAATATGAATTTTGCAGAAGTTGTTCTTAACAATAAACTGTTTCGCTTCATACACAATTCTATTAAAAAAAATGTACCGATGGACCTATAGATCATCGTATTATTTTTACGGTTGCATCTTCACTCTAATTGTCTCATGTCATCTCGTCATATCTCCTAGGCATTCTCAATGTATGATTTCTAGTCAGTCGAAACATACATCTTACGACTTAGAATAATTCAGTTTCTACTTGTATATCATCTATATCTTAAATTACGAAATTCTTTTTTTAAATTTATTCAAAATTCATGAGTATTATGTCAAATTATTAAGAAAAAAAGGGAATGATAAAAAAAAGTCGACCATCTGAGAAGATGACTATCAATAAAAGACGAAAAGAAATATATGATAATCATTTTATACGATACTATTTATAGGCTTTTTAAAACGAAATGTGTACTTTTTATATGTTTTAATCATTGCTCCAGTTTTATAATAATATCGAATTCCACGTGAAAATGTATCATAATCCATTTTTGCAGAGGTCTGTCTAGATTTAACTTTTATCCACAGTTCAGCTACTCGAGTAGGCTCGTGAATTTTAAATAAACCTTCATTTCTGTCTAACCAAGATATAAATGATGAATAACGTGAATCTTCTAAAAGTTTGTAAAGAAATTCATTTTGTCGAGGAGGTCGAACTCTTCCTGCAGTTGCATCATGTACAAACCATTCTTTTGCATCAAACGGTATTTCATTAAAATCATCATCTGATTGTTCTTGAATTTCATCATTCGAATGTGTAAGTAATGGTAAAGATTGTTTTGTATCATTGTCAGAAATATCTTCATTTGAATTGTCACATTCATCATTTGAAGTAACTCGAGATGATTGATCTTCATATATTTCAAATACTAGTGAAAATTCTTCTAGCTTTGGTAATATTGTATTTTTCTCTTCATGATGTTCATTCATCATTATAGAATAATTTGTTTGTATAAATTCACTAAATGCTTTTGAGAAGGAATATCGAACACATTATTATTTATAGCATGCGATTCATTCTCTTTTTTCTTCTTATAAATTGTAGGTGGTTGTCTTTCTTTTAATATCATGCATTAGGAAAAAAAGACATGACTTATAACAGTGATTAAACTTTTGGGGAAATTTCATAAAGTACATAATATTCAACTACTTCCTTTTTTTTCAACTCGAAAAATAAAATTGATATTTCATTATATGGAACAAATGATGGTGATTGATATTTTAGATATTTAAAATATTTATTTCTAATAGAGACACAAGAAAAGTAAATCGATTTTTTTTCCAAGTATCACTTGAAATATAATCAAAGTTATCAGATTTTTTTAATAGTCATATATGATTGCTTATAGTGTATTTTGTTTTTAGACATGACATCATAGCAACGAATATATTAGTCAGATAAAATGATAACAGCTATTACAACCCTTATTGAAAGGAAATAGAATGATTCAATTCAATTAATTATTCAAATTAATAATGACTCACACATACTTCCGTTATGTTTCGATTGAAAAAACTTGCAAATTTCCAAGCACAATATTATTAGTCAATATTCAGAATTTTTTCTATCGTTGACTTTTATTTATTCTCTTTAGAGCAAGTTCAACTGTCGGTTTTAATATGAAAGTATTTCTATTGTAGTAGAGTTAGAAAGAATTTAACATTAAAAATACTGATGTTCATTAATATGTTATTGGATAAGTAAAATATTTTAGCATTTAGATTATTGTACTGATGAACAAGTTTAAAAAAATGAAATTCGTCTATAATTCAATGATAAATTGATACCTATATGAACATATCACTCATCAAATTTCCATATCAACTTTAAATTCAGTTTAAGAATTCTTTTACTTTATGGAGTTTTGAAACGTCAAATATAATAACTATACATATGTTCTTCTTATGAATAAATAACTATTTTTTAATTCAATACAATAATCAATTGATTATTCTCTACAATTAGACGAAACAAATTATGATTAATAAAGTAGTTTGTATTATTTTAGCGAATAAAAACAGTTGTTTAAATATTAAAAATGCACTTCCTATATTTTTCATCAGCAATTTTATGACGGTGATAAATTAATGTATTTGCCATGATTGTTTATTCATGTCGTTTTGTATGATTTTCAGAAGTACATGTCAAGAAAACATATGAGTAATATAAATAACAGTGACATTTGCTGCACTATTTTTATTTTAAAACAACCATTATAAAAACTTGTTTTGATTGAATTAGAATACTAGAATATTTTTAGTGATAGATTCTCAATCATTTTCTTCATGTCATATAGTTCAAATGAAAAACAAATTGTCAGTTATTTGACTGATTGTTTTACTTAATTTTATCAATGAATATATCTGAAATTTTATTTACATTGATCGTTACGCGTTATTTTTCAAAAGAAGAAACAGTAAAAAAATTTTAAATGAATATGGCTGAAAGTAAACAGCGAACGTAAGGGAATGGGAAGCAAAAAACGTTGTTCCCACAGGACTCTAATCAAAGCATGGATTATTTTTCTTTACATAGAGTAATAAAAGAAGTAACCTACTTCATTATTGTATATCCAGCTACTAAATCATAAAAAACATCACTTGTCACTTAACTGTAATAACAAATATATAAAGGAATTTATATCCTTCGATAAAAGTTAATATCTTTATAGACTTCGTGGATTGTATTAAATCAAATTCTATGTCGAAGTTGGAATCTGTAATAACGCAGGTAAGTAGTCAAATAATTTAGTAGAGACACTAATATAATATATACAATATAAACTACAGGATCTATTTGATCATACAAACGGTGATTCGGTTTCTGTTCCACTTGTAGCCATACGATCGGGGTAAATATGATAAAATTTATTTAAGTAATCTAACAAATAATATTTTTCATCTGAGAATGTCAAAGAAGATCGAAGTAGTTACAAATAAAATAGATTTTGCTATGTCTTTTCTCAATAAATTAATGAATCAGTTTTTATTATCATTTCTGCTATACAGTAAGTGCCATAAATGAACATGGTCGAGAAAAACGAGGAAGATAAAGGAGTTATTTAATTGTATTTCATAAATAAAATCTACATTATACGTGCATCATTGTGATAATTATTATAATCGCTTTTTTCTTTCAATTAACAATGTTATTCTATTTTCCGTAGAATCACCTAATTTTGCATCAGATTCAATGGCTAAGTTTCTCCGTTCTTATTTTTTATTCTTCCTATAAAACTGTTTATTCTGAGCTTCGCTAATGCCCCGACATTTTCAATTGACCTACAGTCTTTGAATTTTATACTCCGCTGAAATCTTTTTAAAATATTGCCACTTATTAGCAACTGTTTCGAAGTATATTTCATTGAATCTACACCGACTAATTCAAATACAATCTGACCAGCAGACTCGGTTGAATATTAAGCTAGCATCGAATGAATCGTTGCATTTTGTTTTTCCGTCATAGACTGGGTTTTGTGCAATTTTCTAAGTCACCAGCTATTATAAAAAGACGATTTTCCATTTTTTCTTTTAGACAAATATTCATTCTTTGATTGATTTATAAGTTGTTAAGAGAAGATATAGAAATTTCCCTATTAACATAGGATGATGACTATGAATGGTCCGTCCAAACAAAGCGAAAAGGTAAAAGAAAGATCATTGTTCAATATCAAAAAGAGTGCGGATCCACTTATAGCACTTACTGTAATAGGCATCACCTTAGAGATAGTATGTGTATATACTTATTTCGAATATCAAAAGCCGTACTTACACTGTATTTTTATCGTTCAGCATATCCTGTGAGGAACAAATCATACACCATTAAAAATATGTAGTTCAAGGACAAGTTCAAACGAGAACAAAGGTTTGATCACACCATACATATACGATAAAACGATGAACGAATCAAGCGACTATTAAGTGCAAGATGAGAAGTAAGAAGTACTAATGTATTAGTAAGAATTTAATTCGGTAGTTAGTATAAAAAATAACATGTTTGTTGTTTTTCCTGAACTCTCGTATATACTTGTGCCACTTTTCATTTTTCTTATATATTCTTTTGATCTATTTTCATTGTGTAATATAATTTCAATACTAACTAGATGATGAGAAGAGAGATTGTGATTAACTTTTAGAATCTTATTAACAATGTTTTTCTAAACTATACTACCAAATAGAACAAAGAAAAAAATATATAAGAGCTTATTCGTTTTTCTACAAACGATATGATTAAATAATGTATCTAGAATATATATGATCCCTAGTATCTTGTTTTCTAATTATAATAGTATTATCATCTGCAATATGAACGAAATAGAAAAAAAAATCAAATAAACTAAAACAGAGAAGTATGAACCAAAGGAAAAGATATTCTAACTATTTTAAAAGAAGAGAACGATATAGACATATACTTCACTTATTCTTGGTATCATTGTAAAACAAGGAAAAGAAACAAGCGCATGATAGAGATGAATCATACTGTAATACTATTATTTGTAAATTTAAGATAAACATTATATATTGGTAATTCTAGAATTGTAAGTAAACTTACTTCTTAGTTATGTTTCTTAGTTAGATAAATGAAAATAACTAAAAATTTGCATAATTTGTTGAGCAAAGGTTAATTAAACACTTTAATCATTTGAATAATACAATTTATCGTAATCTTATAAACATATATATTTTATTGTACTAGTCCGATTGATTTCTTTTCTATCTATAGTGAAGTATTACTGGTAAACGATAATATGAATAAAATTGATGATCTATGTAATGAAACACGATGTTGTAGAAAAAAATCTGAATTGATTAAGAAATATTTTCAAAAATGGTCTGGACAACATAAATCGAATGAATCATCAATTCAATTTGTTGAATGTATTATTACATTTGTTGGTACCTTTATTGCCCTTGGAATTATATCAGTTGTTCATTATCGAATACTAGCAGAGTGATCATTGAATAGAAAATTATAGAAATAAAATTAATATAATTTTCTATTATTTTAGACATGATTTAACTTTCTTACTTGGTTCATTTGGAGCATCATGTGTACTTCTTTTTGCAACTCCATCAAGTCCATTAGCACAGCCACGTAATGCATTCTTTGGTCAACTAATTGGTGCTACCGTTGGTTGTATTGTACGTATTATATTTGATTATATACGTGAACAATTCATCGCTGCAACATTATCAGTTGCTATTAGTATTATAATTATGCAATTGACTAATACATTACATGCGCCAGGTGGTGCAACTGCATTAACTATGATTATGACAAAAACAACTTATCCTTGGTATGGTTTTCAATATGTTCTTATGCCTACTCTATCAGGAACTATTATTTTAATAATTGTTGCTTTAATTATTAATAATTTATCATCTAAAAGACATTATCCTGTAACATGGTGGTAGAAACAGACTATGAAATATTATATTTTATATATATATATATGCAATTTAGAAATTAATATCACAAGGTTGAGACCTACGCAACAATGTTGAATTCATTAATAAAAATAGTTTATAATTAATTAATTTAACTGAAGTTTTTCAACATGATATCTCTCGTTTTACTTTTTTCCTAAAAATCAAATAATAAAAGCAGGCATGCAGAAGAAAAAATACAATAGTCATTGAAATATTATTCAAAGAGAAAAGCATAGAAACTATTCTAGATTAAATAGGCAAAAAAATATGTATATTATTTTACATACATATTTAGTTTTTAAGAAATCGAACACCAAGAAAAGCCACAAGACGACATATAACAATATAACCTAATAATGCACCAATACAACCACCTATATTAATATAATCGTATCCACGTTCACGTATAAGTATTTCACCATTGTCAATACATTTATGACTTTTTCGTTCGTCAAATGTACATGTCAACGTAAGATCACTTAATTCATTTAAAGCGGCACCAACAAATGCATATTTAGTATATGACAAAGCATCGAGCCAAGCAAAATATTTTGGTAAACGTGATGGTGCAAGAAAGAAACCACCAAATAAACGTGATATTTCAAGTGCTAATGGTAAAACTGTTACACTCATATCTGTTGTTTTACATATAGCAGAAACTAATAATGCTAATGATGTTGCTGCAATTGAACATAATACCATAAAAAGCATGAAAATAAAAAATTTTGCAGCTGTTGCTTGTAAACCAATTAGAAAATACACAATAAATGACTATGAAAAATACGAGTGAAAATACAAACTAATTTTAATTATAATCTTGTACTTACAAATACAATTGGTACTGGTAACTGAATCAATGTTTCAGTAGCAATTTTTGCTGCAAAATAAGCACTTGCAAAATAAGTACCAGATGCTCGTTCACGTAGGGTTAATTCTCGTTCCACAGGAAATGAATCAATGACCATTAAGGCACCGAAAATACCTTGATTGACAGCACAGAAAAATACGGCTGATTCACGACGTACAATACTTTTTTGATTATCGCCAATTCTTAAAAAAACAGTACCAACTAAAATAGCCGTGATAATTGTTTGTACAATTGATGCAATAAGAATTCTTTTTTGACGTAATTGTTCTCTAAAGGTACGACGAAGAAGAATTCTCACTTGTGTTAACCATGTTGGACGTGGTGGTATATTGTTCATTTGACCAATACGTTTGTTAACACCCATATCAAGATCAATCTCAATTGGTGGTTGATGACTTAAAATTGCTTCATCAATAGCTGCTTGACGTTCAAGAGATATATCAGCAGTACCAAGAATTGGATCAGTATGCGGTGGTGTTATAACATCTAATATATGATCAGCTGGATTCGTATGTTGAGGACATGGAAATCCAGCTAAACGATAAACTTCCTAATAAACGAATAAATTAAATTTTTATATTACTATGAAAAAATTCGATTTAATAAATATTCTTACCAATACTTGTCTTAATGGACCTTGATACATTATACTACCTGCTTTAAGTAAAATCAATGAATCAAATAAATTAAAGATTTTTGCTTGAGGTTGATGAATTGAACAAACGATTGTAACAGCTTTTTCCTGTGATTTTCCATGAGCAAGCGCATGAAATGTTTTAACTAAATCAAGTGCTGTAACTGAATCCAAACCAGATGTTGGTTCATCAAGAAATAATAATTGTGGACGACTAAGTAGTTGCATACCAACACATAGACGTTTACGTTCGCCACCAGATATACCTTTTTTTAATGCTGTACCAACAATAACATCGTTAACATGAGATAAACCTAAATCAGCCATAACATCATCAACACGTTCTTTTCGTTCTTTATCAGTAAAGTCTCGTGGTAAACGAAGTTTTGCTGTATACATTAATGTTTCTTCAACTGTTAAATATCCATTTAATAAATCATCTTGAATAACATAACCAGCAATAAGTTTTAATTCAGCATTATCATATGGTGCACCATTTAAACGCATTTCACCTTCGACAATAGTATTGACATCCAAACGACAAGCTAATGTATTGAGAAGAGTTGATTTACCAGAACCCGATGGACCTATATATATATATGTAATAGTTTGATTTTAACTATGATTTGTATATAGAATGAATAGACTTACCCATGACTGCCCATAATCCGCCTGTGATAGCTCCACTTGTATCGTTGAGTAAACATTTTCTTTTTGGTACGAAATTTTTATATGATTTCAAACGTTTAAAAAACTCTTTTTTTTTATCTTCTCGAGCTTGAACAGTTAAATTTTGCCAAACAAGAATTGTACTAACACGATCCGATGTTGGATCAAGCGTAGATAATTCTCGTTCATTTGATCGTACGGCATTAGATTGACGAGAACGATTATGAACAAATCTAGTATAAGAACCTGTTCCTGGTGGCCTCTTCAATCTTTCTGATGTTGCCTGATTTGGAGTATGTACTGCTATGTCATATGTAGGAGGCAATGACGTCGATGATGCTGATCTATCTCGCGTTGAATTTTGAGTATCTGTAATCTCTTCTTCGTTCAAAGTTGATAAGTGATTCTCACTAGAACTTTGTGTAAAACTATGATTATCTGTACCGTTATGGTCATCTGTATCAGCTGGAGATGATAGTTTAGGACTTGTTGAGGTCATTTTACAATATATAGTGCGAGGTATGATGTGTATGGATATAAACTATAAAAAATAAATATAAAGTATACTAATTTTATTTACATATTGAACTTACCTTTATTATATATATATATACGATTTTGCACTGGTATGTACTTGAAGATCGATCAATACGTTTTGTCAATTAAGTTGTGAGATGAATTTTTAAAAGGTAACTTGACGATTTAAACGTCTGTTCAATGAAGCATAAAACAGTTTTTGTTCAAACTAAGTTTATTCAATGAATATTCATGACACGTATGTATCTTATCTTTTCGTTCAATGATACAAAATATTATTATTTATCATTGTTCTTAACGTAGTGCAAGAAGTATTTCGTATTATATTTGCAAACATTTATCTCTTCCTCACTGGATAAAAGAAACTATTCGACCAAATCATTTTTGTTATTAAATCATTTTCATGGTAGATATACAAAACCTAGTTTGATAACCAGTTCGCAGCCGTATTTTGTATCAAACGACGCGTAATATATAATCATGAATGTTATGTATATGTATATAGATATATATATAGATAATGATTCATAGAAAGTAGTCAACTGATTATATCAGTTCAATGACGATATATCAAGATAGTATTACTTCAATTAAATAACACATATGGATATACCTCTGATGGATTTCAGAAATCATATGAAATATCAGTAAAGATAGCTGAATATATCTTCTTAAAGCTTAGAATATCTAAACAACTTGAAATAATTAAAAGAGAATCTATTGTATGATTTGTTATGAAGACTATTTATATCTAATTCTAATGAACTCTTATATTTTTTTATTTCGTTTTTGTTGAAATAATGAGTACAAAATAATTCATAGTTTCGATGACCGCTTGACATCTATAGGCAAATATTTGAATAGAATGTCCACGTGAAATAAATTTTTAAATCATGTGACCAGTGCTGAAGTCACTGTTGGTTATTACAAAGAAGGAGGGGATATCATGCTAGGATGTCCTTATTGTAAATGGGCCATTGAATTAGGGCTTATTGCCCATCTTTTTCTTTTTCTCGTTCTGTTCATAAGCGGTCAACTGTCTATTCTTTTTTTCTTTCGTTGCAATCGAGGTTCGCCATAGTCATATCATCATCGTTCTTACGATCGGTCATTTCTTTTTTTTTTGTGCATGTCTGCGCATTAATATTTGTCCTATATTTGATCGGTCGACTAACATAACGTTATTCAAAAACTCAGTAGTATAAATACAAATATAATATCAACCCGTCTTTTAAAGTAAGTCTGGCTTTCTTTTTTAGACAGCATTATCTACAATCTTTGTCTAGGCATAAGAACATAACTTTGATTATTACATAAGAAAACTATTTTTTTTTTCGATAACTTATAAAGAAAATTTTGAAACAAATAATAAAATCTTTTGATTATGATAGAATATTTAATAAAGATTTTTTTTTAAATACATGCATGATTAATAATCTAAGAAAATATGCTTTAATCTCTATATATAAGTTAAGGTCATCCGTTAGTAAGAAACACGTACGTCTATACATGTACATGTATATATATATAGACGTGCCACCCGTTTATTTACACGTATTGTGTCCGAGTAGTAAGAGAATACGGTAGTCGTTATTCTTGTTCTGTTTTTCTACTCTCGTCCAATAAGAAGAAATTTCTTTCTCGCTATTGTTCAAAATATGTCGTGATCAGAGTAATTTATATCACTTATATATATTTTTTTAGATGGTATCAACAACAACACCGAAATTTGGCGTTAGATTTCCAACACGTAAAGAAAGAACAGTTAAACGAGTAACTAAATGTGAAACACGAGAAATTCAAAAACGTATATTATTATAAAAGCCTATATATGATTCTTAAATAAAACAAAATTTTTTTTGTGTTTATTCAAGGTCTTGAACCACCAAAACCACCGAAACTACCACGTGTTCGTCCACCACCGAAACCTAAAGTATCTAAAAAACCACCACCACCAGCCACACTTTGTAAACCACCTAAACCTCCTCGTGTGTCTGCTAGTCGTTGTAATGAACGTCAGCCAGCAACTACATCTCAAACAACAACATCATCGTCTTCATTATCATCATCGTCAAAGACAAATACATCAAATTCTTCATTATCTGGATCACGTACATTACAAGCACCTGATTTAGAAAAATTAGCTCGTCTTACTTGTTCACGTGAATTTAGTCTTTTTCATAAATATATTAAACCTGAATTATCAAGATCCTATGAAAATCAATTAGCCTTTCTTCAAACAAAATTACAACATTTAAAGAATGAATTTGTTAATAAACAAGCTGAACATTTAAATTTTGAACAAATTCGTGATTATTATAATGATGCTGTTAAAGAAAATGTACGACGTCATATAAAACCAGATGAATATTTAACATTAGCTGATAAATTTAAACAAGATTCTAAACAAGTAAAAGATCAATTTCTCTTCGCTACTGTATACAAAAAAAATAATATATTTTTTTATTTTTAGGCTATTGATAAATGGCTTAAAAAGAAAGAAGTTAAACCACAACGACAAATAACTGAATATTTACAAAGACGACAAGCACGTATTCGTGATCGAATCAAAGAAACAATTGAAGAAAATAAAAAGCAACAACAATCAGCTAAAGCAGCTGAAGATGGAGTCGAAACAACAGAAAGTACCATTACTATAACACCAGCAGCAACAACAACAACAGAAATAGTAACAACAGAAATAATAGAAACAACAGAGACAACAACAACTACAATAATCGAAGTTGATGATGACGATATAATGATAATCGATTAGTATAACATGAGATGAAAATGCTATTTCATATTATTCCATTTCTACATTATAAATATCTATTTAAATTTTTTTGCATTATAAAAAATTTAGTCGTACTTTGTTTTTTCTCTTGCTGTATATAAAACACAGTTAATGAAAAACAATATCAGACTTATAAGATAAATACTTCTCTAATTCACACCAAATCTAATATTCTTTATTTTACAAATCTTTCTCAGATTTTTGTTTCCATTGTTCATATGCTTTTGTAAATACATCAAATTCATGTTTTCCAAACATAGCAAAAACAACTGTTTTTAAATATTGTGCTTCTGATAATTCTCGAGCAACTGTGGAAATAGCAACTGGTGCTGCATCATCCAATGGATAACCATAGATACCCGTACTAATAGATGCTAAACCAAGTTCAGTAATTGATTCTAATTTATCAGCTTCTCGTATCACATTTGTATATGTTGATTCAAGTAGTCGTCGAGATTCATTAGGATTTGATGACGAATAAACTGGACCAGCAACATGTAAAAGATGTGAAAAACCGGTGTTATATCCTTTTGTAATAATAACTTGTGCTGTTTTAGTTTTATCTGGTACAAGTTGTTTTAATTCAGATAATAATTGTGAACCAGCTGCCTTATGAATTGCTCCATCAAGACCTCCGCCTATTTATATAATTAAAATTTGTTTTTTTTTCGTTTAAAATACTATATATCAATTTATTTATTTCTTACCTCCTCTCATATATACATTAGCAGCATTTACAATAGCTGTTACATTAGGATGAGAGTTTTTAATATCAAGTAGACTACGATGAATAATTTGTATTTGCCATTTTTGTGCAATAGATGAAACTCCCATAATTAGTGTTATATAAAACAATATAATTATATTCATATCACAAATATATTAAAAGAAAAAGAAAATAAATTAAATTATGACAATAAAAATAGTATTAGTAACGTTTTTCTTGTTTAATTAGTTCTCTTTGAAAAAATACAAATTCATAATAAAAATATGAATAAACCAAAAGAGAATTAAGTGTTCTGTGGTTTTGAAATATAAAGAACAAGTACTGTGTTTTCATTGACTGTTGGCATTGTAACACCAAATTCATAATTATCAGGCAGATGTTCACGATTGATATACCAGAATTGATTATTTGAAGGAATATCTACATTAGTTTGAACCTAAAGAAGTAAAAGAATTTTTATTGATTGTATATTTTTATTCTCTTACTATTTGTTTAAGAGTATTAATAGTCGTTCGTGGAAGAATAGTTACTTCAAATTGTTCATCCGTACAAAGATTAATCAGATAACTTTCAATAGATAATTTTAATCTAAATAAAACGATATATTTAATAAGAACTTTGAATAATTTCTAAAGATATGAATGCTCTTATCAATATTTTCTTAGCTGAGAGATCATGATCTATATTTACTTCAAAGGTTTCTCAACAGGTTCTGGTGGTGGAGCTGGTGGTGCATTTCCTGATTCATTAATAATGTCCAAACCAAGTCGAATCGATGTTTTATTCTGAGCAAGTAGACGAGCTATTTGACTAGCTATGTCTGGTTTATTATCATTCAGTGCTCTAATGAATTGTTTCACATTTTCATCAGATTCAGGTGGTCGATCTAAGGAAAACAGTTGATTTTCTATACTGACTCATATCATGAATTAAATGAGTTACTCTGTAAATAATCTCGCATATAGTTTAGTAATTCTACAGCGCCCTTTTGTTTATCGATTATAATCCATTTGTCTTGTTTCGAACGATCATGAATACATTCTACAGTACCAGGAGCTGATGATTCTTCTAGATACGAACAATCATTTAGATAACACTCATAGGCAATCTATAGAAGATATAATATAAATTAATTTGTTTGGTGTATAAGATAAATACCTCGTTATCAGGTGGAAGCATAATAATAAGTTTTGAATCATTTATCATAAGTTGTAATTTCGCATTTGAATATTGCAAAATATCCGGATTTTGAGGACCTGTGATTTTAATTTGTGATACACGTCCAGTCCTATAATATATGAATACAACATAAATATCTAAGTAAAAAATAAGGAGAAGTCAATGCTTACAGTGACATTTAAGATATCTAAAAAAAGAAAGTCATACGTAAAATTTTTCGTAAATATATTAAAAGAAATATTATCAGAACAATAATTTATTTTCATCACAATATAACTTCAAAAATAAACGTAAAGATGTACAAATATTGATTATGACTTTATCTAATCGAAGAAAATAGATGAGAATTTGACGATGAAAGACTGAGATAAATAGAAGTGTGTTTATATCTGTTTCTAAACAAGATGTTTAAGTAATATAAATAGTTAATGTATCACCAGATCGAATAGGTTTCATTAGAGATTTTTGTTGAACTTGATTTAAATTAGATGGTATTGCAGATCCAAATATATATTCATCAGGAATCGGATAACGATCAAAAGCAAACCAATATTGATTACTATATTTAATATTTGTTTCTTTTTCTATCTAAAAATATCAATTAAACTTTTACTTAATATATAATGCTTATAATTGTAACGAACTTGTTTTTTTAATGATTGAAGTGTTGTGCCAGAACGTACTTTGATAGGTGCTATTATCGAATCTTTTTGAATTTGACATTCAATACGAAGTCCTAAACTAAATATTTAATTGAAATAAAGAAAACAAACATAACTATTACAAACTAACTCAAGAATTGAATCTGTTGATATTTTAATATCATCATTTAGTTTCGGTTGAGTTGTCTTTTTTCTTTGCTTATCATTTTTATCCGAAAGATTAAATTGAACTCTGGCTTGCACATTTGCTAGTTTTTGTGTAATATGTTCAGTTTCATTTAAATCACTTCTATTAATCGATTTTATCAACTTTTCGATTAATAGTTTTTTTGAATCTAAAACACCAAAATAACTTCTTATTAATTTAATAACCGTTTTGTATGTCATTTCGATCAACGAATGAATTAATTATATTAGTCTTTCTGATATACCTTGATTTATATGTATTGAGACTGTATTAGATGTGGTTACTTGATGTGAGTCTAAATATAATAAGAATAAAATTGTCAGAAAACAAACACACTAAGTTTAAACATACCAGAAATGACAGGCTCAACAGTTGTATGATTAAGAGCTACCTGTAGATGTGCAAAAAAGTCTTTTAATGGTGTATTGTCTGCTGCATATATAATAATAATTGTAAATTTCGTTGCACGAATCACTGCTACGCCATCCGTTGATGATTCAGTAAGCCATCCTAATCTGCTAAATTCTGATGTATATGCACTCTATTAAAATTTAATTAATAAAATTATACGAAAAAAAAACATTGAAAAATTATTTACCTCTCCGTCAACTTTAATACAAAGATACATACATTGTCTTTGTTGATCATGTAGAATACTAATTGTAACATTTTTATCATATGTAGTTGTCTCATTATTGGATAATGATTGCATACGTACCATTTTTACATGATGATATTCCCTTATAAATGTAGATAATCGAAGAAAAATAGATTATTAGATTTTTCTTTTTTGTTTATTGCTTACATATTATTTGATGACATATCTGAAACTACAAGTAAATCTAACACGTTTGAAAGAACGAAGGACATAGAATTATATACAGAATAATTTTTTTAGAAAAAAGAATCTGACAAAAAAATGATGAATTAAACATTATATTATACTACTCCATTGCCAACATTAGCTCCATTTCCAGGTGATCCAGGACCTTGTTGAGCATCCATTTCATCATCTTGTTCACCACCTTCACTTTCTTCTTCAGCTTCATCACCATCTTCATCATCCTTTTAAAAAGAAAACAAAAAAAAAATAAGTAATTCGTAAGAAAATTAACATACATCGCCATTATCCATTTCTGTTCTACCATGAAATGGTAAATTTAAACCTTTTTCAACATAACGTCGTCGTTCTTGTTCCAATATTTCTTCAAATTTAGCTAGACTAACATCTTCTCGAACTATAGAAAAATAATTAGAACAAAAATTAAATAAAATTTCTTTTTACCAGGTTGTAAAGGCCGAAACCATAGAGCATTAACTTTTGAAGTTTCAGTTGTCGGCCAAAGATGTGAAGACATTCTTAATTTAATACAAGAAAAAATAAGTCAATTGAAACGAGATGAGCAAGCTTCAAAGACTGTTTGTTTATTTATTCCCACCAATAAAAAGACAGTTATAGACCTCTATCGTTTGTTGGAAAACATCTGTTGAAGCTTCTACCTAGTAATATTAAATAAGCATTTCTTTTCTATTAGATTTTTTAATAAATTATAATATGAACAGTTTTATTTAAAAAAAAGATGCAGAAGACAAAAAGTGAAATATGTCTAGAGAAAATATTATTTCACAATTTTATTTAGATAAAATGAGTAATGCAGGTTATTCTCAAAGTCGTATTCAATTTATACCTAATGATCAACCACGTTCTGAACAACGTAATTATTCAGATAGATCATTAGTCCAATTGATACAGCTTGACTTTACCGATTATACACTACAAGCACTTGATATAGATAATAATCGTACCGTATGACAATTATTTCCTTGAATTATTGATTATAAAAATAATATTTTACTATAGATAATCTTTAATATTCCTCTTAAACAACGAGCTCAATATAAAATTGGAAAAACAGTCAATAATCCAGATGAAGTTCAAGATCAAAATGGAACTTATTATTTATGGTTAAATGCTCAATCACGAGCTAAATTTCATGAAGCATTAGATATATGTTTTCAACAAATATCTTTATTAACAAATGGATCACCTGAGTCACCTACTCAAACACCTGTCTATAAATCCGATGAAAAGTCACCACATAAATATGAACAATCACGAGGTGTACAACCAAAGTTACCAACACGATCAAATGAAAATGGTAAGACTTTTTGATTTTAATGTAAATGAGAAGATATCTTTACGATAGTTTTTATGATCATGCACTACTTCCATGATATTTATTTTTGTATGACTAGAATTTATTAACATGCGATCACGAATTTCATGATGAATATATATTATTTACTACAGTTATAAAAACCATTCTATGGACATATATCTTACTTTTTGTTTTAATTATGTAGGTCTTCTAATTGATATTTATCAATTAGGACAAAATATTAGACAAGGTAATATTGATGAAGCTGTTGGATTAGCAAAAAAATTAGCTCAACAAAATATTCCACTTCAAGCAAGTCCCTGGAATGGACAGAAAGAAGAAGAAATAATTGAGTATGTGTTGACACAAAAACAATTTCTTTGCTATTTTATATATAATTGTTTAATAAAATAGAGTTAAAGTTAAAATCGACAGTAATGAACCAAGAATTAGTAATAAATATAAAAATGAAATGATAATAAGTGTTTATCCATCGACAACAATTCAGGAACTATGTCTTATTGTAAGAGAATTTGTTTTACCTATTCTGAAAACTTTTGTATTTTTTCTATAGTTTGAACATTGTCATAATTTTTCACCATTAAATCAATATTTTTTTGTCAATGGTCATTTAGCTCATCACGATTCAACAATGAAAGATTTAAATATTCGTTCAAATTCACTTTTTATATTATTTATAATTCAACAATGATATTTTTTTATAATATATATTCAAATATTTGATTTATCAGTGCTTATTGTGATAATCAAAACTTTTTTTTTTAATTTTAGATAAAAATGAGTATTGTAGCATATAGTACGTGTCGTATTCAATTTATATCGAATGATTCACAACGTTCTCAACAGAATTATTCTGACAGATCTCTAATAGAATTGAGAGCCTATGATTATGCTGATTATTCATTACGAGCACTGGATATGGAAGCTAATAAAAAAGTAGGATAGTTACTATTATTGATTTAGAATTTATAAAAAATAGATTTTATTCTAGGAAATTTTCAATATTCCTCTTAGGCAAGTAGATCAATATAAACGTGGAAGATCAGCTAATCAACCCGATGAAATTCCTACTAGAAATGGAATGTATTATATATCATTAAATCCTACATCACGAGATGAATTGCATAAAGCATTTGATGGAATTTTTCAACAAATAGCTGATAAGGAACAATCAGATGTTAGTAATCAAGTTACTAATCACAGCAGGGATAATTCTAATGATGTACATGATGTTTCTGTAAAAAGTAAGATTTTGATATAAGAAAATGTTAAATAATTTAATAGTTACAAGGAAAACATATTAAAATTATGTTGTATGTATCTTATAGATCTTCTACTTGATATTCATCATCTGGGTACATGTATTCAACAAGGTGATTCAGATACAGCTGCTCAATTAGCTTCACAATTAGCTTCGAAACCCGTTCGTTTTCGAACCAAATCATCTAAAAATATACGAGAAGAAAAGCCATTTATGTATATATATAAGAAAAAAGAAGAACTGTTTTCTTGAAATTTTGTTTTTTATTATTATTAATACATAGAGTTCAAATTCAACTTGATGGGAATGAATATGACATTGATCACCATGGTGCAACAATTCCAATGAGTGTTTTCCAATCAACCACCGTTCGTGAATTACGAGCAGCTGTATACGGTAATTTATCAGTCAATCAATATGTTTTTGTTAATGGTCATTTAGCACATGATAATTCATCAATGAGCGATTTAAATGTTGGACCAAATTCTTTATTTATATTGTTTTATTTAACACATGCTAAATCATTTACAGATAATGTAAATCTATTTTTGTTCCAAGAATATAAGAAATATATTTTTCTATTTATTGATAGGGTCCATGGCAGTGCAGAAATTGTACTTCAAATAATAAAGAGAATATTTTTCGTTGTAGTTTATGCTCCGCAGCACGTGCAACAGACTAAAAAATTATATTTTTTTCAATATTTCTATGTGTTATAATCTGTGATAATTTTACATACTTAAGTCTTCTTTTTTATATCAATTATTATTTTAGATATTATTTGTAATGTTTTAATCAATCAAATATGGCTACTTCTTCAGCCGGAAATGTAAGAATAAATTTATGTGATTGATAGTGAAAAGAATTCTTTTTCGTTAGACTACCAGTGAATCAACTTCAAATACAGCGCCAGTGGTAAAGAAATGTTTTTTTGTATAAAAATAATATTTTTTTAACTTCTTCTGTTGATCTAGTCCGCTTACTGGGAATGTATTGACTGTCATGCTTATAATCAATCAGGACGTAAATCATGTAAAAGCTGTCGTCGTCTTCGTCAAGATTTACTTAATCAATGTCTCAAAGAATCGAAAGTTCATGATGTAATTATGATAATTTTCGTTTTGAATAAGTAAGTTTATTCTTATATTTTCTAATAGCTTGAAACAACAAATGTTGAACCCAAATTACCGACACCTACTAGACATATACCTCTAAATAATACTGAATCATCTGGTTTTACAGCACCAACAACACAACCAGTAACAATTAGAAAAAAAAACTAAAGTTTTTTATTATTGAATTTATATTTTTATTTAAGCCGCCAAATTGGTATTGTGTCATTTGTTCTCATCATAATTGTGATAATAATTCAGCAACAAATTGTGCTGGATGTGGAAGTGTTTTTATGACAAATATTGAATATCTTAATTTTGTACATGAACAAGAAAAACAACTTTTACGTTATCAAGAAGATTCGAAAGCATTTCAGGAAGATTTACGTGAACAAGCACAATCAGCTTATTATAAAAATAATGAAGAATTTGAATGTATTATTTGTTATGAATTTATAGGAAAAAATAAAGGTGTATTATTTCATCATTGTTTACATCCAATGTGTAAACGTTGTGTAATACAAATGATTGAAACAAGTACAGAACCATTACTTAAATGTCCACATGATGATTGTACTACAATTATTAGTGAAAGAGAATTACGTGGTGTAAGAAAAAAATTTTGATTTCAAAAAAATAATCTTTCTTTTTTTATTTCGATTAATTAGGTTGTGAAAGATATGAGACGTGAGCAAAGATTAGTCGATAAATTAAATGAAATTGGTGTTCGTTGGGCAGAAAGTCG